TCAAGAGCATAAAGATATTTATGGTCATTCATACTCCACATTATACACATCCTAAAGACTATTAAAGAGTATGGTCAATTATATCAAGGAGTTCCTTGATCATATTGTGGTTGAATGATCTACCTAAAATTGGAAGAACATACTAAATGACTTCAAGCAAAATCACTATATTTTGTTTGACAACAAAAGCAAATGCATCCTTCTTTTTCTTTCTTTTCTTTTTTTTTTTTTTGGGGGGGGGGGGAGGGGGTAGGGGGTGGCACTTTAAGATGTCTGTAACTTACAGTAAGTCACACACAGAGAATAAACTGTTGGGCTATATTAATCAACAGTTGTTATTTTTAGGGCAGGGGGGGGGGGGCATAATTCACAACGTGTTTGTTTAATGTTTTGGGGTTGAACACATGTTAAATGTACAGTATGTTAAACAATAGGCATCTGCAGGTTTTACCCTGTATTGATTATTGTCTGGGAAGAGAACTTTGGCAATACCCTGGCCAATATGATGTCGCAAAGTATCAAAAGCACAAAGTCCATAAGTTGCCCAATGCACAAGATCTAGTTAGATTCTGGTCTGTTGTCCAGTGGGTGATATTTCAGAGACCCAAGGATATTCATTCAGATAAATACCACACTCAAAAACCATTCACAATCCCCCACGCACATGAACAAGACAGTTAGATTAGACTAGTCTAAATAAACATTGGATCCAAAAGCACATCACATTTGACAAGCATGGCAAGCAACAAACATATAATGAAGTTCAGTATGTAATATACTGTAACACTAACAGTCACAATCACAATGACAAATGTACATCACATGTTACTTTTATTATTGTCTAGTTCAACATAGTAATTCAAAACATCTCAGATTGGTGAAGGTTGCCTGAACCAGGCCTGAACCATCATGCATTGAACGTTGTACTCAACCTGAATCATGACACTGCAATCACAGACAGTGCAGTCTCAAGCAAGTACATGACACAACAATGCTATGCTATCTAATACTTACCTAATCCACTACCGCCATTGCCGTTTGCATAGTTTAAATTATATGCATTTCCATCCATTTTTGCTCATCTCCGTAATTAATTCGCCGAACACTGACTCACTAAAATACTCCACAGCTAACGTGACTGTTTACAAATTGGATGCTGGTGCACGTGAAAAACGTCTTCTCGTACGCTTGCGAACGGGATGCCGTTCCGTATACCGGCTTGCAAGGTGCGGGCGGTCTCTAGGCTAAGCATGTGCACAGATGATGCTTGTTGCATTTACTCCATTATCACTTTCCCCACTATTGATAATGACTATGCAGTTACAAATTGTATGCAATCCAGTGTGCAACTTCTTAATGCAACAGATGCCAATTGAGCGCGCAATATGGTTTGCAAAATTTCGATTTGCTCATGGCAAAGACATTCGTCTGCTGGATGAGTCGGTGTATTGAACCGGGATAAAAATCGATGATTTCACGGCCAACATTTGGAATTATCCGGGTCAGACAGATGCGCGGCCGAGAAGCACTGCATGGAGTGGTATCAATGCGTTCCTCCGGGGATACATGGGCGTGGTCGTAAATGATTAACAATGGTGGTTGAGATCGGGAGGGGGTCGCGGATGCGTTTATAGTTTAGATATAGAAATGATGTAAGCCTCCAATTCTAAAATTAAGGACGAGTGGATAACTTGGGGATGGCTATGATCCATATGGCATTTTCTTCTGCCCCGTCTCTCCGTTTCTGTCTCGCCATTTTATGTAATCATCGAAGACTGTTCATCAAAATTCCGGAAGAGCCGCAGCTCAAACAACTTTATTTCACAAATGTATCGGCCAAACATCACACTGTAGTTCAGATTACCCAGTTAAGCGTTGTCATAGAAACGGCGTACTCTGGCGGGAAACCCGGACGGCCATGCTTTCCTCTTTGACCTTGTCGTCTGGTTTGAGGTCGCGAACCTGGGAGTAATGGAGTCATATGACGTGCACGATATACATACCCCCCCCCTTTTTTTTTAGCAGACATCAGTTTCCGCATTTATTTTTAAATCAAATTATAAATTTTAATTCAATTATATTCAATTAATGATGATAGTAACTATAGGCCTATTATTGATGTGACAATTTAAATACCAAAGAAAAATACATAACTTGAAAGTATGGATGTAATTGGAAGTGTTTACATGTGTTATTCAACGTTGTGCATGTGCATTCGGTAAGGCTACAAATGAAGACAAAATACCAATAGCATATAGACTGGGGCCGCACGGGACACCCTTCCCAAAGGCAAAACCGTATAAAAGCTAAGATGGAGAGAGAGAGAGAGAGAGAGAGAGAGAGAGAGAGAGAGAGAGAGAGAGAGAGAGAGGAGAATGAGGGGGGTGTGCGTAGGGTTGGATGAACATGAAATAGGATGATTACTCTCTGTGATTCTTAGATTTGCATTAATTCATGCACCCATTGATTGCCCCCCCCCCCCCCCCCCCCCTCCCTCTGATGCCATCATTAGCGCCCCCTTCGTTAAAATGTGGTACCATTATGTCGGCTAGCAATTAGACTATAAAGATGCATGCCTCATGACATTTTTTCTTTCCTCGAGGCAGAAACTGAACCAAAACCCAAATTATATATTGGGCATCTTACAGTGGCAATAGTACAATTTTGTGGGTGAGGGGGGGGGGGGTAATGAATATGTCCGTTTTTGTGCTGTGCCTATATTGTCAATGTGCTGTAGTCTTTTACTTATTCTCATAATTTCTCTCTTTTCTCCCGTTTTGTCTAGTCTATAGACTCCTGATTTTGTGTCCACTTCTTGTTTCTTATACCACCTTTTTCTTAATGAATTCTAAGGTAGTCACAAATAATATACTCCCATCATGTTTATATTGTTGCTTATTTATGTACCAACCAATTATTTGGTCCAGAGGGGACCCTAAAGCTTACAAGCTGTGCCAGGGTCTCCTCGTTTTTCTTTTAGTTCACTTTGTTTTTATCATTGCCATAATTTTGTTTATATTAATGATCTAATGTTATGCTTTGTGTGACATTTGAAAGAAAGACGAATAAATATCTTATCTTATCTAACTATATCGAAGGCTCTGTTCTGAAGAAGAAAAAAATGCCACCTTGCTATCCGAATCTGAATGATACCTTATACCCGAATATAACGTGTGTGTATGCAGCCATGGTCTTTATGAGACAGTGATCTGAAGGCTGAAGCATTTATGATTTTCAAATATATTGGCCTACTGCTTTTTCAAATTCAAATTCAAAAATCATCTCCCTCAGTTTACCAAGCATGATTTTGAAAATTAATAATAAGGGCCATTTTGAGTTTCATCCCGCAGTGGTGAATCCAATTATTTTCTTGGGCGTGCGTGCACAACAAAATACTGAGTTGGGGGGGGGGGGGGTGGTAACGACAAAAACAAAAAGAACCCCCCAAAACATGAAGAAAAAAAAAATTCAGTTCCTTTTGAACCCAAATCCTCTGACATGTAAAAACAAAAACAAATAAATAAAAACACAATAAATGTTATTATTTTCAGGTGCATTTGGGAAGGCTTTTGCACAAATGGGCCCGGAAGGGGGGGGGGGGTCACGAAATCTATGTCTCCTTAAGATATTCCAAATCCGATCAGGCCACGGCACATGTTCCTCCCCATGCCCTCCTCTATAGACCCGCCCCCATGTGCTTTAAATTTGCAATCATTATGTACCTAACCTGAAGAAGAAAACAAATCTTGTGTATGGAATCTAAATTTTATCAGGCATGCAAATAGCTAAGAATAATATTCATTGCTCTTACGCGACGTATGTACGTCTGTTCCCGACGAAATTGGCACCCGCACTGGGAAGTTATTTTCTTGTTTAAATACAAAAATTAAGTGGCTCCCGGATGCTTCACTTCATGACAGAATGCGGCAAGATCGCAAAGACTTTCGAAAACTCAACATAGGGCAATTTAACTAGGCCTTGTCCATCACGGGGCGGAGTCCAGCCGGCAGCAAGGGAGCCTGGGCCCTGGGGGCAGGGGGCCCAATTCGTGAGAAAATGATTAGCGGCGAGTCTACACCCCCCCCCCCCCCCCCCCCCACTTGCGCCAGGGGGAAGGGGGCCCGTCTTCCTTTTAAATGTACCCTTTTTTGGCCAAGGGAGGGAAGGAACGCATTTTCTATTCAGTACACCACGAAGTACCGACATTTCCCAGCTCTATGAGCGTGCTGTTTCGTTCTTTTCTTCTCTTTTTTTAAAATTTAGTGACATAATAAATAATTTTTGAAAAAATTCCTCTCAAAGTAAAAAGATTAATTGTTCGGTATATCAATTTGCATTTTTCCACTTCATCCTCCAGTTAACTCAGACGAGTATTTTGGAGGATCAACTAACCAAGAAGGAGAAAGCTAGTGTACCCATGTGCGGCTATGCCTGTGCTTTCACAACGAATTACCAGAACTCCCTGGTATTAAGCATTGAGGCCATTAATGATAATAATAATAACTTGAAAATATAAAATATATACTTGGCGTTCCATAACTATTAATGTATTGACATTGATCGCACCATCGAATTTGAGTTCGTTGGATCGTACATGTACGCACGACAAATAGATGGTTGTTCATCGTCGTGGCCGTGCACGAGCTGTGGCAGTAGTCAGGTAAATAATACATCAATACTTCAAAGTTCAAATGTTATTCAATGTAGAGTTTAATTATATTGTCTTGAAATTGTAAACTGTTATTTGCTTCGCTTGTTAATGTATTCATTTGTTGGCAAGCGCTCGACCGCGGCGTGCGACCGAAAGCTTCAAAGTCTCTGACTCTGACTCCGCCCCCCAGGCCCACCTTGTTTAAGGTCGACCGACCCGACCCAAATAAGAGGCTAACGAACGAAAGAGACAGAAATTTCGGTCTAATCCACCTTATGTTATGTGTTCGATTGCAGGGCCCTCAGGGAGAACAGTATGAATACTTGTAGTACCTTGTACCATGTGTACCTTGTGTTCGTCTCTTCCGAAAGGTCCGCTAGGAACTATAAGTATAACTGGAAGTATAACTTGGCGTGACGAGAGTATAGATTTGTGTATTTCAGGGGTTATGCTATTTGATTTAGTTTTTGGGTTGCAGATTTGAAGACTGTGCTGGATTTGATGTCCACGTTTAGTTGAGGTAGGTCATTCCATAGTTTTACAGCTTCAGGGAAGAAGGATTCTGCAAATGGTGTTGATGAGCACTGAAAGGTAGTCAACTGTTTGTCTATAACATACTGATGAGGCTACCCTGGCCTGGGCCGAGGGATGCATTTTGATCGATTTAGACTTTTAAATTGTAGAATTTTTTTGTTGTTGATCCATTATCTTTGGAGTTTGTTTTGTCCTGTCATTTTACTGTTGGCATATTTCATCAATTTTTTTCTAACTGACAATGTTCCTGAAATGTTATTTCATTTGTCATAGCAGATTAGACGGTCATCATGGATCATATACATCTACTGTGCATCATCATCTTTGCGACCCATGCACCCTTGGCTTCATCTTCCAACTCGTTTCATTTTGATCAAAGCGACACCCACCTCTCCGTGAATGCAAATGACATCCTCGTCATTGACCACAAACCAACCTCTCCCTTCGTTTTCATCGGCTCTGGATCAGTAACCACTCGTAGTCAGTATGGTAACTACAGGATTGATGACTTTGATGAAAGCAGAGTTCCATTGCAGAAATTCTCTGTTGGAAAGCAGGAGATAGGGGAGGGAGGTGTCGTTAAAACAAGGGTAACCTTCAGTGTTACTGGATGTGATGAAAAGGTAAAGTACTAACGCACAAGTAAATTACAACTAACTTAGAAAGTTATCAATGATTTGATGGGAACACTCAAATGAATAACAGATAAATCAAACCCACATGAATTCAAGTTGATAAAAATCATTCCTTGAATTTACTGCTTCCAGGATAGTTCTCATTGGTATTAGATCCTAGTGCCATTTACCTGATCGCAGTTGTTAATGTTAAAGGTATAACAAAGTTTTGGGAAATTTTGAAACTTGGGTGGATAGTGATTCTTTACAATTTTGATATATTTGGATGCCCCTGTGGATGTATTATAAGCACTAGAAAATTTAGCCCCTAAAACACTTTTGCTTTCAAGAAAAATTGAATATAAAAATTTACTGGTGCTCCCAATAAATTTTTATAAATTTCAAATAGCGCCTATATGGCCGTACAATGGTAGCTGCGACCATGAAAATCTCAGAATATGTAGTTGTGATAATATAATTTCCAAATGGGAATTGCTAATCGGTCAATTTTAGTCAAGAAACATTGTTTTCTGGCTCAATTAATATTTTGACCTTGGGAGGGAGCTATAAAACACAAAGAGTTTATTATTTACAATTTCATAACTTTACACTCGATTTCAACCGCGACAACGGTCACTGAATATTGTATAGGATCGCATGCTTCCAATATGTTCATTTGAACCCAATTCATGACCCCATACCAAAACTTTGTATTACCTTTAACTACATAACATGTATACCTAAAGAGTAAAGGCAGGTTTTACTATTTACAAGTATGTCCTTGTGTGTATAAAATGAAAAGAGATTGTAACTAATGTAAGAAAACTATTAAAAAATGTAAAGAATATAATTTCCCTTTCTCATATAGTCAGGTAGATCATAATCCCATACTTTAAGCACCACTGGATATGTGATGGTTGCGGTTATGATCCCTAGCACGGCAATAATTTTCTTTTGCATATATCGATCTATATTTGGCCACTCTCCATCCAGGTGTCGTAGTTAATTGGTACCTGGTAGGATTTAATAATTTGTATGCTATAAGCACCAAATTTTCTGGGGGGTAATTATTCTGCTGGTATAGCCGCGGGGGTACCGGTAATTGTCCTAAAACTATGCTTTGAGCACCAAATTTTTGAGCCTAGTTAAATCTAGGGTAATGGAGTACCTTGAACACTTGGCAAGATGGATTATGAGGACATGAGGGTTCCTTTTTTTTAAAGTAAAAACTGAAAATGGAGGAATCTACTGAGAAGCAGGGCTTGTAGAATATGGTTCCCTCAATTAACAATAATCATAAACTTATGTAATACAAACATGAAGGAAAAAAAGGGGGGAATAGGGCAAGAGAATGCGATGGCAGAAAAACTAGATGAATGAAAGGGGGAAAGAAAAACACAAATTGACTTCACAAAGATTTAATTTGTTTTATAAGATCGTAAAAATTGTGATTTTAATTTTCTCTTAAATGAATTGAGTGATTAGGCAAGTTTGATATAATTAAGTATTATCCTGAATGGATTGATTGTCCTAAGGGGGTAATTGCACTCAGGGTTGGTTGTCCCTGGTGTGTAATTTTGCAGGGGGGGATAATTGTACTTGGGTGTAATTTTGCGGGGGAGGGGGGGGGGTAGTTTTCCGGGGTAATTGTTTTCTGTGGGTAATTGTCCTGATATGGATATGAGGACAGTACAAGAAGCTTATCTTTAAAGATATGTTATAATGATTATCGTTTATTCTCTTGTCCTATGTGCAATTCCTTATCTGCAGGGAGATGTTGCTGTAGACTTTGTGTCCTCGCCAGATTCCATGTACGCTGAGTTTGTTGCGGTACCACATGGTTTCAACCGACTATGGATCCGCCTTCATGCTGAAGAGGGAGAGAAGGTGTATGGAGGCGGAGAGCAGTTTACGTTCTTTGACATGAGAGGGCGCACCTTTCCTCTCTGGGTACAAGAACAGGTGAATAATGTCTGCTGAGAGCAAGAGCAAGAGCAAGGAAGGGGTGCACTCTTTATAAAATGGTGTGCATTAATACACTTCTGGTTTCTGAGTAGAAGATGCATACTGTTTGTCTTGAGGGCACAAATACCCAAAACAAGAAATTACTGCCACAATTGTGAACTTTATGTTTGCAGATATGTGCATATCCTCAATCTGACCAAGTATTATATTGATTGTAGAATGCGATTGACTTATTTTTAATTTCCTACCACTTATTCAAACAGTGCATATGGAGCTTAAGCTTATTTGTTGCTCATTTAAAGAAACTTGCTTTGAGAAATAAGTAAAACCACATCAGCGGCATATATTCCATGTTATGACATTGAGTGAGATACATGCTATCTGCTTGAAAATATCAACACTGGAAACAATTTTGTTTGGTTTTAATTAAGTACAGTGGAAATCACCAAAGTTTTCACTCACTTATATGACTGAACTCAATTTGCACGTCATGGAATTCTCTCTGTTAAATTTACACTCAGGTGATTCAAATTAAAGCAAAATCACAGATGGATATTTAAAGAATATTTCAGAACATTCCCAAGTTGCAGGTTACATTATGTTTAGTACCTTAAGTTATGTGAGTACATGTAGAGGTCAGCAATGGTAGATACTGCTACAATGATAGACATGCTTCTTTCTATATACCATTTAAGTTCTATGATGGTTGATATATAATGATAATTAACCTTTATCAATATGCTTTCTATGTTTTGTGTTTTCTATTTTTCTTGTGATCTGCAGGGAGTTGGTAGGAATAAGAGTTCACTTATAACACTGCTGTCCAACAACCGCGATAATGGCGGTGGAGATTACTACACCACATACTGGGCCCAGCCAACCTTCCTTTCATCCAGAAAATACTACGCCCACTTCACCACCACCAGCTATTCAGAATTCAACTTCCGCTTTGACGACTTCCACGAGGTGTACATTTTGAGCGGCTCTCCAGGAAAGATCCATTTCTTTACTGGGCCATCCTACGTGGACCTGGTCGGGCAGTTCACAGCCTTCCAGGGGAGACAGCCTCCTATTCCAGAGTGGGTCTACAATGGAGTGGTTCTTGGTCTACAGGGTGGCACAGAAAGGATGCTGCACTACTTGAAAATGGCCCAGGTAAAGTCTTTACAACCATATACCACATCTGTTTGATAACATGTAAGCCACTCAAGAAACATCTGTTATCCTTTGGTGGCTTGCAGAAGGTCACTCAAATGTTTGTTGAAATAAATATTCTACTTGTAGTTAAATGAATGTATGTATTCATGAGTATATGCACAGCCAACTCAACTATAACAATACACGCAGATTTGAGTCAAATGTATCAGCACATTCATTGAGCTGTAACTCCAACATGAAAAACATTGCTATAAAAAATGTACCCCATGTTTTTTTAGTTCCCTTTTGCAGTGAATGTCTTTTAATGTATTTAACTCATGTTGCATCATTGGAATGACTGAAACTTTATTCTCAAGGCTTGACAAAATGAAAGAAGCTTCCATTTTGCACAAAATCTCATGAAATAAAGATCTTTTTCCTTAGAGTTCAAAGCGTATCTGTCTTTGTAGCAATTTCAAATATTGAACAGGGTCTTTGAACAGGACAAAATGAAAGAAGCTTCCATTTTGCACAAAATCTCATGAAATATAGATCTTTTTCCTTAGAGTTCAAGGCGTATCTGTCTTTGTAGCAATTTCAAATATTGAACAGGGTCTTTTTAATGTTACATTTTCAATACAAATTGCAATAGTTGTTGACTAAATGCTTTTAACGAACAAATATTAATAAAGAGGAGGACATATAGACATGTATATGATTCATTTGCAATCCTGTTTTATGATATATCCCTATCTTTGTTTGAAGGATAATGACATCAAGGTCAGTGCTGTTTGGATCCAAGACTGGTCAGGACGGATCCGGACTTCTTTCGGGAGGCGTATCTTTTGGAACTGGCAGTGGGATCCCAACCACTACCCTGGTCTTGATAAAGTCATCGCTGATCTGAAAACCAAAGGTATCCAGGTCTTGGTCTACACTAACCTCAACCTCAATCAAGAAGGGAACCTCTTCAAGGAAGCTGAACAACTAGGCTATCTCATCCTGAACAAAGATGGAAATTCTTATCGTTTGGACTATGGAGAGTTCATCTGTGGCATTGTAGATATCACTAACCCAAAGGCTGCTCAGTGGTACAAAGACCGCATCATCAAGAAGAATATGATAGAGTTAGGGATCAGCGGATGGATGGCTGATTTTGGGGAGTACCTACCGACGGATGCATATTTCAGCAATGGAAAGTCAGGTATGGACCTCCACAATGAATGGCCGACGCTATGGGCCCAAATCAACCGTGAAGGAGTGGAGGAAGCTGGCATGTTGGGTGAGATCCTGTACTGGATGCGGGCAGGGTTCAGTGGTTCACAGAGGTATGGCGTGATGACATGGGCAGGAGATCAGTTTGTGGATTTCAGTTTGAGTGACGGTATTGCATCCGTCATTCCAGCTGCACTGTCTCTGGGCATATCTGGCTTTGGATTGTTTCATTTTGACATTGGAGGATTCACCTCTCTCTTCAACTACACACGAACGGAAGAGCTGATGTTCCGGTACGGGGAAATGGCCGCCTTCACAACCATGATGCGAACACACGAGGGCAATCGTCCCGACGACAATCTCCAATTCTACTCCAACGAACGCACTCTCTCCCAGCTCGCTTGTCATACACAGATTTTCCATGCTCTGAACAGGTACAGGCATGCTGTCGTCGAGGAAAACAGCGTAAGGGGCATACCTGTCCAGCGTCCTCTCTTCTTGCATTACGAATCCGACCCTAGATCCTACAGCGTGCAGTATCAGTATATGTTTGGCCCTGATCTGCTGGTTGCACCTGTATATGAAGCTGGAGTAGAAACATGGGATGTGTACCTTCCACCTGATGACTGGGTCTTCATGTGGGATGAGACCATTACTTCTATGGGTGATGAGACTGTTACAGTGGAAGCACCTATCGGTATGATCCCCGTCTTCTATCGACGTGAGTCCCAGTGGGCTGACCTTTTCCGGGATGTTAGGGATGTCCGTAACAAATTATACTCTGATGTTGATAATGGATATTGCTCCAGAGATAAACCATGTCCTTGATTTTGTTGATCCACTTCTCTCAATAATGTAACATTCTAATGAAATTTTAGTGAATTCCTACAGGCACTTAAAGCCCCTCTAAACTGTTGGGAGCCCCAAATTTGCCAAAAATGTTATGGCAAAATTTCATTTATTTTGTATCATAATGTGAAAGAGGATGTCATTTAAGACATACTTCTGCAAAGATTTCCCACCAAAAAATATGTTTGAAGACAAATATTGATAAAAGAATACATAATTTGGGATTTTGTTGTATGCAGAAAACCTAAATTTTGTATTCTTTCATCAATATTCAACTTCAAACACATTAGTTTTGAAAATGTGTCTTAAATGACATCCTCTTCACATTATGACACAATTTAAAAGAAATTTTTCCATCAAATTTTTGGGGCTCCCAACACTTTAGAGGGGCTTTAAGTTTTACTGTCTTTGAGAACTTACCAATGAAGGTAAAAATGTTTGCTTGTGATAACCAATATTTTCCCTGCCTATTTTACCTTTTGCCATGCAGCAATAGGCATTCCACATTTTACCATCGTTGCTACTATCAATTTTTCATCAATTTTAAGTGTAAATATAGATAACTTTTGTGAATTGATCACCTTCATCATTTCTTTCATCTAGAAATGGGTATCTTTTAAAATTCAAACCTCACAGCAGTTTGTTTCAATTATATGACCAATCCCAGCAATCTATGAATGTTACACCATTTCTGTTCTGCAGAACCTTCTATGTACAATATGTGGAGTTTTATTCATCAATGTCTTTTTTTAAGCAGGGTATTTAGAGGTATTACGGAGGTGTGTGTGTGTAAGGAATTTGGTGTAGTATTCAGACTGAATTGTGTTTAGTTTTGAATTCTGAGTGATTATGCTGTTATGATTCTCTTGACAGTTTCTTAAACTTAGATCCAGTTAAAGAAACTGATATTGTGTGGCTGTTTCCATCTGAACTAAAGAATTAACAATTTTAGTGATTGGAATCCTTCTAAAATTTTGAAGAATGAATTTGGTGCAATCAATTTCTGATTCTGATCAGAAATCGTCAAAATGTCCAATGCTATAACGTTAGTAAAAGGAAGCTAAACGATGATGATCCATGTATGATTTCATTTAGCAATCCTTGCTTGAAAGTTTACATAATTTACAGTAAACTATGTGCGTGAATAGTCTTTCGTAATACATAAAAAGGTGTTCAGTGATTGGACTCCATTTAGAATCTTGAACCATAAATTTTGTGCAATCATTTTTTGATCCTGATCAGAAACGTCCAAACTTATAATCCTATAATGTTGGATAAAGATAAATGGACGCTAAAATATAATGTTGATGAAGCAATGTATGATTTCATTTAGCAATCTTTGAAAGCTTGAAAGTTTACATAACCTGTAGTGAACTGTGCATCTGAATAGTCTGGTACCGGTACATGAAAAGGAGAAAGGAGAAGTGTCATTAATAATAATAATTATGTTATAAATGGTTCGTTTTATTGAAAATCATCTCACAGCCTGAAGGCTCAATTGTGTGACTTTTTACATTTGTATAGCGCTTAATACTACATTTATAAGAACTTTACATTTGTATTTATTATTACCTTGGTCATTGAATTCAGTTGGCTGACCCGCCCATGATATTTCACATGCTCTGCTTTCTGGGGAGTATTCTGGCCAGGTGCCATTTTACAAGTGCACTCAAGCCAATCCAACATAAATGTTCACTTTCTACCAGGTACCCATTGAACACCTGGGTGGAGAATGGCAAATGTAGATTAATGTCTTGCCAAAGCCATGGGGGGACTCAAACCATGAACCATTATGATCCACACCAGTGGCGTATCCACTAGACCATGACACCTCTACTGAATCATGAATAATGGTTATGATAACTGATATAATGCATGTATTGAAAATTATGATGTGTTAAGAAGCTGGAAATATAGATTATGCCAGCATTTTTCAACTCGGGTGCCGCAGGACATCTCCAGGGGTGCCGCAAGAGAAATTAATTGAAGACATATTTTTTGATCCATTATGAAATAAAGGGTGAATTTTGTAAAAACAAAATGCTAGAAACCTCTGTTTTTTTCCCTGGAGAAATAACATTTGAAGAACAATTAAGTTGCAAAACGGTATGATTTCTTGCATCTAGGTGACCGAAGATATGACTACTATACAGCAACTTACCTGTGTACATAATATCATATCTTTTTCTAGTGTTAAAAATTACATGGTTTTTCGCTCGCTTGCTTCTCTCTCTCTCGGTGAGTAACAGAGTGATACAAGATTAATCTTCTGTAATTTCTTTCTCTAAAGGGTGCCGTGGCTATAAAAACTGGTGATAAGTGCATTATTCATGTGCATGCCCATCTTTGTGCATGTTTATGTGTTTGGGGTTGAGGTGTGTATAAGCATGCTAAGTTGTCACAATTAATGCAGTTTTGATTGATAATATAATTAATTTGTATATTGATGTTAGCCTGAGGCTAACTATACTATATTTGCAAGTGCAAACAAATCACTCACTTGGTTTTAAATGAAGATAAATCAGTACTTCTATCTACAAATTATACCATATATATCAATCATACAAAGATAATATTAATTATGTCGGAAGTTGGAAATTTGTGGAAGTCTTTATTTTATGATGTTTAAGTTTAATTTATATTTTATATTCTGCTTCCAATTAAGTGTTAAGGATCGAGGTAAGATCTGATGTTTTTTCACTTGGAAAATTCCTTTTCCATAGTATAATGTGACCTGCATAGCTGAGTCAGGTGTTTATTTCAGTTGTACACTAGATTGCGTAATGACATTAGGCCAAGTGGCAGTGACATTCCTTTTTTTTATTGTATGCATGAATTAGTCTGTATGTTAACGTACGTACGTACGCGGTATGGGCGAGTAGCTCTATCTTGGGTGTGGTTAGCTCAGGCACCAATTGAACATCCATATGCAGGGACGTGTTCTAGGTCGGGCAAGACTTTGGTTTTGGAGATCCTTCGGGTATGCGAATTTATACTTGTAAATGCATTTTAATCTTAATTGAGACATTAAGAAGTTACTTAGGATTCGGAACAGAGTTTGTATAGTATTTTGCATTCAGTTAATTGGAGTGCATGGATGACTTTTTGCCACAATTTCTATGTCATGTCTAAACGTTTATGAAACGTCTTTCGATGTAACGAGTTCAAAGCTATCAGTGAAATTGCAAATGATATTTGTTGAGATTGAGAATAGACAGTGAAATCACTACTGTTGTATTTGCTTTGTTAATTATTTCATGTTTAATAATAACAAGTGCAGAAACTTGCTTGTTTTTAGTAGTTGAAAAGAATTATCAACTTAGTTAGTTTTGGCTAAGCTCTTGGTAGTTGTGAACGTAGAGGGCAGCATTTTGTATACAAAGATGGCGGCGCCCATGAATCGTAGATACCGACTTATGATATGAGAATGTGTTTTTGTTATATAATCATAGATATTGAATCTTGATATAGTTTTTCCGTAGATAACATATTACATTGTATATATTTAATACTTAGTGTATTTTCAATGTAGGTTTCTATGGTTACGGGTATATTGACTTTTCATTTACAGCTGGGAGGTATGGGACTACAGCTGGTCCAGGCCTACATGTAGGTGATGACTGCATTTCTGCTTGTAGCAGTGACGGGTAGTGAGTGACTGGAGTTTGCAGTTTGGTTGTCGCAGCTTGTTGCTTGACATTTGTTTGATATGTTTAATCAAACAGTGATACTTTTGATGTTTATAATGCAGTATAGTATAGTAATATTAATGAGCTTTCTGATTAATGCTTTACCATGTTTTGTAAATGCTTTCAAATAATATTATAAAGGATGATTTATTGAGGGAATGAATTGATTCTTTATCAGAGGGTTTGATAAGATAATGCACTTTATGGAGTTAATTGTAATTTTATTGTCTTATATCTGGTTGATGATTAAGATGCTTTGATGATTAAGATGTTTTGATAATTAAGATGCTTTGAATATTTAGATAAACATTATCTGAATATGAGGAATCTCTAAATAAAGTACGAGACACACATATATTGTTTGTAACAATATATGATTATTCGATGACTAGAAGTCTGATTGGTTTTTATACAATACATGCATATTGAATATGTATGTGAACGATGACATTGAACTACTTGAATCTGTAATATGGTACAAGTGATTTATCACTGGCTTTTTCTGTATCTTTACAGGGTTTTTTGTTAACGACACAGAATAAACTTCAATGCCCTTATATCTGCTGTCCTGTCTCATCATTGATACTACCGGTCCCTAGCAAGGTCCAACCCCCACCCATGACAACTATATCAATAAATACCAAACTTTCATATTGTTTGTATGAGTCTAATACTTATGCCCAGGCGCAGATCCAGGTGGGGGGGGGCGAGCGGGCCTTGGCCCCCCCCCCCCCTCCCCCGCAAAAAAAGAGAGAGAGAGAGAAGGAAAAGAAAGGAAAGGGAAAGAGGAGAGAAAGGGAAAGAAAGAAGAGGAGGAAGAAAAGAAAGGGGGGGGGAAGGAGATTGGGAGGCGAAAGGGCCTTGCCTCCCAACAAAAAATAAAAGAGAAGGAAGGAAATGGAAAGAAAAGAGGAGATAAAGGGAAGGAGAAAAGAGGAAGAAGAAAAAAAATAAAAAAATAAGAGGGATATCAGTTGCAATTTTCCCGCCAACAAGTTGTAGTTCGGGCCTCGGGGGGCCAAAAGGCCCTTGCCTCCCCCCCCCCCCCCATCCCCGCCCCCCCCCCCCCCAAAAAAAAAGGGGGGAAGGAGGGGAAAGGGAAAGAGGAGAGCTAAAAGGGAACAAAAAAGAGGAAGAAAACAAGAAAAGCGTGAAAAGAAGGGGAGAACAGTTGCGATTAATCCCATCAACAACGTGTGGATCGGGGGGGGGGGGGGGCAAAAGGCCCTTGCCTCCCCCCCCCCCCCCAGAAAACCTAAAACAGAGAGAAGGAAGGGAAGGGAAAGGAAAGGAAAGGAGGAGAGAAAGGAAAAAAAAAAAAAAGGTAGGGGAGATCAGTTGCGATTTTCCCGCCAGCAAGGTGTAGATAGGGGGGAGGGGGGTGACAGATGCCCTCTAAATATAATTCAAACGTGGTTATTTCGAATTCGAAACCGATGATTTACAAATGTTGCTGAAATGACATAATTTTCCGAGATTTTTCTCACTGTCATTATCTTTAGTAAATAATACTTTTTTATGCGTTTTTTGGAAAATGGCAAATTCTTAAAGAAAGAAAGAATATTGACCTGCCTTTGTCACAAAATAATGACCGTGATTAAATGCCTAAAACCCCTGAGTTTCCGGGGGCTCTGCCCCATGGATTCCACCCAGGGCCGTAAAGGCGGGCACCTGAATGCTCATCTGACGGTAATTTAATGCCTAAAACCCCTGAGCCAATTAGTGACCTGACAGGCTGACAGTGTCACAAGTAAGGTATCATTATGCTAATCTGACCGTAATTAAATGCCTAAACCCCTGAGCTTCAGGGGCTCAGCCCCCTGAACCCAACCAATGGCCCTAAGGTGGGCCCCTAGATGTTCATCTGACCGTAATCTATTGCCTTAAACCCATGGGCCTCCAGGGGCTCCGCCCGTTGGACCTCACGCCAATTAGTGTCCTGCTAGTGTCACAAATGAGGTATAAAAATATGCTCATCTAACCGCAATTTATTGCTCAAAACCCTGAGCTTCGGGGGCTCCGCCCCGGACCCCACGCCAATTCGTGACCTGCCAGTGTCACAAATTGGATTAAAATATGCTCATATGACGGTAATTTAATGTAAAAAACCCTGAGCATCTGAGGGCTCCGCACCCTGGACCCCACACCAATTTGTGTCCTGCCAGTGTCACAAATAAGTCATCAAAATATGCCAATCTTACCGTAATTTATTGCCCAAAACCCCTAAGCTTCCGGGGACTCCGCCCCCTTAACCCCACGCCAATTCGTGACCTGCCAGTGTCACAAATTAGGTATCAAAATATGCCCATCTTACCGTAATTTATTGCCCAAAACCTCTGAGCTTCTGGAGGCTCTGCCCCCTGCACCCCACGCCAATTCGTGACCTGCCAGTGTCACAAATTAGGTATCAAAATATGCTCATCTGAAGGTAATTTAATATATAAAACCCCTGAGCTTCTGCGGGCTCCTTCCCTTGACCCCGTGTAAGAGTGGGGTGATGCAGATTTTTTATTTTGTCTACCCTCTAACGTTTTTGCTCATTTCGCCACTGCCGGTGTTACCCATTACGTACCAATATTTGGCTCGCATAATTTCAAATTTGGGCCCCCCCCCCCCTAAAAAATTATGGATCCGCGCCTGCTTATGCCAATGCCAATGTGTTATTACATTTTGTAGAGAAGTCAAAGCTGCTCATTTTGCAATGCATGGTGATATGAAAATAAAGTGTTAAAGCCCCTCTAGAGTGTTGGGAGCACCAACAAAAAATTGGCAAAATTTCACTTAAATTGTATCATAATGTGAAAGAGGGTGTCATTTCAGGCACATTTCTGCAAAGATTTTCAAAACAAATGTGTTTGAAGTCGAATATTGATGAAAAAATACAAAATTTAGGTTTTCTGCATACAACAAAAAACCCAAATTACGTATTCTTTTATCAATTTTGTCTTTTATCAATTTTTTTTAGGGGCGGGAAATCTTTGCAGAAGTGTGTCTTAGATGACATCCTCTCTCCCATTATGATACAACTTAACCCATTGCTTACGGGAACCTGGCGGTCCCTGTGTTAAGCCTATGGGGAATAAGATAATTCAGCAGTCTACAGGTTAAGTGAAATTTTGGCGAATTTGGGGCTCCCAACACTTTATAGGGGCTTTAAGGCTACATTAACCTCGTGCACGTGAGGTTTCAATAAATTTGTTTAATGTTAAAGTGCTATGGAGGAAGGTTAATGAGTATGATTGTCATTGAAACATTACGTTATTCATATCAGTGGCGTTCGGTCGGGTACACTATTCAGCCATTGAGAGGCGTTGGGGGCGGGGCGGCGCAACGATCTTATTTGGTGCATGAAATAGGGGAAGGCAGAAGGACATTGAGTGAGGGGATGGGAGGGGTGGGGGCTTGGAGTGAGTTGTATCATCCCTCTTCATGGCTTTTCTTCTCGTTCTCCTCTGTTCTTCTCTTGTTCTTTCTCTGTTATGTTGTCCTTAACCTTCCCATGTTTTATTAGGAGGCACTTGCTTTTATAATAGCTTACACATTATTATTTATGACCTACTCTACTATGAAAATATTTAAAAAAATCGAAATACAGAGTGAACTTAATTTATGGGCACTCTATAGACTTACAGGTCCGATGGAATTCAAATATTAATTTGTTATGAGGGTATCCGAGGAGTAGGAGATCAGAGTTCACTAATAAACCTTGGCAAAGTTCAGATAAACACGCCCATCCCGGTTCTCCTATAACTCCATAAAAACTCAAACCTACTCATTAGTTTGGGTCAGTCGAAGGGGATAACAGCAAGCTTCTCTTTGATCAGTCAGTCACACAAAGACGAATCCACTTAGATCAAGAATTCAACATCGACTGGGTGACAATCACCCGTCATGGCGGTTCATCAACTGCATTATATTGCTGTGGTCGTCGTCCTCATCGTTTCGTCGTCACACGCTTTCGACATCAGTTACAACGCAACTCATTTCTATGTTTCTCTGAACGGAGTTGAGCTCATCCGCCATTCTCCCGAAGAACCGTTTCTTTATGTCGGGTCTGGCATACCAACCTTCGAAGGCCAGTTTGGCAACTACGATGTCGAGGACTTTGTCGAGGAGCGCATTGCCCTTATCGACTTTCTTGTTGACGACCAGGATCCAATTAGTGTCCATTTTACTTTAAGTCGACTAGATATGCTGCAGGTCAGTACATTAGACCATAGAATGCCGCTTCCTTTTTCCCTGTAGCCTTTTATTATCAATATATCAGCGCATTGAAACATAAATGCGGGTGTGTATTTACTATTTCTTCAGTTATTTTGTTCAAAATAATAGGAAATCCGAAATAACGCTTAAACCAGATAATAACCCACTGAGAGGGAAATAACCATGAAATGAATATCATTTTACTCGCGTGTCATTTTGTGTGTGTGACAACAACTATTTTGAATTTCAAAGTTTTTATTCAATAGTGTATATTATAATTTCCCAAATGATGATCTAACAGAAGTCTCTTTCCTCTGAAGCCTAAGCGTATTATGTTCCCTGCCAAACAACAACAAAATGCATCATGAATTCGAACAAGGTAATAAATGTATTGCTTTTGTTCCGAAATAGTTCAAGCTGATTCTTCCATCATTTTGCTAGGACAATAATGATTACTCTACGGTAAAATGTAACTTTATACTTCATAATCAAGGGAATAAGTTCGCCATTAATTCTTCTCATTCTTCTTGCACTCTTTTTTTAGAATCATTATGACGATGTAAGAATGATAATATGAAAACGCGTTTTTATGTATGGTTGGCATGTATTAACTAGCTCTTGTCGAGTAATATACAAAGCAGATTTTTTAGATTTATATCTTAGGTGTATAATCTCTCGCTTGAACATTTTTGATTCAGGAAGGAAAATGCCCCTCTAAAACCACATGTCGGAACTTGATTAAGTCTATATTGGCACAGTTAAATGTTTGTGTTGTTTCTGTGTTTTTTGGGTTTTTTTCTGGGGGGGGGGGGGAGGGGGTTAGAATTTTGTCACCAAGAACCGAATTTAGCAAATAGATTTCTCCTGAAAGCGAAATGTCTGAACTTTGTTCTTACGATTGAATATTCGGATCACCATTCATGCACCATGTGGAATAATAGAATTTCATTTTTACCTTACACAACTTATCTTAGCCTTCATGTTACACCGACATCTACAGGAAAAAAAATCGTATAGAGATCAGTGACTATAACTAGCATCATCATCCCTTCCCTCTTTCATGCACATTTTTATCCAAATAATTACATGATTACTTGTAATTGCGTTCAATCGTCATAATGTATCAAACAGGTATTGTTTTTATATGCACTTGCTATTTGTTATGTTATTCTATTATATTTCTCTTGAAGTTTCGTGTTTTTAATTTTCATTTATAATTATATTTTGATTGTTGTTGTTGCTATAATCATGTAAATCAATAAAATACATAAATACAAAATGGTATCTTCCATCCACTTTGTTTCTTAACTTTTATTCCATTTCTAATATTCTTGTAAACAACCTGTGTGATAATTCGAATACGAATCACAGAGAATTATCAATAAATACCTATTTTTACATCACGTTGTATTTGTTATAAAATGATAAGTATTCATTAGAAAATTGCATTCACATTTCATTAGGTTGAAATCCGCTTCGTAACAGACGTTGATGGTTCGTTATACTACGGTGAGTTCGTGAGTCTCTCTGATGGTATCAATCGAGTGTGGATGCGCCTCGTCGCAGAGGAGGATGAACACGTGTTCGGTGGAGGATCACAGTTCTCTCATTTGAACATGCGAGGGAAAAAGTTCCCAATCTGGATCCAAGAACAAGTAAGCTCAGGATTCTATATTTCTAATTCCTTGAGATTAAACCCCGACATAGAAAATTGCACTTTTGCATCACTTATAGCTCTGGTCTGCTTTTAGTTAGCACCCCCTTCGTTATCATAATGATTGTTATTATTCTGTATAGCATTAATATTAATATATATATATATATATATATTTTTTTTTTTTTTTTGGGGGGGGGGTAGATTTGATAAAACCAATTTGAAACTCTCATTGACTCCAAATAAAGCTTTTGATGTGCCCTTTGGAGCAAATAGATATGAAGCCATGTCAGGCATATTTTATCATTCATTCAGACTATGACCTTGCTTGTTGAATAATTACCCCCCCCCCCCCCCCCTTGGTAAAATATATTTGTATCGTTTTATACTCAAAAGTCACAAAACACAATTTTTTAATAAAAACATTTTTACTGATAGGATTTACGATTTTTAAGTTTGGGATGCTGTAATTCATTTACGCAATCAAGCGGGAATCTTGTGACTTTTTAAAGGAAGTTCGCTGTTATTATTGGTGTATGATTAGGTTTTATGCTAAAGTATTACGGTTATATTTCATGCGATACATTTAGATGCATTTTGCTAAATTTACCACCCTTATGTACACATGCGCATTTCGGCCACTGGCTACGAGACATGTTTGAATAAAAGTTAACATTTATAATGTTTTTATGTCTGAACTTTGCTTAATGAACCTTACGAACAAGTCTTCATTATGTGGCATTATACGTTTTAAAAAATACAGTACAAAGTCCACCTGCCTTCGTGATTATATTTCTTACTAGAATCTATTCATGTCCCTAAATATATTGATACACGTGATTCGACTAAATGATTGACGATCACAAGTCATGGTTGTTTGTTGATTGGTGATACTGTACATTGTTTGCAGTTGAGGTAATGATCTTTAACGTAACTAGAATTAAGCAAAGCTCTATCCCATGTTATATGCCCATCATGAAAGATTGAATAGCCTCTCCATTCGTTCTTCTCTATTAATTCTCTTTCTTTAGCATTCAAATTGTCATCCGATTCCTTCTACTCCCTTGTTCTCTCTTCATGAAATCTCACCCTAACATACACTTGCAGTTTTCAATCTTAAGATGTTATAATATGCATCCCCTCTTGAGCCCCTAGTTATTCATGATCTCTTAGAGTTAGAAGATTTCCATCATCACCTGACTACCACCACCACCATCTCCCTAGATCGTCACAATCTTTCCTGAATCATTGTACACCTACTCCAGGCTACATCATTAAAGACATCTCCTTGCTTGTGATGGTGTCAGATTTTTATTTCCCGGAAATCATATTACCTATTGTTAATTTCCAGTCTACCACTAGCTACGGGGCAAGTGCCAAATGCGGAAGGGGTGGTTGTATGAAATAATCAATTTGCTGTTTGTTCTTTTGTTAAAGGTTAAAAAAGTATGAAGAGAATAGGGTTTGTAAATGGGGTAAGGGGGAAACAATATTTTCAGGCCAGATAGAGAATTATTTGATTCAGTTTTATTGATTAAAAATTATATACAACTACTGATATAGACACGAAGGACATACACACAGAGAAAAATAGGTTTGAATTTACTCCCTATAGGTAGTAAATGCTTGTCGCATAAGTGACACCCCTTAGGGAGTAAATTTACACCCCACAAGGTGTAAATTTGCGACCCAAGGTTATGATTTTACTCCCTTTAAGGAGTGAAATGTGCACCCAATGGTGCTTAATCAACACCTTTTGGTTCCATTTTCATGAAAAATGGGTTCAAATCTACACCCGTACGGTTGAATTTTAAACCCTATATGATCGATTCCACACCCTGTGGGGAGTAAATCTACACCCTTCTTATGTACAGCATCAACCAATTGATCATCCCTCGAGCAATCAATCATGCTTCGTAATCACCTAACAGTCGAGTTATACCTAACATCTCGAGTATCTCGAAAAGCTTTATTGCTTACCTAAACAACAGTTAGTGTGAACTCAACACAAGTGCAGACTGTAAAAACCAACTTAAAGTTAGCCTCGGTGAGGCTGGCCTGGATGGACGTATCGGATCAAATGTAGTGGAAATACCTAAAAACACAATCCTGCCTTCCCGTGTGTGTGTGTGTGTGTGTGTGTAATTGGGTTTTTACAGACGTGTATCAATCAGATATGATTATTTACGTCTGGGGACCGATTTTTAACGTCACCATCCGAAAGACGTGACTCAGTTTCGAACCTGCGTCCTTTACTTACACGTATAAGAAGGCAATTATGTACTAGTTAGTAAAACAACACTTCTGCTAATTTCATTAAATTATCAAATATAACCTTCGGTACAACCCCTTATTCTTGATCAGATAACTTTCACAAAAATAATATGCCCAAATGAAACATGATACATATGGAAACGTTATATCATCCGCTCAATCTGACTCGCGTGTATAGAACAAATAAGCATTTTTCCATGAAAAAGTGAAGTTTTCTAAAATGTGCGTTTCTTTCCAGCATTGGGGCGCCCGGAAGTCACTCGTGTAACATTTCATAAAGTATAATATAAAAAGACCATATGCAAATTTTCTGTACTTTTGTCGGAAAAAATACATTTATCCAGCACAATGTCGTCTCTTTTTGCGTTGGAGAAGAGCAAATAGCGAGTTTCAATCACACTTTGGCCGCTCTCGCAAGCTCTCACTCGTTTCACTGTGGTCAAGCGACTTTGGGGCAAGCGGTTAGTGAACATACTAATCGTTAGCTTTCTTCTGGTATTAAACTTGTTTTGATTGATTGTACAATTTTGTCGGAATAAAGGAAACAAAGAGGCTCGACCAATAACTTATCAGTGTCTGAATTGACCTTTTGACCTTGAATTCCCTGATGCAAGCGCACTAATGACGTCATCTCCGCCAAATCGGCGTCTTTTATCGTAAAATGCGACACTTTCACAATGTTTATACATTTTTTTTTAACTATTAGTAAGATTTAACATATTTTTTCTGATATCACTGAAGTTTTGGGTTTTTATTTAATGAGTAATTTTAAAATAAGAGCCGTTTTACTGTTTTAATTACTGGATCGTACCATAAAAGTCGCAGGGTAGAAAGATGCATTTTCCAACTGCACCAAATTTAATTTACGTTCCGACATTTTGTTAAATGGGATCGTGTTGTTAAGAATCCACTGCTTTCTGCTCCAACAAACGTCCACACGCGGAGTCATTTATCAACTAAATTATTCAAATTTATAGATGCTTCCTAGCTTCCCAGGTGTTTGTGTTGCTGTTGAAGCATTTCATTCACCTGCTATCATTCTTTGTACTCCAATTGCCAGACCACAAATTTCATTTTGGTTTTATAGTTTCATCGGAGTCGTTTATCAACTATATGTATTCAAATTTATGAATGCTTCCTCCCCAGGTGTTTGTGGTGTTTATGCATTTCATTCACCTGTTATTATTCTTTGTACTCCAATTGTTGGAATACAAAATGCATTTTGGTTTTATAGTTTCATGCAATAAGTAAGTTAATAAAAGAGTATGTTCTGCACAATAAAAACAATGTGTGTCACTAATGTACAATGTAATGTGTCCCCTCATTTTGTAATAGTTAATTTACCCATTCACATAATGGAACTACCTGCCCGATGAAGCAAGTGGCCTGTGACCCCTGAGCACTCAACACCGTGTGGGAGTCAGTTTGTGATCAACTTCTTTTATGAGACAAAAACAAGCAAACGTTTCCATATGATTCCCCAACATGACTAAAATATGTAAATTATGCTAATATTCCTTCATTGGCAGTACCTATATCGACACGATGCGCCATTGCTCGTCTGACTAAAATAGGGTGTAAAATTACACCCCTCAAATGACTATTCTGTACACCCTTGCGTATTTCCGTGTTTTACTCCCTAAAAGGTGTAATAGGGGGCGCCCTATTTTTCCAATTTCGTTTTACTCCCCAAGAACACCTTTTATTTCTATGTGTGTACATGCTGGTTTTAGACCATCTTGTTACAACACATGTATATAAAAAGACCATGTAGATAATTGTACTAACCTGATTACACATTAGAAAGACTGAAACGTCCCTTGTTGGGCAATGAAGTCTACTACACCTGCACACTATAGAGAACATCCACGAGGTTCTAATGTAATAAATACATCCACGCTCTCATACGCAAAGCATGAACCTACTAAAAATGAATTAAGGTCAATGCTCAAATTCACTAATTACAGGCCTGGATGAATTCAGTCTACCAACCCACGAAACAACGAGATATCATTCTCCAACCCTAGAAATCCACATACCCTAGGACAACAAACATATTTCATACTTTGTAATAACATTACGGAGAGTGAGTGAGAGAGAGAGAGAGAGAGAAATATAACTAATTTAGATATTACACCTGAGGTAAACCAAACTGTCATATTGAATTACAGCTACAATGAATCAATTCACTTCCCTCAAGGCATTAATATTGTTAGTTAAATCAATGCAGCTTTATTTCTATTCCAGCCTTAAACATTTTGAATTCAAATCGGCAACCAACTTTCTCTTCGAAAAACAGCCGATATATATATACCTTTCCTTGCTAAGGGATGAAAATAAAAAAAGTCGAGACGATGACTTTCTTGGGAGAGTTCTTGACAATTAGGCTTCCTTGATTGAAAGTAGCCGAAATCTTTTGACTTACTCATCATGGAAAGTTGGCTTCCAGTCGAGGATAAGAAGCCGTCTTTCGAATATGAACAAACGGACTTTACTAAGACGGAAATATGAGACGTTAAATAAATCAAACGTCGATTTCCTTGAAATAAATTTTACGTTGACATACAAACGAAGATGGACATTCGGACCCAGGAGCGTGACTTACCTCAGACAAGAAGACACGTGGACCAGATACCTAGGTCTCAAAATTAGTCACATCGACCTCCTTTGAACTGAAAGAAAGGCCAAAGAATTCACTCTCAGACGCTTTGCAGTTGATGTTTGGTTATTTTATTTTGAAGGCAACAAAACAGCCCCTGTAGAAACACAAGAGTAAAAACAAATGTAAATTAAAAAACATCATAACATTCAAATAACCAATTACATAATTATATACTTCATGATCTGTATCAGCAACAAAGAAGGTGTTCAGTAAATAAGTCCATTATAGACCAGCATCAAACATTGTATCAACTATTAAATAATCATCACTATTATTTTCATGACTTCAATGAACAATATATGAATAATGAATAATATATCATGTGTAATATAACGGCTAAAGGACAGTTAACTTTTCATTTCACAATATAATACCTTACATCAATTAAGCAAAACCTAAATTACAGTTAAAGTGTAAAAAGTAACAACAGATTCATTCAATACATAATGCAAATACCTTGAATACCTTGAATACCAAAGCTTCTGGAAGAAAGCCGTCTCCAGCTGCCAAGCTTCCAGGTCTAACTTCAAGGGGGGGGGCGGGATGTCCCAGCTTCCGGGTCTTGCACCATGGTCATTTTAAATCTGTATCTTGCTTGCTGGGTCCCGTCAACTGGGAGAAGGGCGAATGATATTGCTCCTTCTCTGGTTCTGGTTCTGGATTTTACTCCGACAAAGCGGGATCCCGCATCACGTCAGAGGGCTGACCTGGGGGTTGACCTGGTGGAGTTATTTCCGATTGGTGTTTGTGAAAAAATCGCAGAGCCTTTTCTTAAAAATGTCTATGTTTGGGCCGTCTAAGTTTGGGGCGTCTTCCAGTGATTGTCAAGTCTGACTTTCAAGCTGTTTACCGAGGTTGCAGATACTACCAACTCGTTGAGGACCCTGTGGCTAAATGAGTCTTGCCTGAGTTTGGTGTTGCACCTGGGTTTGGTCAGTTTGAAAGCATGCCCTCTCATTGTTGAATTGATTGCAGGTGTGAAGAATTGGGTAGAGTCCAACCTGTCAATGTTCTGCATTAACTTGAACACCTGAATCATGTCTCCTCGGTGGCGGCGGTGGCTAAGTGAGAGAAGCTTCAAACTCTCAAGTCTCTCATGGTAGCTTTGGAGTTTTATCTCTGGTACCATTTTTGTTGCTCTTTTTTGTACTTTCTCTATGATTTTTTCGTCCTTCACATAGCGAGGGTGCCAGATTACATTGCCATATTCTAATATGGGACGGACAAGACCTTTATAGAGGAGTGGAATTGTTGATCTGTCCTTGCAAGTGAAAGATCTACGTATGCGAGCTAGTACTCCATTTGCTTTTCTAGCAGCAATATTGCAGATTGTTGATGAAATCTGAGCTTCTCGTCAATGACAACTCCAAGGTCCTTTTCTTCTTCGGTTTCTGGGATCTTTACACTGTCTAGCTCATATTCCCTCCGTGGATTGCCTGCCCCTATAGGTGCAGGGTCTTGCATTTCTTTGCATTGAAGTGGAGCTGCCTTTTATCTGACCATCCCTCAAGTTTCTCTCTACAGGATGGTGTAGTCTTCCTCAGACGTAGCTTTGCCATACAGTTTGGTGTCATCTGCATGCAAAGATTTTGACTGCTGCCTCAATCTCATCTGGAAGGTCATTTATGTAGATGACAAATAGAAGAGGTCCGAGCACGCTCCCTAGCTTGCGGTACTCCACTGGTGACTGGGGTCCAATCTGACATGTTGTGGTTCACAACCACTCTCTGCTTCCGTTCAGTGAGGAAGTCTTGGATCCACGTTCTGATAGGACCAGAGATTCCATAGGCCTCGAGCTTGTGTATTAGACGCTGGTGTGGAACCGAGTCAAAAGCCTTACTAAAATCAAGGTAGACTACGTCAATGGACTAGCTCCCCCTTGTCGATCAAGTCCGTCCATGCTTCCATAGCACACAGCAGTTGTGTCATACAGGACCTTCCAGGGACGAATCCATGCTGATGGTCACTGAATAGGTCATTGGTCAGCATATGGTCAGATACTTCATCTCTGATCAGAGATTCCATGAGTTTGCAACAGACAGAGGTGAGACTTATTGGTCTGTAGTTGCTAGGATCTTTCTTGCAGCCTTTCTTGAAAACTGGAGCAACATTGCTTTGCTTCCATCTAGTTGGTAGTTTACCTTCTTCCAAGGACTTGTTGTAAATTATGGAGAGAGGTAGACAGGTTGCTGAGGCTGTTTCACGGAGTAGGCATGGATGTAAGTTGTCCGGTCCGGCACTCTTATATTTTGACAATTTTTTAAGCTTGCGTAGAACATTATCTGGGGTAATAGTGACAGTCTCTACTGGTTCTCCTTGGTATTTGCTGTCAAGAGTGGGAATATGTTCTTTGTCCTCATTTGTGAATGTTGTTGCAAAATACTTGCTTAGAATATCTGCTTTCTCTTTGTCGTTACTGGTCACTTGACTATCTTCTTTCATTAAGTCTCCAATCTGGCTCCGTGAGTTAAATCTCCCATTCGTGTATTTCCAGAAGGCTTTGGGGTTGGTTTTGATATTTTTGGCAATATCTCTCTCTCTCTCTCAAAGTCTAAGCAGAGCTTCTTGGTTAAGTGTCGCAAGTCCTTGGCTTCCTTGTTTGCAGTCACCTTATCTTCCATTCTGCCCGTTGCAATGTAGTTGGTCCATGCTTTTGCTTTCCTCATCTGTTTTCTCATGGCAAATTTTGTCATCCATGCATGCTTCTTCTTCCTTCTGCTTGCCCTTGTTGTAGGAATGTGTTTCTGCATCTGGACAGTCAAAAGGCTCTCTAGGAACTCCCAAGCCTTGTTTGTTGAAAGGTCACCTATCTCTCTTTCCCAGTCGACCTCATTCAGCTCATTCACTATTTCCTGGTACTGCCCTCTTTGGTACTGTGGTCTTGGTGAATGACCACTTCCTTTGTCAGGGTAGACTAGGAGATCGAATAGGAGGCACACATGGTCGCTATTTCCAAGTCCTGGCAGGAAGTCAATGTTTGAAATGATGCCATCTCTATTAGTTAAGAGGAGGTCAAGCAGGTATTTGGTGTTTGGTTCTCTCTGTATCTAGTGCTCTCCTCTACATGTTGCGTTAAGAAGCAGTCCTCTATTACATCTATGAAAGCTTCTTCTGATTTTTTTTATGTAGTGTGGGTTTCCCAGTTGATACTAGCATAGTTGAAGTCAGCGGCAATCAACAGATGAGATGCCTGCAGTTCCCATGCTTTGCAAATGAGCTGGCATAGCTTTGTGTTGTTCTCCTTATCCTTCTGTAGATGCACCCCATCACAAGTTTGTCGTTTCCTCTCAGTTTCATGGTTACCCACAGGTTTTCCTCAAAGTCATGCAGGACTTCAGTTCCATCAACAAATTAAAAACCAATAAGACTCACCGCCCACACCATATAAAAAAGGCTTGACTTCAACGAACGCCCTTGTACAATACAGTCTTTGTGGTCCTATGAGGGATAAAACGTAATATATTACAATTAACATACAGCAAAATTCAAAGGTATAAATACATACAATTCAGTTATAATAGACCATTAATCTGTATAAAATCGTAAAACATCGTACCACCAATAAAATTAACAAGTGCGAGTTTAGGATTTCACTTCGTGTACATGCACATACGCCACTCAAATACTATAAAAAGGATCGCATTGCAAGAACACATTACACACTCAAATTCTGCCAATATCCATAGGAACATCAATAATTGTTCAACAAGCATATAAGTAGGATACATGTATTATATATAACAATAAATAAATGTAAAATTTATCAGGATAATCGAATGATTAACTCACATGTAACTCAATTGCCCACTATGCACGTGCACCACTTGTGACTTCTCTGCAGTAATGTCTTCTCCAGTAATGTGAAAGCTGTCACCTCCTGCAACCGAACCCAAGCCCAGGTCATTGTCCAGCGTGCACTCCAGCCATTGCAAGAGAGGCCTGAGTGCACACTGAACAATAGCCTGCACCAAACCCAGGTCCAGCCACAGGAGGCAACAATCTCACATTACTACAAAGAGAAAAAAAAAGAGAAATAAATAATAATGAATTTTAATTTTTACTCGAAAGTCATCTTGGCGAGATCTTTCTAGGCATCTCGTCTTCTCATCCAGAGAAAGCCGACTTGTATCGTATTTTTCGTAGTATCATCACTTTGTCATTGCTGACAAAAACTGCGTCCATCACAATGACTGTCGGTATCATCCCATGTCCCAAATTCTCTCCTTGATATGAAGTAACAAAGTGTAGATTATTATCCACATATTATGTCATATTTGAACAGGGAGTTGGGCGAGACAAGAATTACGAGATCACGTTCAAGGCTGACCAACGGGACGGCGGGGGTGGCGACTATTATACAACCTACTGGGCTCAACCAACGTTCGTCTCGTCTCGCTTGTACTATGCCCACTTCGACACCACCACCTACTCTGAGCTGGACTTCCGAGCTGATGACTTCCACGAGATCCAAATCTGGGGGAACTCCCCCAGCCAGTTCCACTTCTTCACCGGAAGCAGTTACATTGAGCTTTTGCAGGGGCTAACGGGATACCTAGGAAGGCAGCCAATGCCTCCTGAATGGATTTACAATGGCACTATCCTAGGGGTACAAGGGGGCACCGAAGCCATGCTCAACTACATTCAGATGGCCGAGGTGAGTGGACAAAACGAATTTTAATATTTCTTCCCCTCCTTTTAATAGCTGTGTTCAATGGTGTCCTCAACTTTGTCATCACCTTACAAAATAGTGTAACATATTAAATTCTTAATGAACACTTTATAAATGTTACCAATAATATCATTGTCTTTATCTGATATCAATCAATTCGGAACAACTCTGATATATTGGGATAATGTATCAAGTAAATGAAGAAGGGCCGGGAATTAAAACATACACTGTCTGCCTATACTGTGAAATAAACTCTGTAATTTTCCTTATTGTTTAACTGCAGGAACAGCTCATCTTTATCGTCATTTTCATTTTGTTTACCCATTACAGGACCATGGAATCAAAGTGAGCGGCGTTTGGATCCAGGATTGGGCTGGACGCATCACTACGTCTTTTGGAAGACGTCTGTTCTGGAACTGGGAATGGAGTCCCGAGCAGTACCCCAACCTCGATACGGTCATACCAGAGCTCAAACAGCGAGGTATCAGGGTTCTCGTCTACGCAAATCCAAATCTCAATAGATTAGGAGGTCTGTACCAGGAAGCTGTCAACGCAGACTTCCTTATCAAGAACAGCTCTGGTGATCCTTATATAGTTGATTATGGTGAATTCTTCTGCGGGATTGTCGACTTCACAAATCCAAATGCGAGCCAGTGGTACAAGGACCGCATCATCAAACAGAATATGCTGGATTTGGGTATCAGTGGTTGGATGGCGGATTTTGGAGAGTACCTTCCGATTGATGCGGTGTTTTATAGTGGAGCTAAGGGCACAGATATTCATAACGAATGGCCCGCCATCTGGGCTCAAGTGAACAGAGAAGGGGTCGAGGAGGGTGGAAAAATGGGAGATATCCTATTCTGGATGCGTGCTGGGTATACAGGATCGCAGAGGTATAGTGTCATGACATGGGCTGGTGATCAGTTTGTCGACTATGGTCTAGCTGATGGCATCGCGTCCGTAATCCCTGGTACATTATCCTTGGGTATGTCCGGCTACGGGATGAACCATTTCGACATCGGAGGCTACACATCTCTCTTCGATGTCACCAGGACCGAGGAACTCTTCCTTCGCTATGCCGAGATGGCAGCCTTCACCACCATGATGCGCACACACGAGGGTAACCGTCCCGACGAGAACTGGCAATTCTACTCCAGCTCACACACCATGTACGAGTTCGCCCGTCACACGAAGATATACGTGGCCCTGAACGACTACGTCAACAGCACTATACGCGAGAACCACGAACTCGGCATCCCCGTCCAGCGTCCACTCTTCCTCCATTACGAGGACGACGAGCGTGTGTACAACATCCAGTATCAGTACATGTTTGGTCGTGATCTCCTGGTCGCTCCCGTGATTGAGCAGGGTCGAGAAACCTGGGATGTGTACCTCCCTACAGATGACTGGATATTCCTTTGGGATGAAGACATCACTTCGGCTGGAGGCGAGACCCTCACAGTCCCTTCTCCGATGGGTCACATACCAGTCTTCTTTAGGTCACAATCTCAGTGGGCTGACACTTTCAGACAGCTAAGAGATATCGAGGCGGGTAAGCACCTATATTTTCTCTAAAGGTAGTGAGATACTGAACATTTCAGAAAGTCGTCGTCCGTCGGTGTGGAACTATTCGGATAAATCTTTAGGCCATATTGAAATTTCATATCGAAAAGTTTCGAATGAAAACCGTTTTAAATGGGAGTGATATGCCTTTGGTTGGAAATCACGTAAATAAAGCAAAGCCTCGAAACCCCTACTCATTTTAAAAGGGACATTTTAGAGGGGGGGGGGGGGTTCTCGAAGTAAAGCCCATCTTCCACAATTTTCGAAAAATGGACCCACGTTCATGATCTTTTTGTGGAAAAGTGACTCATGATTAGATCGGTACACCCCCGTATGTCTTCATAATTATGTGAGTACCCCCCCCCCCCCCCCATGACAAAATAAATATCTTGATAGTATAGTGTAGACCAATTGTTGTTTTTCTTTTAGGATAACTTGTTCATGTCTCTGGTGTATTGCTAACGTCCTTCCCTCTACCTTCTCTTTCCCTATATAATATATTCCTCTTTATTTTCTTCCTCCTAATACAGTAACTGTCACCCCGGGACCGCCCGAAAGCATGACAACTTCTCGAAGTTCCACAGCAATGGCATCACATTTTCTTCTCGCCATCTGCCTGACTATTATGGCGTCATTTTGGTAGTTACTTTGTGTTGATTCGTGTTGTGCAAGATGTATTTCAAGCACTAATCTCTAAAAGTATAGGATTAGAAATCCACTTTTGAGAGAGTCATAATTATGAGGGATCAATTCGTTTAGAGTGGAAATCCACTCGAAAAGGAGTAATTCAATCACTACTTTGAGAGTATTCTAATATATTTGAGTAGATTCAACTCGAAGTGATCCCCAAAAGTGATCCTCCTAAAAAGTGGATTTTCCTCTTATATGAATTAAGAAAGTAAGTATTATCCCGGCTTTAGCTTGGGCCAACCGTAGCGATTAGTGCATTCAAGGAATTATGCAAGTTACTACACCTGGGTGGAGTGTGGTAAATGTATATTGATATCTTTCCAATGGACGTTATTGCTTCGGCAGGAATTCGAACCCCGTACCTTGTGGTTCATAATCCGGACACTTATTCACTACATTACCACATCTCTCCATATACCACAACACTTCTAGGCCTGCAGTATTGTTATGTTAAGATATCATTCATTTTAAATAGCTCGTGTTTGTGTAGTAATCATTATATTCAAGAGCCTTGATAGGCGGGATAGCTGTGTGTTGTATGGACACCACTGGCATCAAATGTCGGTGTGATAATAATCAAAACTTCATGATCGTTGTTCTCTAATTGGATTCATGTTTGGAAGGAAAAAAAAGTGCAAAGGACACAAAGATATAATTATTGGTAAAGAAGTGAACGCCCGAGCGCCTAATCGCTGCATCTCGGTTAAAGTAATGGTAGTAAATTATTGTATTCCCGTGAAAATTTTGCTTCATCATGGAGCCAATTATTAAAATTGTTAAAATCAAGCCATAATATACTGTATATAAAAACAATGATCACTACCGTAGATACAAGGCTTCCTTTATTATACTTTTATAAATGTTACCAATTGAAGAACAATTTTTGTTGGAGGCCAAGGTTTTGTCTTGATTAGAATGAACAAGTTTCAAGTGTGTATAGATGAAGGACATTTTATAGTCTGCATTTTTAAATATAAAGATATTCATATTATTAAATGTGTTTCACGTGCATACATGAACACGTACATGAAACAACTCTTTGTAATGCAACACAAAATAAAGGATGTGGACAAAATCAAGAAGTAGCATCGAAAGCTAGTTTTGTTGATTCCACGCTGGTGTAAGCGAGAAACAAATTAAAATTCGTAAAATGTCTTTTTCGTAAGGTATTCCATTATAATAGAGTTAGAAATCACTTTGCACTGTATCCATTGTTTCTTGTTATCATTCATATTGCAGTTTGAAGCGCACTTTGATACTGTCAGGGTGCACGGAGTTACTATATGCATAATCAGAATTCTGTCATAAAACATATATTTATTACTTTTTTATAACCACTTTGCTTTGTCTATATCATAAATACCATTGATGACAAACTATATACGTCTGTAGTGTGATTGCCTTATTTGTAAGTAATTTTGTGTACAATGGGTAATGGTTTTATGGTGATGAATATTAATCTCTAATGCGCTTTCTGTTACAAAATCCATCGCCAACCTCGATCAAACAAAAAGGCGTGTCAATATAAAGTCCCTTTGTATAAACACAAAAACATTACTGTTAATGTTTAACTTATGACGAATATATAACCTACAGAAAGGACATAAAAATAATGAAATATATAGCATTATTTCAGTTTCTTTAAAAACACAACTCTGTCCGACCATACACACCACTTGTGTACAATTACGGTTCTCTGTTTTATTATATTCTTCTTCTTTTACGTTTTCCTAATCGTATTAACAGAATTACAATTTAATGATTATCTTCGAGAGTACTGTTTGTATCTGATTTCAACTTGGGTATTTCACTCCATTCCACCCCATTCTAACTAAATAACTATATACCAGAGACAGATTACTCTGACCTAAGTAGTTACGAAAAGGTTTTGAGATATTATTCATGCAACATCTTCTTCCTTATTTTTCAAGCCTCATTGACAAATTAAATTGTTCGTATACCAACCTAAAAAATATATGATAATGATGCGTTACTTAGACATGAATCACACCGACAAGACTGACATCATACCCATAACAGACCGACCATTGGCGCCCCCACTGTTCAAGTACGCCAAAAGTGCCCCCTTTTAAATAGGAAAAGTGCTCCTTTTACTTTGACCAGTGCGTATTTTCCTTTCCAATAAGTGTCAATTTTCCATTCTCATAAGTGCCATTTTTAATCTCTAAGAAGTGCCCCTTCTCCTCTGATAATCGCCCTATTCAAATCTGAGAGGTACCCATTTACTTTAACAGGTGCCCCTTTCCTTTGTAAGAAGTGCCCCCTTTTAATAACTACCCCTTTTTAAACTCGGATAAGCGCACCTTATTTCACACATGTGCCCCATTTCCTTATTATAACTGCCCCCATTTAAAAAAGAGCCCCTTTTCCTTCTCATAAATGCCCCTTTTCATCTCTCGTAAATAACCTTTTATCAGTTTCAAAAAGTAACCCCTTTTCACTCCAGATATTTTCCCCCTTCACCTCCGAGAATTGCCCTTATTCAAATCTGAGATACTCATTTTTACTTTGACAAGTACCTCTTGCCCTCCTAATAAGTGCTCTTTCCATCTCTGATAAGTGCTCCGTTTCTTTTTAATAGGAGCCACTTCCCCCTTCTCATAAAAGCCCTCTTTCACCTTTGATAAATGCCTCTATTAAAATCTGATCGGTGCCCCTTTTTTCAATCAATGCACATTTTCCTTTATTATAAATGCCCGTTTCATTCCCATAAGTGCCCCTTTTCAAATCTTGTCAGTGCCCCTTTTCAGGTGCGATAAGTGCCACTTTTCACCTCTGATAATTTATCTTTTAACAATGATACGTGCCCCTTTTCATTTCTAATAAGGGACCTATCCCCTTTTCATAAATGCCCCTTTTCACCTTTTATAAATGTCCCTATCAAAATCTGATGGGTGCCCTTTTTTCCGTCGACAAATGCTCATTTCTCATTCTCATGAGCCCTTTTTCATCCCTGATGAGTACCTCTTTTTGTAGGTGTAAGGAGTGCCCCATTTTCACCTCTGATAAATACCCGTTGTACTTTGACACGTGCTCCTTTTCTTTTCTAATAAGTGTCTTATCCCTTTCGATAAGTGTTCCCTTTTCCTCTCACCATTAAACGCGCCCCTAATTCCAAGCGACCGAGAACAATTTCCCCGAAATCAAAGGTCTTTTCAGTCTTCCGTAATGAAATTTGTGCTTATATAACCCCATCAGGATTGGGTTTTTTCCTCTTTATAAGATGTAATTTTTCGCACTGCGACCTCACAAATCTTAAAATTGTTTCCTCGCTCGCTCGCTCGCAAATGAATATTCAGACCATCACACTCAACTGCAAAGTATGACGCTTAAGCAATATCTTGTATGGTGTATATATGAAGAGAAACAAATATTGAAAAAGCGCCCTTTTTGTTGGTGCTCCCCCTCACCCATCCCCGCCCTTGAAGTCACTCCGCCGCCCCCGAGACCAACCAACAACAACAAATACATTACCCGTATACCAAAACAATAAGTCGGTTTAGAGCACTGATCTCGATTTTTCCGTAGAGATCAGTGGTTTAGAGTCAGTCTGGCGACGTGACCGAGGTATCACCTTAGTACACAATGATTGCACAACACATTGATAAACAAGGTCAATATGCAAGGGTTTCTTTCATATGTACATATTTGTACTGATTTCTCTTCGGCATTTACAATACAGGCACGGATAGACAGATTTAGAGAGCTATAAGGGGCTATAATGTAAAGCCATCTTTGACTTTATTACTGGTAAAAAAATTAATTCTCCCAACAAATTTTTCTGAATATCGAGGTTGTGTTCTTTATATACGAATGATTTTAAATCAGTGAAAAAAAAAACGATGTGCCATTCTTAAAATATGCAGACGACACAGCAATAAACTGAGTAAAAGACAATTTTCGAAATGAGTTGACACATTTTTCAACATGGTGTACATATAACTTCGAGTTGAATGCCTCCAAAATGAAAGAGATGATATTTGATTTCAGAAAGGCAAGGGCATCTGGAACCAATTTAGATGAATTTTATAGATGTTGGCATTGTGGGGAAAAAAAATATACCTTACCTAGTTACAGTGATAGATGACAACTTATTTCAGAACAATGTAAGGTTACAACGAGAAAGTTCGGCAAAGAATGTTTGTTCCTACGAAAAGTGAAATTCTTCTATGTGGATAGGACGATTTTGAGTTTCTTATATGTTCTATAAGTAATGAGTGTTACATGTTCGATTGTATGGTTTGCAGGTTGTAGAAAAGAAGATCTATCAAAACTGGACAATATTAACATGCAGAAAAAAATCACAAGCGTAAAGTGGGACTTGGGGAAGAATGTAAAAAAGAGAATCGTCTAAGAAAACAAAGAAATCATGACAAATGTTAATCATTATTTATTTTCTTTCTACGAGTTTCCCAGGTAAGGGAGAATATTGAGGTTGCCGAGAAGTAGGACACAACGAACACGTTCCTTTCGTATTCAATCAGGGTATGTAACCAAACATAACAAGTTTGTTTCCCAACGTTTCTGCTTTTGTCTCTGTTATGAAATATGAAAAGTAATTATTACAGTGTGGAAATAAATGTAATCTACATTATTACCAGAGTAATGATGTACGTGACGTTTGATTGAAACAATTTAGGATAGTTCTTTTTGTTCACGGTAATACACTTGTACAAAATCAATTTTGTACTACATTGAAAACAGTAATTACTTCGTGTATCTATTCTTAATATGATGAAAATAAAGAACATCGACAATTAGAAAATCATTTAAGAAAATGATATGAGAGTAGTTCAATATCGTTAGTACGGTTATCATTTGCCAATATAATTCAGTATTTTTTTTATTTTCTCGTTTATCAGATTTATTCAGATATACTTCAATTCAGTTTAAAAGCTGAATATTTGTTATGTCTTTAGTGGTAAATAGTTTATATTTATAAATATGCATCAAGGAAGCGACACAAGCCATAACCAAATGAAAATCAATAATATGTATAATCAGGAAATGAACTTAATTAGTGAGAATTACAAGGGGCAGGGTTGGGAGGGGGCATTAAGATTGCTAGTCTTGACAGTTACAGACTCGGTCAAACACAATTTTATTGGGAGGGCATTGACTAGCCCAGATTTGTTGGTTATGTGTAATCCTACTGATGATCTGAAAGACTGAATTTTTTACCAAGAATGATGAATGAAAGAATGAATGACCATACCCTGTACACACATGTACATCATCATAAATTCATGCACTCACATTATCTACATTGCCAAGCGCACGATCTGTACAGACACACTACAACCAAAGGCAATTGAACATTTTATGATACACATTTGTGTGGCATTTATTCATAAATTTTGTTCATAATCAATATCATCAAAAATATATCAAATAGTCATACATGTACACTTTAATTGCAAAAATTGAGACGTGCTGAATATTTTAAATGATACCTCATTCATTTAGTACACTCTCTGTGTCTCCCATCTCTTCCTTTCCTCTATCATGTAAGGAACATATACAATAAAGCTTCAGCTTTTAAAAAGAAAGCTAAAATATTAATAACTTACTTATCAGAAAATTATCAAAACATTTTTAAAAAGAAAATCATGCAATACTTGCATACATTTTGTTGGCACAAAAACAAACAAACAAAGCTTACCTCTTCACAGATTTGAGCTAACTTAAAAAGACAATTAATTCATAAATTTTAAGCTTATATACATAGGCCCCATGACCAATGTTGTTATCTATTGTAGTGAGCAAACTTGTATCACATTACAAGTAGGTGACTCCAAACCTATAACAAGAGTGTCTTGGTTAAGTTTATTTGCAATAGGTATTTCAGTATGAAAATATATTTATTGGCTTCCCTACAGAAATGACATGTAGTTCTATCTTTTCATTCTGCTTAAACTGGTTGTGAGATCCAACAAACTTTAACCCACAATTCAGCTATAACATGGGACTAACATAAAATAAGCATTCATACTTGACTAAACAACCCCCTAATGATCTCTGAATATCTACTCATGTCCCATTGCTATAAAAATGCATACTGTTATCATTACTAGTAGCAAGTCTGTACAAGGTCAGAAAATGGTTTGTAGAGAAAGCTTACAAGTTTAGTTCACAAAGCAGAAACTGTTAAGTACTTTATATACATGCATAATATTTAAAAATTGTTCTTGGTCCTTATTTTGGTGCGTGTTAACCAATCAAACTATATCTTGTTAAAGGATAGTATCTTATTTTCTATTTTTTGGCTTGTAAGAATATATACCTGAAAAAATAACGTCTTTAATTATCTTATTATCCAAATTACAAATTTTGAATGAAAAATACCATTTAAATTGGTGGGGAATAGAAAACCATTTCAAAGAGTAGGGCTCTTGTATTCAAAACTATAATGGATGGAAAAAAAGGATACATTTTAAATTATTCATGTAATAAATTAACCTTCTCTTTGCAGTCATATTGATGAGTAAAATAGAGAAACAAGCATTCAGAAAACAACCAACTCAAAGATTTGAAAGTGCCAAATGGATAGATTACACTCTATCATACTATTGCAGTATGTTACTTGACCCCTAAGTTGCACAGTCACAATTACATAAATCCTCAGCAGTTCTTGTAATATCATTCGCAAAATCACATTGGAGAAATATTGTCTTGAGTGAATTATTCCTAAGTGAAATGTAAGATTGGACATAATTCAAAATAAAGCTACCGGTAAGCAAAAAGAGAATATCCATAGAATGTTTAAATTTGCTTGATGCCACTGAATCAGTAAGAGGTCACATCTCTAATATTACTGTACAATGCAAATGACCGACTGACTGACAAAGGTTCTCAGACATCACAAATAATCTTTACTAGTTTATTTCTCTTGAAGAATCTTCCTTTAAAATTATGGAGACTCGCACAGATGCTGTATATACCAGACATTAGGCATTGAGCTGGTTTGGTCTTCTATTCATAACAGCAAAATCATTATTAATATCATCTCAAAAAAACTTCTGAAGCGTTCACGAATACAAACATCTGCGTACATGTAATGAGGTCTCCATACTGGTTTGATTAATATTGATTCTGCTCCAAAAGTGAGTAACCGAGTACTGTAAAGGCTAATATTGCCTTCTTTCTCTTTGTCTCTGATTTCTTTAATCCAAGGTGTGTAGCGTGCAAACATATGTTCCATTATCTATTCCTGTTCAAGTATTTGAAGACATCACGCGAGAAGCAATAACTAAGACCAGATAATACTGTAGTAGATGCTGTCACATACCTGGGGACAAAGATCATATCATAAACTCTAAATTAACTGTATGAAGTTATTTATTTACCTGGTATTCATTTATTCATTTAGTTTTATTCAAATAGGATTGCTTCTTCAGATAAAACACTGCTGTCCTTGAGGGCCCTGTCAATGTGAATGAAGAAGAAAAAAAAGGATAGTTCCCAATCCTATCACCATGGCTGACTAAAATTTGGTGGAACAGTTGCAGAGTATCCTATAACACAGGTCACCTTACCACTGACCTTAGGGTCTAACACTGACCCTGACTCTCACCTTGACCCTAACCCTGAACCTAACCAAAACCATTCCGTATACCTAACCATAATACCATAGGCGTAACTCCTTACGTAATACCTATTGTTCAGGGGGGGATGAATGAATAGATCATCCCCCCTGAACGATAGGTATCAATGACAGATTTATGCCCATGAATAATACATTGTACTGAAGCATGGTAGGATATTTTGAGTTTACTGCATTAGATGTTGTTACAGGTAATCAGTACCATTAGGAAAGGATGCTTTCAATGCCCATCAAAACACTTGCTGAACACTTTGATTCTGTCTACATAAATTAAAGGAATAAATTCCTAAGTGTAAATTATCATTCCCTAGGGGTAATAAAGTAGTACCGGAACATCTTTGAATTAGTACAAACTTCTTTCATACTATTTGCATGTTGCTGTTGCAGAGACGAGCTATCTGCTAAATAATAGATTTTATAGCAATCAACAATTCAACATTTATATCTAGAAACAGACAGAATGACGAACTCTATGAAAACCAGACAAATATGATAACCCATAAACAAACAGTCTAAGATTGATGAATCCTGGATCAAGTGAGTTACAAGTGAGTAATACATGCAGATGTGTAATACTTGCAATTATAAACACCTTCCTTCATATAAATATATTTCCTCTGAAGACAACATTAATTAAGCTCAACTATTGATATTATTCAAATTTCTCTAAAAGTAGCTCTTACCATAATCCATGTAGGAATGGATGATCTATGAAGCTGAAGACTGGAGCAATGAGGGTGAATCCAACAAGAGATAACTGAACTGCAGTATTCACCTACAAAACACAGATTAGAAAGAAAGAGAATGTACTACTCGTCAGTTTAAGAATTTTATACACTGCTTTTTCATATACACAATTTCATTGGATTAATTCTCATACCGACGCTGACAAAATGTGTAACCAGGTACAAATATAGAAATCGCTGTCACTGTTCATTGTGATATTTGGAAAGAGACAATAAAAAAGATAATGAAAATAGACGAACAGGCAATCAAGAATTATTAAAAACTTATTACTTGAATAAATAATGAAGACGCTATTGAGAATACTTACTAGTACCACTTACCGGTAAATGAATGAGATAAAGACAATCAGGAAATATATAAAATAAAAAACTTCTACTTCAAGAAAACTGAACAACATTAGCTGCATTGATATGTGTATCAGAGTCGTAACACATGATTCACTGATAGAGGTAAGACGTAAACTAGCAAAATATATAAAATTCAACAGTTAAAATATAGGTTTACTGGATAACTTGGATTTGATTTATAAAAATCTGAAATTATCTTGGACCTGCCCACAAACGCAACATCAGGCAATGTTACTTACCTTACTAATAAAGGTTGGCTTCATCTGTACAGTAGCATGGGTGACATCAAAATATCTTCTTAATGTGATTGGTTGAGGCAAGGACTGATAGCGTAGGTAGAATGCAGCAGACATGAGACCAACATCCCTCAGAATAATGAGAGCTGTCAGGGGCACTAGAAAGAGACAGACATATGTCAGATACAAATTTTACTTTGATGAAGCATTTATGTGTGTCTTATGAAAGATAATGCTTTGATGATCATACTAATGTTATGTGTTTAAAGTATATTTAGATTAAGAGTAAATGGTGACAAGAACGATGATATAGAAAACATATGAAAAAAAAAATGTTTGGAAGTAAACATAGCTGCTCTAATAGTAATTGTGAGGCAAGGTGAAGAAAAGGCTAAATTAAGAAGGAAATAAAAAATGCAAAGAAAGACGAAACACACATTTCAACCCGCAAATATAAATAAAATAAATATTTTTCATGAACATCAATGACATAACGATGATAATCACACCAAACAAAATATTGAAATTGCTGTTTAACCAGTCCCAACTTATATGGAGTAAGATTACTGTTAAACTGTAAGTAAGTTAAATTTGGCTCTCAGCTCAAATTCTAAGGGCTTCATACAGTTAAACTGCATTAGATATGCCATCAACATCATCACAACAAGTTCACAAGACTGGACTTACATGGAATAAGGTCACTGTAGGTCAAGGAAATGGTGAGAATACTGATGAGACATTTATCAGCCAGAGGATCTATGATAGAACCTAATACAGACTGCTGGTTTTCAAAATTCCTCGCTATCCATCCATCCAGCTGTGGAATAAACAGAGAACAATTTGAATTTGAATTCAAGAAAGCTGGTAACTGCAACAGAAATACATGAGATTTAATCAGAGAATACATTTATGTCATTCATTTTCTACTAAGCCAGTAAAACCTATACAATGATAGAAACATGTACATTTCACAATTTTCATTAAATCATATTATAAATAAATGTATGAATACTTCTAAAGTAAAATTTGCCATCACTTTGGAGCATTTACAAAATCATTTAAAACGAATTAAAATGAACTTTAAAACGAATGAATGCTATAAAAATTGCGAACTTGCATGGATTAAATTTGTCTCTTTTTCTGATTATCCAATGAATTAATGAGTGACAATCTTTTATAGGACTTAATACAAATGTATTTTTGCCAATTACCAAATCTGATACACCAGCTAGAACAAATAAAGATGATCCAAGGAGATACTGTTCATTGACCACTAGGTAACCAATGTAAGGAGATAGGGCTAGCCGCATTGTCGTCAGCAAGTTTGGGATGGTGAAAATGTTCTCTCTCTGAAAATGTCCAAAAAGAAGAAGAAAAAAATAATTATATAATTTAAATGCATACAAATATATAAATAGGTTACATGATTCATACATACTTATGTGTACACATGTATTAACAGCAAAGACATTCAATTTTTAGAAAAATATTTGGAGCAAAGAGATATTTTCTTCCAACCACAGAGATATTTATAATACATCAGAAAGAACTATTTAGTGTGAAGAAAAAAACACTTACTAGTTCCTTGACTTTGATCTTGCTCTTTTCCACCTGCTCTTGAACTTTCTTCTTTGTCTCTTCAAATTCATTGGCCCCCTTCTCGGCCCCCTTCTTGGCCCGTCCCAGCAGGTTGACCCCACCCTGCTTGAGTAACGCATAGCCAAGCTTCACTTGAAACGCTTGTTCTCGCTGCCTACTTCTCCGACTTTTGGGCTTATCATTGGCAGGATGGGATGAGTTTGAGTAGGAACACAGACATGGTCTAATTGACTGGTAATTATGTCTTTGACGTTGATCCCAGTCAGTTACTGCAGTCCAGGAGGGAGTGACTCGATGCAGTGGTAACCGAGTTGCTGACACCAGTCTTATAAAAGACATGATTTTTCCATCTGTAGAAAGAGAATAGAGAAAGACAAAGAGAAAGAGAGAGAGAGAGAGAGAGAGAGGGAGGGGGAGGGAGGGAGGGAGGGAGGGAAGAGGAAGGAAAGAAGAAAAAAAGATCAATAGTCTATAATATACATGTACCTATTATTATTACAAGTGTGTAACATTACAATACAACTTTCAAAGAGAGAACTCAGAAACAGATAAACAAGAAATTGAAAACAAATCGAACAACTCACAAGGGAGGGGACTACAATTGGAAATTTCAAAATCACACAATCAACATTGGATTAGTGAGTTGACAATGACAATGAAACCGTTTAAAAACTTTCCAACAACTAAATTAAGACCTATGGACTTTTATGGTCTGGCTTACTACTGGTAGATCTAGATTGATTTAGCAAAAAACATTTATTACTCATAATCATTAGTCATTATTATGGTAGGATTTTACTTTTACATTTAAGTTATGGAACATAAATTATAGAATACCAATTTTCAACATCTACTAATAAAATGTGATGAGTTCGAGGGTCTTAGATTGGGTAGATACTCATGATAATAGACGAGTCGGCAGTCAGGTTTGTGATGATGGTGACCATGTTTATTGAACTACGACGGATACCGGATATATCGGATATCGTATATCGTAACATCCCCCTTCCTCTGGAAAGATTGGGAATCAGTGAACATCACTGATCGATGATTAATGACATATTGCTTTGATAACAATATTTTTGGTAGTATGCAAGTTTTGGTTATTTGCTTCCTAATAAACTTTTTCCAATCAGGTTATATAACATAAAATCTTGATTTGTTTTCAATACGTTACTTTTGTATTGTATTAACGAATGAGTATTTAACTGTCTATATAATTATGTCGTTCCACTTTCAACTTCACAGTTGATCTGCAAGATTGAACATAGTTTTGATATAACTTGATTCCTTTATAAAAATGGATTTCCAAACGAAACATGTTTGGGCTAGCATCTGTTTAGACTTATAAACATTATGCTTGTCATACCAAAAATACTGTACAATGATTATACATACATATGAACAATAAACTTCTCAGACTACATTAAACTAAGCGTCTTCTGTGTTCTTCTTTATCTTCTCTCTTCTTTGAAGAAATTTAAGAGTTCAGTTTCAATCTTCAAACATGTATCTCGCTGGTGTACGGATGTTGCGTCCATATCTTGTTGTGGTTTGCGAGTTTGATGTTGGTCCTTTAGATTGAATGTTCTGAGTTTCTGGTGTTGGCTGATGGTTGTTGCCATTCTGTTGTGGTGTTTCTGCTTGAGTAGATGAAGTGTAGTCTTCGTCGAACCTAACACGCTTTGGAGTAGGGTTGGTTGACGATGGAATCTCCCTCAGGTGAGATCGGTTTCGTCTCAGGATTCCTCCGTTAGGTGTTGATACTTCATACGACCTAGGCTCGTCGCAGACTTTGGATACTTTGGCTGGTATCCAAGTATGATCTTTGGGATGTAGGACTCTGACTGGTTGTCCTACGTGGAGTGGTGGAAGATCTGGACCCGCATGTCGATCGTGCGTTTCTTTCATCTTACTCTGTCGATTCAAGAGATGATCAGTGGTGGTAGATTCTCTTGAAAGATGATGACTTGGCAGTGTTGTTCTGATGGGTCTTCCAAACAACATCTCTGCAGGTGATCTCATGTGACTGTCAACGGGTGTTGCTCTTAGGTGTGACATAGCCAGTTGACTGTCTTGGCCAGTCTGTGAACACTTTTTCAACAGATTCTTGACGGTACGAACCATTCTCTCAGCTAGTCCGTTGGATCTTGGATAGTGAGGTGAAGAGGTTGTATGGGTGATCGACCACTTCCGGCACATGTCCTTGAAGTGCTTCCCGACAAATTGTGGACCGTTGTCGGATACGATCTCCTCTGGTGGACCAAATAGACTGAAGATTCCACTCATCACGTTGGCTACTGCAGCACTTGATGTGTCAGTCAGCTTGTAGACTATCGGATACTTGGAGTAATAGTCAGTGACGAGTAAATAGTCTTGTCTGTTTAGCATGAACAAATCTGTTCCTAGTCTAGTCCAAGGTGCTGAAGGTACATCATGGGGAAGCAACGGCTCTTTCTGTTGCCTTGCCTAGTGTTCCTGGCATGCAGCACATTGCTTTACGATCTGTTCAATGTCCTTGTTGATGTGTGGCCAGAACACTGTCTCACGAGCTAGTCGTCTCGTGCTCTCGATTCCCATGTGTCCAAGATGAAGTTGTCTGAGGATATCTTCCTGAAGTGTCTTTGGTATGATGACTCGACTTCCTTTGAAGAGTACTCCTTGAGATACTCCAATCTCATCTCTGTAAGACCAGAATTCCCTGAGGGATGTCGGCAGCTCCTGAAGAGTTTCAGGCCAACCCTGAGTGACTGTCTGCCACAATGACCTAAGAACAGGGTCATTGGATGTTTCCCTCTGGAGTTCTGTTCTCTTGTGTTGTCCGAAGAAGATCAAGTCGATTTGATGAGTGTCTTCTACTTCGGAGCAGATTGATTCCACTCTGATGTCTAGTGGAACATCGCGTGCTTCCTTGGGGTTAGGAAGACGGCTCAAGGTATCTGAAAGAATCATTTCTTTCCCAGGTAAGTACTTGACTTGGCATCTGTATCCTTGTACCTTGATCAATAGTCTCTGTAGACGAGGTGGTGCGCTTCTTAGAGGTTTCTTCCAAATTGTCTCCAAAGGCCTGTGATCTGTTATCACAGTGAATTCCTTCCCGAATAGGTATGTATGGAATCGGGCGATACCAAACACTAGGGCTAAGGTTTCCCTCTCTATGTTCGAGTAGTTGGACTGTGCATTGGAGAGACTTTTGGATGCAAAAGCTACGGGTTTGCCATCTTGGAGCAGGCATGCTCCCAGCCCTTTCATTGATGCATCTACCTCAACGGTTGTCTCTTTCTTTGGGTCAAAGAACTGCAGGCATGCACCCGATGAGACTGCGCTTTTCAGGCTGTTTAAGGCATGTTCGTGATCCTCGTCCCAGACGAATGGAATTTCCTTGTGAAGGAGTTCACGAAGTGGTGCTGACTTCTCTGATAGATTAGGAATGTATGGTGCTAGGTATGTGAATAATCCTAGGCATCTCTGAACATCTTCCTTGTCCTTGGGTGAAGGCATTGTGTTGATAGCTTCAACCTTGCTTGGATCTGGGAAGATTCCAGATCTTGTGTACATGGATCCAAAGTAGCTGATAGCTTCCTTCTTGATAGTACACTTGGAGCTGTTGAACACGAGTCCTTCCTGTTTCGCTGTCTCCATGAGTAAGTGGAGATTCTTGTCGTGTTCCTCCTCTGTTTTCCCGACAATGGCAATGTCGTCTGCGATACATACGCAGCCAGGCACATTCTGGACGATCCTATCCATGTGTTGCTGGAAGATGTCTTGGCTTGTGCATAAGCCGAAGGGTAATCTTTGGAAACAATATCTTCCAAATGGTGTTCTGAAGGTGGTCAGGTCTTGGCATTCCTCTGCTAGGTGTACTGACCAGTATCCAGCCTTTGCGTCTAGCTTGGAGAAGAATTGAGCTCCTGCGAAGATTGGTTGGATTTCTTCCAAGGTTGGAATTTTGTGTGGACACCTTTTCAAGGCATCGTTCAACCTTCTGGGGTCAAGACATATCCGTATGGATCCATCTTTCTTCACAACGGTGGTCATCGAGCTACACCAATCTGTGTGGTTTTCTATCTTTCTGATGACTCCTTGCTTCTCCATGTTATCTAGTTCGGCTTTGATCTTGTCCTTCAGATGGACACTGCACTTTCTAGGTGCATCTATGGTTGGCTCTGCATCATCTTTCAGATGCAGCATTGCTTTCCCGCTAAAGCTTCCTATGGCATCAAACTGATCTGGGTATGTTTGTTTGAGGTCACTAACACTTATGATAGGTGTATGTGTAGGTGTGTCCTTGTGCATTGTGTGGATTGTGATAATCCCGAGATCTGTGCAACCTAACAACCCTAAGATAGCTGGTCCATTCACGTCTGCTACGTAGAATGTATGTGTATACCATTCTGGACTCTTGTATCTACACTTTATGTCTAGTGTACCAACGCATGGTATTGATATTTCGCCATATGCTACTAGCTTTACTGGTGTACGTTTCACTACTTGCCTCCACTTGTCACCATATATTTGTTTGGCTGTGCGTACTGTGATAGTATTAGCGCTTGCCCCAGAGTCTATCTTCAGATATAGGTAATGCTGACCTGATTTCTGTGGGCATATGATGTCAATGTTTGCAAAAGCTACTGTACCCTTTGAGTTGATCACTGTGTGTGTTCCGATCGTGTGTATGGTGTCAAAATGTTCGAAGTTTGATGGACCTGCTGATTGTTGATGTTCATGATCTGTGCTAGTATCATGTTCAGTGTCCATTTCACTTATCGGTTTATACTTTCGACCCTTTGATTTTGATCGTGATTGGTTACCGTGTTTCGGTTGACGGTCATCAGATTTATGGTCATCTGATCTATGATCTGGTTTTCGACTTCGATCGTTCTTAGCCTTTCTACAGATCTTGGCCCAATGGCCCTTTGTGTCACAGGCACGACACACATCGTTGTACGCAGGGCACTGACGAGGTTTGTGGATACGTCCACAGTTTCCACACGTCTTTCGTCCCTGGTTCCGCTTGAATGAATCTATGCTTTCTTTAGCCGGCTCAAGCGTTTCTAGGCATTTTCTGCTCGCCGCAACTGCCTCGTATTTTCGACCCTCTATAAGAATTGCTTCGATTAGATATCCTTTAGGCTGGTCCAATAGGAATTTCTGGAATTCTAGACTTGGTATTGAGGTGATGACTACCTCCATTATCCGCTCGGCAAGCTCGGATTCCTCAAAGTCGCATGTGTTGGCTTTGTCTCTACATCGAGTAACGAATGCGTCAATGCTCTCATCTTGTCTCTGCCGATATCGCATCAGCTCGAGACGATGGACCCGAAAATTAATGTTTACCTTTATTTGTTTCTCAAATAATTTCCACAGCTCTTGTGGTTTTTCTTGGTCGGCCTCTGATAGCCCAGACGCATTGATTCTGCGCAAACCTTCGTTGCCTACAGCGATTTTGATTTTTATAGCCTTTTTTTTGTTTTCAGTTATTTCTTGATCTGCCAACACAAGCTCCATTCTCTGCTTAAATAGCTTGAACTCTTCGGGTAGGTCTGGTACCTCCCAGTTCATCTCTGGATACTTAGTACTCATTGTATATGTCACGTGTGCGTATTGGTTACGACAGATTATATGAATGAGTGTAAATCTTTGTGTTGTTTATCTTAGTGTGAACAGGTCCTAACCGGCTGGTGTTGATAAGGTTCGTACACGTAAACCTGTGTACGCTCTCACACCTGTGTGAATGTCATTAGGTGTCTCATGCAATGAAAATGTTGATCACTCTCACTCAATATGTCCGACAGTGACAATTCCTCACACACCAGATATTATTGTTAATATTATCTGAAAACAGGTTTAATGTTCACACCTCTGATTTAGTTTAATTTTAGATTTAAACTTTACTAGTTAAGTTATTATGCAGACCCCTGTGTCAGTGATTGAGCACAGTTATAACTTGATTAGGCTATTCTGAGCAGGCTTTATGAACCTTTATATGCTCATACACACATCACCATTCACGTACGAGTTCATCGGGATTATGCAGTAGCATCAGTGTCTCGGTACACTGTGCTGTATATATGTACGGTGCATGTACAATGCATACGAAAAAGTGCGACGTGACAAATCGCTAATCGACGATAATTTTGCTAATTATACTTCCCAACGGTCGTGAACTGGATCAATTGTGTCTTCAAAAATCAAACTTGATTTCGAAGATCCCACCGCTGCCACCATGATGAGTTCGAGGGTCTTAGATTTGGTAGATACTCATGATAATAGACGAGTCGGCAGTCAGGTTTGTGATGATGGTGACCATGTTTATTGAACTACGACGGATACCGGATATATCGGATATCGTATATCGTAACAAAATGTACAGTATTACCTAAGGCAGGGTAGGCTAAGGAAGATTTTGTTGTCTTAATTTTGCATAGCTCAGATGGAAGGGGGATTAGTAAAGAAATAAGTCAACATAAAGTTGTTGCCATTTAGTATACTTACTTACTGTAGATCTAGGTCTACTTAACTTTACTCATAGACTACAATGGATGATTGGAAAATATCACTCATCTCATCCATTGGCAATGACTGATAAAAAGTGATAAACATTTTTATAAGTTAACAAATTAGACTGTAAGTTAGACTCTAACTTAAGACTAAATATGATTACAAAAATACAAGTTAACATCAACTAAAATTAAAAGACGAAGAATTATGACATGTCTGACACTCTTCTAGCATGTCTAGCATGACTTAAGCAGGAATGAAAACACCTCGTATTCTTAGACCTTATAACTAAGTATAAAATTGCGAACATGATCACGACCCCACACGAGTTCTACTCACCGGAGAGCGCGGGGACCACTCCGTTCCAGTCGCCGATGGAGACGGCATGCACGACTACTCTTGACTTAAAGTTGTGTCTTGATTTTGATCGGAGCGGAAGCACACAGCCAGACCTCGGAGTTTCAGGTGAAGAATATCTTTATAACGGAATACATCAATTGATGTTAAGCATCAATCAACATTATCAACTGTTGGAATTTTCCCCCAATTATTAGACAACAAAATCAATCGAGCAAAGTTTTTAGTTATTATCATATGGAGGCTGCCATGTTGAAAGTGAAATGAGCTCGTTCCGCTATTAGTAATACTATTACCTCATCTTATGTTCATAAAATATATAAATATATTTAAATCACATATTAAAAATAATTATAAAAAAATACATTAAATTATGAAAACATTTTCCCACTTAAACAAGTCCTTGACATATTTGTATAGGTAAAGTTCGCTGTACTCTAAAACAACCTAGCTGAAACTCATACCCATCACGATCACAGCGCACACGTCAACACAAGTCGAGTGACCAAGCAAGGACGTCCAACATCCCTTTAGAAATCAACCAATCTTGTCTAATATGGAGGTAATTACAAAAACTTGAAATTCTTAAGTTCATGTTATTAATACAATTGTTTATTTTTTTTAAATTGGTGTATAGTTTCGTTTAATTATGGCTTAGGAATCGAAAATCTCCAGCTTCGACCATAACAATTGAGTTGCTCATCGAAAACTCAATCTCATCTCCGCCTGAGCTCAGGGTGAGGTCTAATCGGAGTGGCGTATGACATCTAACGTGGGTGGGCGTGGTGGATGTTTATACAAATGTACACTTGATCTTGAGAGGCTCTGGTTAAAACTATACCCTCAGCAAAGTAGCACTATTGCAGCCCTCTTGGGACCATAGTTTTAATCCAGAGACTCGAATAAAGGCAGTATACTACTACAATCAATTACTATATCAATTGTTCATTCATCATTGATTGGTTAAAAGATTTTGCTGTTAAAGTCAAAGAATTCAATCTCTCTTATCTTATAGCTCCATGCTTACCCACTGATGCTATTCCTGTTGCCTTGTTCATGATTACTGTGTTTATTTTTGCTAGCCATAAATAGTACTTTTAGTTGAGGTCCTATTTACGACTTGGGAGCCTTAAATAATACTTTTTGCAAAATAGTGTGTGACACACTTTTAACCAATTAATGAAAAGTTGAAAACAAAGTTAGTTTTCATTTTCAGGGCCTGTGGTTGGAAGAAACTAATATGTGTATGTCCAAGTTTGCTGATAACCTGATATCTCATTGAAATTAAAAATAACATTTGTTTTCAATGTGAGGTCTGAAAAGCAGTAGACTCATGTTGGTTTACTTCAGTAGCAATATTAAGGATATATCCTTTTGTGTGTGTTCTCATATGTTGTAGTCCTACAGATTGGCAAAAACACAAAAAAATCAACTGATTAAATTGGCAATTTAAGACATAGAATTGAGGTTTTGAAATTGTTATTTATTTTTAAATAAATCACTGGTCATAACTCTAAATCACGATATCTTATTGAAATTTTCAATTGAAAAAAACCCCTTCATATGATGAAATAGATCATTGTAGATGACAAGCAAGTTATACAGTGAGCATGGAATGCAGTGTTTAATTGTTAACAATTGCCTGCAAAATAAGTGGAAATAAGTCACACATCACATGATGCATAAGCATTATGATTGAGTTATTACCACTTTTAGATAATGATAAAACAGCTGTGGCGCAGTTGTTTGTTAAGAGGTGAAGGTGAAGTCTGGTGAACATTTCAAAAATGTGAAGAGTCTATCTTTGCAGGATGATGCAAAGAACTTTGGATGCTTAAATATACCTCTTGGAGGGAGCTAGTGGGGATGTCCCTGGAAATTAAAGGATGTTGAATGGTTAATGGTATGATGGTAGACAAGAGCTGGTTCCATAATCTGATTTATCTTAAATAGAGGAAGTATCTCTATTGATAAAAATCTCTTTTTCCTCTCAATTATGTTCATTTGTCAGAATAATATAGAGGAGACCCCAATGTTTGATCCCAAGTTATTGGAGAAACTCAAAGCAGATTTTGAAAGTATTTCAAAAGTATCCTTCAAGCCACCCATCAGTCCTGCCAATCCAGGAAATGATTTGCTGATGAGGCCACTTCAAATAGGAGACTATGATAAAGGTAAAGCACAATCTTGAGGTGAACTATCAACAATTTTGTTACTAAGAAAGGATATTTCATAATTTCATAAGAAATGTATTGGTTGATGCTTCCCAACTTTTTTTTTCAGTGACTTATCAATTTAAAGTTGTTTGAATAAAACTTCAGATGTGAATTCTAGTAACAATGTGATAAATGATCTTATATAAAGTATGTTAAAAGCCAGAAGGGTGTTTACTCTTTATATGAGTATGGATATGAGTATATGGATTAATGCCCTTCTGGCTCCAAACAGACCATATGACATTGTTTCAAAAGAGATTAATTTCATCAATACTGTACATGTAGATGATAAATTTAATCAAAATATTGACAATTTTGTTGACTTTACTTGTCAATGATATCTTAATGTCTCACAGTATATGTAGGCCTAAATGATTTCAAGATATTAAATTAGCCTCTATTCTATGAGAATTAATGAGAATGTCCACCCTGATATCACCGATGACAACTTCAAAAAATCCTATTTTCCTATTTTTAATCAGATTTTGCTCAAACTTTTACTGGAATGTTTCTCTCATTTTTCCTCCTTCTATTAAAACCAACTTAATATCAGGGTAGACTTCCCCATTAAGAAATAAACTAATCAAATATTTCCATTGCAATTATAAGATAAAGGGTCTCCTAAGTTTGAGTAAAAGTGTCATTTTTTGTTTTACTTTAAACTATGAAAGATGGATTGACCACGAGTGCTTTATTCCATCTGCCCGTACCGGAGCATGTTGTAAATTTCTACCATGTTTATAGCATTATGTGAAATAGGCATGTTGTGTAATCAGAATTGGGGTTTGGTGCTCATTTTGTTTGTTTTGCATTTCTCAGGGTACCTGCAACTGCTTTCACAGCTAACAACTGTTGGCGATGTGCCAAGGAAGCTCTTTGAAGGTATGTAGTTTCTTGTATTGTATACCAGTATGTGGTTTTATTACCTGCATATTGAATGAAACTACTGAGCCCATTTTTTAAAGAGTTGAATGCTTGTACATGTATGTCAAATTTTACCTGAATTGCATGGATTTTAAGCGTCAAAGTACCCCTATAACTTTCAAGGACTTTTGCCAAGCAAAAACCATGGAAGTACTATCATTACTGTTTTTTCTGTTGAGAATTAAACATTTCTGTCTTTTCAGGCTTCAGGTCTCTTTCTTCCCCTTTTCATATTTGGAAATGATGCCTTGGCATTTTGATCAAGGCTATATATTTTTAGGACACCCTCTTATTTTTGTCTTTGTTATACACATCAACCTTCTCATTGCTTTGAAATAATCCAATTAGTCCAAACTCAAATATGCCCTGTCACATCAAGTTGTTTTTAATACTTTTTCACAAGGTTATTATTCTGAAGTGATTTTCATTAAAAATGTGATGTTCATATTGTCATATGTGTAACTGTATAACATATAAAGTATGATTCCTCAAATCAGTATTTAAGTGTAATGTATCTTTTTTGGTTACTTTTCAGAACAATTCCATGCCTACAAAGCCTGTCCAAACTCTTACTACATCATTGTGATAGAAGACACAAGCTGTAGTCAGGTGGTGGCTACAGGAACGTTAGGAATAGACTTCAAGTTTACTCATATGTGTTCAAAGGTAAAGATAGAGTGGTACTTTGTTGTGTTCCATTGTCCAAGTTCATCAAATGTTTAGGTAATTTATTTAATAAAGGGACAGGGATAGTGCAGATTGCTTATGACATGACTTGAGAATGTATGAAGCAACAAGAGAAAGGAAAGAAGAAAGGACACATTACAGAAATAACTTTTGAAATCTGAAATATTATTAAATATAAATAAGATTTTTGATTTGACCCCTCCCTCAAAAATATGAACACTGTTTGTAACATAGAATTCAACAAAAGTCCTAATATTGGTTAGTGAACAGTAACATACATTGTAAGAGCTTACAGTTTAAAGCTTTATAATGGCATGTAATTGCCCAATGCCAAAACAATTTATTGCAACTTAAATTTATTTTTTGACCATATTGATCATGTTCATCCTCGTCTGTATTCATAAAAAATAAGTTTGTATGTATTTATGATTATTCTATTTTCTTTTCTATTTCAGAAAGGGAAGTTGGATGAAGTAGTGGTGAAAGAGGAATACAGGGGAAAGCAGCTAGGAAAATTGTAAGTAGAACAGTGAAAATCAAATTATATTGCTGCCTTCAGTGTTTAGCAAAATAGTGTTGCTCACAAGCAGTAGAAACATCTTTCTGCATACTATCAACACCTCCAAGATCAACTCAGTCTTCTGGGAGGTTAATTAAACATGAGACATGTTAACTCTTTGTTGTTTTAATGCAAAATATTTCCTACCAGCAGGAGGTGTTCTTTTTCTTATCTACTGGAAAACAGCATGATTATGTAGGCCAATGACTTTCACTCATTTTATTCATGAGTATCATCAGTTGAATTACAAATGCTCCTGCAACTATTGCTCTGCATTAATTTCCTTTACTAACAGAATTGTGTAATTCAATCGTGGATGCAGCAGTATACCTAACCCTAAACCTAACCTTTGCACTCCTAACCCTAAACTTATAGTTGACATAAGAAGGTCCTTAAGAAAATGTCGCCGAGTATCATTTCATTGTTTGGTTTATGTTGTAGGATGGTGGAAACCCTGACATTACTTAGTCAACAAGTCGGCTGCTACAAAACAACTCTAGAGTGCAAGACAGATAATATACCATTCTACACAAAGTTTGGCTACAAGCAGGACCCTGAGAATTACATGACCTATCGTCATGAACATTGCTCGTTGAATAAGGAGGAGGAGATTAACAGTTGATGGCTGCTACAAGACAACTCTAGAGTGCAAGACAGATTATATACCATTCTACACAAAGTTTGGCTACAAGCAGGACCCTGAGAATTACATGACCTATCGCCATGAACATTGCTCGTTGAATAAGAAGGAGGAGATTAACAGCTGATGGCTGCTACAAGACAACTCTAAAGTGCACCACAGATAATATACCATCCTACACAAAATTTGGCAACAAGAAGGACCCTGAGAATTACATGAGCTATTGTCATACACATTGCTCGTTGAGTAAGGAGGAGGACATTAACTGCTGACATCTTTACTTGTCTGAATCATGAGTGAAATCAAGTCAGATGTCTTCATAATATACCTCGCAGAATCCTTAACACATTTATATGTTAATAAAGATACTATATCCCTTTTGCAGCCAACCTCAAATTCTGTAGAACTTTGCAGGAATTATGAATATGTCATGTATGTCCTATCTGTGAAATTTAAACGTTAGCAGTGTCCTAATATTCAAATTATGCAAGGAAACCCATTTACTTGCTAGACTTCACTGTCTGACACTATTGTCAGTATTGAGTGAGTGACTGGCTTTTTTCTTCATTGGTAATAACATACATAAAATGAGCTGTAAAGGATTTGTCTACATCAATAAACTTCTTCTCGTAATGGCCAAAATTAAACTGATTGAATCTTTGCGCAGCATAAAACGTACGACCATGCGGTACAATGGTCTGAAAATCAAGACTACGGTATTACTTATTGGCTCTATAGCTCCTAAGTCCATTTGGCAACAAATAGTCATTATTTTCCCACTTAAAGACATTTTGAAGCCCCCCATTTTAAGGGGAGTTCTAAATTAGTATTATCTTTCAAATGCCATTGGAATTTAACCTTTTCGTTTTTTTGGCCTGCAAATGGGACTTAGTACCTTTAAAGGGAGAGTATGAGATAGAGAGGTGGTTTTACATCTCTAGTTTACCTATCTATCTTTTAGACATTTCCATTGCTGCATAGTGAAATCTTTTATTGTAGGGGAACTTAGTGAGCAACTCATCGTTTGTTTTCTTTCTGTTTCTCTATCTATTCATTGATGGCTAGTTGTCTTAAAGTAGAAAAGAGTTGTTAGCCTGATCAGTCTAGGAGATTCCTCTGTCCTGTGTGTGAAAATTTTCAATCACCAGTCAGCTGATAGTGGTGAAAAGGTATGTGTTTAGAAGTGAGATCTTGGTTAATCAATAAAAGAGATACTGGGTGAAGTGTATTCTCAGTAATCAGATTGACATTATTAAAGATGATGTGGGAATGAATAAAAAATAAAAAGTGCCAAATGGACAAACTTGTTCTTAAAAGAAAATGCTTATTGAAGTGAAGACAAAGAGCTTTCATTATGACGATCTTGCATGCATTGACATTGCAAAGTTTATTTTCAGTTGATTTTCTTGATGTTCATATCATGTGGGCTGAACTAAATGTGTAGTATATTGATACCTCACTGCTTTGTATTTATAGACTCAGTCTATCTTCTACAATATTTATATGTTCTGTTTTGTTTCCCCAATATTCAGGGTTTAGAAGTGTTATAAGTTCTTATTAGTAAAGGTCGTACACTTTTTCCTGTAGAACACAAGCCTTTAGACAGGGTTTCATAACTACAATATGTGTTTTTATTGCTTTCATCAGACAAAGCCCACCCGCATTTTTATGTATATCAGAATGCTAACTTGTATCTACTATAGATATATGCGTAGACTGTCCAGTGTTTTTTTCCGGCTATTCAAACATTATTTTGAATTTACCTGTAAAATTAATAAAAATAACCCTAATATTAAGCAGTTAATATGCCTTGAAATACTCAAATCTTCAAATCCCAGATCGTCAAATAAATTATGATAATAAAAAACTTTTGAATTGATATAAACTTCTTTTAGAAAATTAAGCGAGCATAGACAGTTTTTTTATTTTTTTATTTCTTTCTTGTTTGTCTATATATATGTGTTTTTGCCTTTTAAAGAAGTCATACTGGAAAGTATTGACTAAATGTGCAATTTAATGTTATTGGTTTAACTGGTGACTGGACATTTATTCTATAATTTGTTTCAAATAGCTCAAAATGTGTGAAGCTACTTGATAATGGAAACCTCCCTTTTACAAAATTTCATAGAAAACACTGACAAATCCTGTGTGGGACTTTGGGCATTGTGCATGAGAATATGACTGGAAATCACTTTGACCACATTTCTGAAAATTGTTTATATGAGAAATAGTGTGCCACTTGGCACTTACATTGCTGAATATACAACTGTATGTGAATAAGTCATTTGTTCAACTGCCTCATAATAAATGTTATAAGGATATTTCATTAGTTTTACCTATCAAATTGTACTATTCAGTGTAATTAACTTTATGATGAAAATAATATGTTGAAAAAAATGAATAGGAGAGTTTTATACATCTTCAAGAAATTTGTTTTAAGTGTATAATATATTCTTTCCAAAACTTTCATATGGACATGTATTTTCAAATTAAATCATGTTGATTTTGCATTCCATTTCTTCTACTAGTGAAACAATTTTGCATTAATATTCGAAGCAGTTTTATATTCAGTAATTTGTATAATTGCTTAGAGGGAAAGAATGCGGAAATCTGTAATGCCATTGTCATGCGAGTATTATTCTTTTTGTCCTTTGAGTGCTTATTTATCTAACATATTTATAGATATTGGTTTGTTCTAATGATAATCATGTACATGTTTTGAAAAAAAAATGTATCCGCCTTACATGTATATATTGATAATGATGTCGCCTTTATTACTTGTCTTTTGAAAAATACATTTTTGCCTTCATTTGATTTTCAATTTCTGTCAGAACAAGGCGTTTGTAAAATGGGCAAATGACCAAAAATTGACAGTGAAAATTAAGTTGAAATCCATTACTTAAATGAAATAAAGTGTTACAAATAGTCTAGGGATAAACTTTTCATCTCACATTGTGCTCATCTACAGTTTTGATACATGTGTAAAGTATGTCTTTCAGAATTTTACATTGTCCAAAGTTGAAGCTTGAGATGAAACACAAAACAATTTTTTAAAAATCATATTAATTTATTGTCAACCATAATTGACTGAAACCTTCAGATGCTTCACTTTTAGACGGATTATTTATATTTGTTTTGTTTGACACAGGTTCAGTACTTTTTAGTTATTGCTTTTACATAGAAGTTGAGACTTTCTTGAATTTTTTGGAGGTATCTTTGCTTCATCTCTATTTATTTCTACCCCAAAATGTTGACAGTGTATTCTGTTATTACCCTCATATCACCTTGTGCCTTGGGTCCAGATGCAACTATAATGTAAAAGGGCTTAATTTTAATCTTTATTTTTAAAAAAAAGTTGGGTAGAGGATATTTTTGCTATTTTTTCCTGGATGCAAAGTGACTTGTCAATCACCTTGGGGCAAAAGTAAAGAATGGTATATCCATCTACATTAAAATTGGAATTGGAACATATTATTATTATTTGATTTTTTATATATATATATATATATATATATATTTTTTTTTTTTTTTTTTTTTTTTTGGGGGGGGGGGGTTTAAGAAGTGTTACATTTCCATAAGAGGAGTTTTCCTGGGCATTTTAAAGTGTATTGTGCATTGTATTATATAATGCTATGGTCACATTACCCAAAAGTAGGCTGCTCGGCGGCCGAGCGGCGAGTTTTTAACCAATTCTGCCCGGCGGCTGCCCGGCCACCGAGCGGCGGCCGCCCAGGCACCACTCGATTTTAGGGCATCGCTCGGTCGCCGCTGAAGTTTTAGCGCGGAGTTAAAATTTGGGCGGCGCCTGCTCACTTTTCACTCGCCGCCCAAAATACGCTCGGTGCCTGGTAGGTCGCCGCCCGGGCACCGACCTAATCGCTGGGCGAAGCCTAATTCCAGCAGCGACCGAGCAGGCTACTGATCGGCCGGTCGCTGCTCAGATTTGTGACCATAGCTTTACTCCACCAAAGAATTCAAACACATGCCTAGGCTTTTATCCTTCAAATTGTGTATTCCTAAAATGAATATTGCTTGGTTCTTGTATTGTGTCTTCAGTGTTTTTTAAGATAAAATCATCTTCTTCCAACATCAGATTATGAGTTTCTTGTATAAAGAATTTTAATTAATTTTCTTCTTCTAGAGAAGTAAATAATGCATATCTAGTAAGATTGTACATGTAACAATATAACTACAAATTTAATAGAGATAGTGCTAATATGAGCCTGGTTTTAACTCATTCTATTATAACACTTTTGTACAATGTGGTTTAAAAAAGTGGTACATCGTAAATGAATTAATGTACTTACAACTTGTTTTCCTAATCAAGATGTAAATTATGTTACATCTAAGAGCAAGATGTAATTATATTCATTTGATTTATTTCTAAATTATATTTTACTATCTTGTAAATTAGACCAGAATTATTCATAATGAATGAAATAAAGACAATTTCAGTGGTATTCATAAAGCAATAATGTGTTTATTTGTCTGCCATATCCTCCACATTTCCATCCATTGATTTCACGTATGATAAATAATTTTAACAAAAATTTAGAATTGATTTTAAAGGTAAAGACCAGTATTGGAAATGCCCCAATTTCAAAAAATGAAATGGAAGCTCTTATTTCCAATCATGTGAAAGAATATGTTTTGAATATTACATGATGATAAAAATTTTGATGGGAACCGCCTACTAATTGATATATTAGGTAAATTAGTGTATCTCTCGCCTGTTGAGAGATATGAAATGCACGTGTCGCGCACGTGTGTGTAGTCCTATATACATCTTTCTGTGTACAGTGCTTCTAACTTTATGAAGACTTGGCCAAATTTCTTTATCATTTTGATGATTCCAGAACCTTGCAGTACATCTATGCTAGATGATCAACCTTTTCTGATCGATTTCACAACGTTTCTTTCACAATGCAATCGATGACCATAACTGGTCTTTAGCTTTAACTATTCTCTTGAAGTTATTTACTCTTCTACTCAATATCATAAAACCAAAAATGTGTGATCATTAGCTAGCAGCTTTCTTACAAACTTTAAACAGAGACATAATATATTTAATATATGATGTTGGGTTATCAGCAGTGAATTTGTATTGTACGGCAAACTACAATATCATGAAGTTGAATGGAGCTATTGAAAACAAACCCTGTTTAAAATCACAAGATCTTGCTCTTGCCAAAAGTACATGCACAGGGGTTCACATGCAATGGTATAATGAGGTGGAGGGGGCAGGGGCACTGGTTCCACTATGTAACAAATGAACTAGAAACAAGAGTAAAAGAGCAAGACAATCTAAAATGGAGGGGGTGAAGTGCCATCTTATAACATTTACCCCTCTTCCTTCCCCTTTCTCTCTCTCTTTTAATGCCAGTCAAGTTTTGGAAGGCACATGTGCTCCCCATGGCCATGGCTATGCCATACTGCTGTTCATGTGCAACTTTGGAGTGAAAGGATTAGATTTAAACTTTTCTCCATCATTACAAAATGAATTGATAGCTTACAAACAACCCAAATATATGGATGCCAGACTAGCATTTTGTGTTTCATGAACATACATCTGCAAGATAAATTCTGCAAGATAAGTATAAATTCATCAAACATTTCCTCATTGAGATTTATACATTTCATATGTATATTCCTCAGTGTGTGTTGCATCATACGAGACTGAGATAGAGTCAATTTCCAGCATGAACTCCCCATCCACGGCATCTCCCATAGTTAGACCAATAGCGTTGACTGACTCCAGGTCGGGTGGCATCTGTTTGTCCTGGACTCGTCCTCGACTTGACATAAAGAACTTGGTGAAAGGGATCTGAAGAGGCAAAACATGAAAATCAACTTTCATTTCAGTGATCTAATTTTTTTTCTAAGTCCCACCTTTTTTGGTCTTAAACACAGTACACAATCTAAGATGATAAGTGTAAAATTTGTATGGTTTTGTATTTAATATCAATAGATCCATCTGGTGGAGCATCAATATAGGATATTCATAACACTTCAGGGTTAGGTCTATAATCAGCTGTACAACTGTAATTTTCAGAAACACTGGTTATTTCAAAATTAAATAACCGCAAGAATGCATCTCCTACATATACAATGACGGCAGAGACAATGATTATCATGCACTTGCTATGACCTACAAGTACAATTTGAAATGTTTCTTACCGTTATATCTTGCCAATAAGGTCCACCTCGTGTGAACATGAAGTAACTCCAAACATCATCATGTGACTCTGTGAAGTAGCCTTTGATCATCAGGTTTACCATGTAGGCTCGACCATCGCCTCGTACCCTCAACTTTAGGACATTGAAAGGTGTCAGGTCCATTGCCTGTTTCCTGTTGAATGATCTCTGTCAGGAATATAACATTGGAGAGAGACAGGATTAAAAAAGAGGTGAAATGCATTATTATGAATATCTAGCTGACATTTATGATCAAATACAGACTTCGGGCACTCAAATGAACCTTTATACAGGTTTCAATGAGATACATTTGTATCTCAATTTTTATTGCCAATAATATATACATGTAAATCTGTAAAGAGCTTTGAGAGGGCCTTCGATCCTAAAAAGTGCTATATAAGAACTTGCTAATATTATGATTATTAGTTAATACAATCAAATGCTCTAAATAAAGTGTTCATTATGCGTTGCATTACACTTTTAATCACACAGATCACAAAACAGTTAAAAAAGTACACATCAGTTTAGCTGGATTGTATCCTCTCCTTCAATACTATGCCAGTCTGCCTGACAACAATCAATTGGTTTCCTCTATTTATTTTCCAGATTCCAAGATCCTACAAGAAGATGATTTATTTGTTTGTGTTTAATTTGATGAGACTCACATAGGATTGTTTTGTTCTCAGAGCACAGTATCCACTCCTCTTGGTTTCTCCATCCCTTGGAAGCTCTGTGCACAGGTTACCATGAAACAACAGCTTGTTGTTTCGACTCATAGTCACTCCTGCACTACTTTTCCCTCCTATCTCAGCATCACTGTGGACTATGAAGTCTTCAATACTGTCAGGTCCATCAAAATGCCACAACACCCTGTTCTGGTCAAACATAGTGTCTAAGTTTGGACTTTTAAGCTTGGTCCACATTTCCTCACTTAGGAGTTTTACATTTTTGTTGATGAAGGAGAGATAGCTTTCTCTCTTCTGTTTTGGGGGGTTAGAGCTACTGCTTTGATCTGAGCTACTCTGTCTGCTATTTGTAAGGAAAGGGACAGCTGTCAATTGTCTGTGGAGATTTGACCGTTGCTGACACTGCCAAAGTGTCCTCCATGTTTTCTCCCTCAAATGAGAAAAGATGTGTTTTGGAAGCATTGCCATAGTTGTAGCCTTGTACTTGGTGCCTAATCAATGCAGTTATATTCCAGAATCGGCTGTCAAACTCGTCTCATTATGGAGGCTCAGCAGATTATAGATCTACAACAGCATACCTGGCACTAAAACGGCTGTCATGGCTGTGTTGTTTTATCTGCAAAATAAGTGGCACACCGTACATGTCAATTGAATGAATGCAACAGAATATTTCAAATGTTGATAAACATACATATTTTAGCACTAATAATGAACTTTAGGCTGTTTAGTAGACGATAAATCCTAGAGTCAAGAAGTCGACACAAAAATAACTGTGAAAATTTAACATTTCAGTTAACAATAACATTTCTTCATTCTCATCTGTATTACTAAACCAAATTCAGTCTCTGATAATACGGTTGTTCAACTGAATGCCTCTTTGACAATCACATGTCAGTTGAGTTTATTAAAGAATTCCCCATACCACATAGATCTAGATCTAATATCTACGGAGCCCCGGAAGTGACATGGAGAATTTTTTTTTTTCTCGTTTTCCTGAGATAAATTCTCGTTTTCCTGAGATAATTTTTCGTTTTCCTGAGATAAATTCTCGTTTTCCTGAGATAATATTTCGTTTTCCTGAGATAATTCCCGTTTTCCTGAGATAAATTCTCGTTTTCCTGAGATAATTTTTCGTTTTCCTGAGATAAATTCTCGTTTTCCTGAGATAATATTTCGTTTTCCTGAGATAATTCTCGTTTTCCTGAGATAAATTCTCGTTTTCCTGAGATAATTTTTCGTTTTCCTGAGATAAATTCTCGTTTTCCTGAGATAATATTTCATTTTCCTGAGATAATTCCCGTTTTCCTGAGATAAATTCTCGTTTTCCTGAGATAATATTTCGTTTTCCTGAGATAAATTCTCGTTTTCCTGAGATAATATTTCGTTTTCCTGAGATAAATTCTCGTTTTCCTGAGATAATATTTCGTTTTCCTGAGATAAATTCTCGTTTTCCTGAGATAATATTTCGTTTTCCTGACATAATTCCCGTTTTCCTGAGATAAATTCTCGTTTTCCCGAGATAATTTTTCGTTTTCCTGAGATAAATTCTCGTTTTCCTGAGGTAATATTTCTTTTTCCTGAGATAATTCCTGTTTTCCTGAGATAAATTCTCGTTTTCCTGAGATAATATTTCGTTTTCCTGAGATAAATTCTCGTTTTCCTGAGATAAATTCTTGTTTTCCTGAGATAATTTTTCGTTTTCCTGAGATAATTCCCGTTTTCCTGAGATAAATTCTCGTTTTCCTGAGATAAATTCTCGTTTTCCTGAGATAATTTTTTGTTTTCCTGAGATAATTCCCGACCAATACATGTTGCATAACTTTCGAAACCCCAGACATCGTTTGTTATATGATCACAGATTTCCCGATTTTCTTGATCGATTTTAATTTGTTTAAAACTTGAACATTTCATAGCTTTCTTATTTCATATCCGATTTTCCTCAAACTTTTATTAATCACTTTGTCTTATTTGTCTCCTTTTATTAAAATATAGATATTTATAGGGTGGCCTTCCCCTTTAAGGCCCTTTTGGAATTGATAATTATCTTCATAAATATATCGAATTTCGACAATTGAATGTTGAGACCTACAAGGTGATGTGAATAACTGAATACCAGGTGCGGATCCAGGGGGGGGGGCCGAGCGGGCCTTGGCCCCCCCCCCCCCCCCCCCCCCGCAAAAAAAAAAAAAAAAAAGAGAGAAGAAAGGAAAAGAAGGGAAAGAGATAGAAGAGAGAAAGGGAAAGAAAGAAGAGGAAGAAGAAAAGAAAAGGGGGAAGAAGGAGATTGGGGAAGGCGAAAGGGCCTTGCCTCCCAGGCTGTTGACCCCCCCCCCCCCCAATCAAAAAAATAAGAGAGAAGGAAGGAAAGGGAAAGAAAAAAGGAAAAGAGGAGATACTGGCGTACTGATAGGGGGGCTTGGGGGAAATCAAATTCAAACGTGGTTTATTTCTAATTCCACAACGGTGGATTACAAATAATGCTGAAATGACATAATTTCCGAGATTTTTCCTCACTTTTTAGTTGAGTCCTACTTGTCAGGGCCCGAGGTACGGCGGGGATCGGGAGCCCCGAGCCCCCCCCCCCTACTTTTTTGAAAAAGTATATTAAAGAGAAATAAAATAGAATGAGAGCAAGAAAGAAAGAATAGTTAACTGCCAGTGTTGAAAAATAATGAGGCATCAAAATATGCTCATCTGACCGTGATTAATGCCTAAAACCCCTAAGCTTCCAGGGGCTCTGCCCCCTGGATTTCACCTAGGGCCCTACGGCGGGCCCTTAGATGCTCATCTGACGGTAATTTAATGCCTAAAACCCCTGATATTTTGGGGCTCCGCCCCCTGGACCCCACGCCAAATAGTGACGTGCCAGTCTCACAAAATAATAAGGTATACAAAAAAATGCTCATCTGACCTTAATTAAACGCCTAAAACCCCTGAGCTTCCGGGGCCGGCTCCGCCGCCTCGACCCCCCCCCCCCCCAGGGGCCCTAAGACGGCCCCTGATTCAGACAAGGATTAAGAGTATAGAGAATGATACAACGCATCGTCTTCTTTCTCTAATAATATAATGAAACGTCAAAGCTTCGCGCAGGAGGGGAGGGGGGGGGACTGAATTCAGACAAGGATTAAGAATCGAGAACGGTACAACGAATCGTCTTCTTTCTCTCATAATCTTATGAAACGTCAAAGCTTCCGCGCTTCGCGCGGGAGGGGGGAACCTGAATTCAGAGGCGAGAACGGTAATACGAATCTTTAATGATTTAATGAAAGGTAAAAGCTTCCGCGCTTCGCGCGGGATGGAGGGGGAACTAAATTCCGATGAGGATTATTTTCGAGAACGGTACAACGAATCGTCTATTTTCTCTAATGATTTAATGAAACGTAAAAGCGTCCGCGCTTCGCGCGGGAGGAGGGGGTTGGGGGAGAATCTAAATTCAGACGAGGATTATTTTCGAGAACGGTACAACGAATCGTCTATTTTCTCTAATGATTTAATGAAACGTAAAAGCTTCCGCGCTTCGCACGGGAGGGGGGAACCTAAATTCAGACGAGGATTAAGAGTCGAGAACTCGACAACGAATCGTCTCCTTTCTCTAATAATTTAATGAAACGTCAAAGCTTCCGCGTTTCGCGGAGGAGGGAGGGGGAAAATCGCCCCTCCCTGCACCGACCCCCGCCCCCGCATTACGTCACTGTTGGTCACCATTACGTACCAATATTTGGCTCGCAAAATTTCAAATTTGGGCCCCCCCCCTAAGAAATCCTGGATCCGCGCCTGCTGAATACCCCCCTAAAACTGGATTTAGGCCCTAGGCTGACGGCCGTCGGCCTCGTGGGCTGTCCCCTATTGTAATCGGGCAGTCTGTTAATAAAGTGTTCTTGAATCAAGATAGATTTATCATCCAAATTGTACGAGTAAGACTGGTGTCTTTTATCTCAGGAAAACGGGAATTATCTCAGGAAAACGAAATATTATCTCAGGAAAACGAGAATTTATCTCAGGAAAACGAAATATTATCTCAGGAAAACGAGAATTTATCTCAGGAAAACGAAATATTATCTCAGGAAAACGAGAATTTATCTCAGGAAAACGGGAATTATCTCAGGAAAACGAAATATTATCTCAGGAAAACGAGAATTTATCTCAGGAAAACGAAAAATTATCTCAAGAAAACGAGAATTTATCTCAGGAAAACGGGAATTATCTCAGGAAAACGAAATATTATCTCAGGAAAACGAGAATTTATCTCAGGAAAACGAAATATTATCTCAGGAAAACGAGAATTTATCTCAGGAAAACGAAATATTATCTCAGGAAAACAAGAATTTATCTCAGGAAAACGAAATATTATCTCAGGAAAACGAGAATTTATCTCAGGAAAACGAAATATTATCTCAGGAAAACGAAATATTATCTCAGGAAAACGAGAAGTTATCTCAGGAAAACGAAAAATTATCTCAGGAAAACGAGAATTTATCTCAGGAAAACGGGAATTATCTCAGGAAAACGAAATATTATCTCAGGAAAACGAGAATTTATCTCAGGAAAACGAAAAATTATCTCAGGAAAACGAGAATTTATCTCAGGAAAACGGGAATTATCTCAGGAAAACGAAATATTATCTCAGGAAAACGAGAATTTATCTCAGGAAAACGAGAATTTATCTCAGGAAAACGAAATATTATCTCAGGAAAACGAGAATTTATCTCAGGAAAACGCGAATTATCTCAGGAAAACGAAATATTATCTCAGGAAAACGAGAATTTATCTCAGGAAAACGAAAAATTATCTCAGGAAAACAAGAATTTATCTCAGGAAAACGGGAATTATCTCAGGAAAACGAAATATTATCTCAGGAAAACGAGAATTTATCTCAGGAAAACGAAAAATTATCTCAGGAAACCGAGAATTTATCTCAGGAAAACGAAAAATTGTCTCATTCTCAGGAAAACGAGAATTTATCTCAGGAAAACGAGAAAAAAAAAATTTCTCCATGTCACTTCCGGGGCTCCGTAAATATCAGTCCATATGGTTATCTATGTTTAATCTGTGTAACAAGCTGTAAATGTCATTAACTTATTAAGCAAAGAAGAAGAAAAGAGCAAATAGTCACAGTGATCGTGACACCATGGTCCTGGCAAAATTATGGATTGAATGTACCGGTATGCAATCTAGCTAGGCGAGCATTTCGTTCGCTCTGCGAGCCCCCGAAGTCTCCCGGTATTCTACCCTGGCCCTGCCCCTCCCCCTCCACAGTAATCCCACTGACCCGAGGACGGACGAGCGTGTAGATAAACTTATGGAGTGACGAAAATTAATTAAATGAACGAATTATTAATCAGTCTTACCCTAATTACCTGGCTAAAGAGCAAAGAATCTTAAAGATACTAAGAGAAAATGTAGACGGTGAATTGGAATTTGGAGCGTCTTACCTTAGCCTGTCCAACTCCGGATAAAGTCCATGCATTATCCACATGTGCAAAGTTCAATGCAATATGCACTAGACATTTCGTCTCTCTATAGAGTCGCTCGAGAAAATTACTCGTACCGTGTTGTTGCGTTCCTGCCATGCGCAATGCTCGGCGTAACATAATACATGTAACACAGGAGTAGTCAAGAAAAAAGTTGGGGTGGAGTGGAGACTCCTAACATGATAATTACAAACAGTTTGGTGCGCTGAGAGATCAAATTGAGTATACAGTAAGAAGAACAATAATTTCACCATACTCAATCAAAGCAGTTCAAGAGGAATTATAATCAAGCGCGTAGCCAGGATTTTATTTTAGGGGGGGGGGGGGGGGGGGTAGTGAGCACGCAAAGTGCATTCTTGTTAATGAAATCATGTTTACAAGATTTACCAAACTTTTGTGATCTCACCACATCATAGTTGTACCAAGTAACAAGCCTCTGCTTTTTTATGTTGAGAATTGGTGATGTGGAAATAGTATAGTAATTGGGTTAAATAATCGAAAACATCTCTATGTGATGCCAACCATTCTACATAATAGGCCTATACTCTTTTTTCATGTATACAATTTGCAATGATGGGTTTGTTATATATTTGTAAAACTGTAAAAGGAACAGAAAAATCAAACAGAAATAAATAAATTTTGCCTTCAAAATCAAATAAAAATATAAAAAATTCAATTTAATTAATGAGGAGCAGTAATGATCAGTAATCATTAAATAGAAATGTAGAAAATTCTAATTGTCCATATGAAAGGCCGCTCCAATGAAACGTTCACCATTTATTCTGTTTTTGTAGACTTCGGATGATGGTAAAGAAGGGTATTCACACATTAAGCGATATATGGGGGGGGGGGGGGGAGGTGTTGCTCTAATAGGTCAGGTGTTTGCATATATGTCAGTTTTTTGGGGGTGAAATATAGACTTTTATTTCGAGAAAAAAACCCAAATTACCCTTAAAAATGGGTAGAGGTTTCGCGAATTGAGCGGCACACCCCGTCCAAATCAATTATGAGACCCCCTCCCTCCCTCCGGGGGTATCAGCCCAATTAAACCGCATTTGAATCAAATTTTAGTCAGATATGTGAAAGTAAGTTGGGGGCCGGCACATAACACCAGTATGTGCGAATTACATTAAATTCAGATGGTACCCATAATAATAATGGAGTATATGGTTATGAATGTTAAGAAAACTAAATCTATATAATGGTTTTCAGTCTGTCAGAGGATTAAACAAAAAAAAAGATTATTCTTTAATTTTTTTTAGGCCAAATATTCCACTATAGAGTCTATTCGCTATCTACTGAAGATCCCTACTAAACGGGGTTTCGTTGTGGGACGAGTTTTGATATACCGAAAACTACGAAAGACGACCTCAGTGCGTTCCTTTGGATTGTGAAATGGCTGGAAACAAGACGAGTCGTTGCTGTCCCTCTAACATTTTCACTTATTTTTCATCTTTTCTGTATCAATTTGCTTAAAATCGGCATACCGAAGCAATCATGGCGATTTAAGATATCTCAGTCGGCGGAAAATCCTTCGTGAGGGTTGTGAATTGTTTATAAAAATTCGCCGAACTGTTTGATTACGACATCATTCGTAACGTTATTGTGTGTGCAATCAATAATTATCAAGGAGTGCGAGATCCGACCGGTTTGAATACATCGAGTTCAGCCGCATCTCTTGGGTAGGCAGTATAGCAGACTTGGCTTCGCTGTACTCAGCCGAAGAAATTTCCCCATCGTGAACGAGTGCCCGTGGATAACACATCATGTCAAAAGCTACGAAACGCAAGCATGTGACGAGAGAGGTTCTGGAAGATTATATTTTGCCAGAGGAAAATCAACAGATTTTGAAGGTTAATGAAATTTAACTTAGTGAATTAGAATAAAGTTACATACTGATGACTGTAGCCTGTAGTGTACTAGCTGTACTAGACTGCATCATCATAATGACATGACACATGACTGAGTATGAGTACCAGTATCTAATCTAGAGGTCTATGACTGTCAATGTGAACTCCAGGGAGCTACAGCGGGTTGGGTCACATTTTTTCAAAATGTTAAGAAGTAGTAATTACAATTTTGACTTGGGTCTACAATGTTTTTTTAATCCTCTGGGCATCCGTTCAACCACTTTAAATTATAATTTGAAGAAGTCTTTGATGGGAAAAAGGGTGATTCCTCATCCTAACCCAATTCATCCCATGTTGTATATAGTCGATTCAACATGGCGAAGAGAAAGTATGCATGCGCGGCACATCGCACATGCGTTCTTTCTCTTCGCTCTTTGATTGGTTTGTCTGATATTTCTGCTTCTATTAAAAGTAAATTGTTTTTGAACTAGACTTGCCCTTTAAAGTTTCAGTCTTAACTGTTGTAAACTACATGTACATGTACACCTGGGCAATTCCACGGTAACGGAAGGACACTCAGACAAGATTTTTGAACTTCAGGTTCATACTAAAAGAAATGTTTTATTAGTATATATTAAACTATGGGGAACAAAATGTGTTTCAGTCAAGTGGAAAGCTTCATCAACTTCACAAAGTTTGGATAAACACTAATTACCTGGAAAAACCATGTCCATTTTTATGTCCTTCCATTACCGAGATAATTAATATGCACATTCTTAAACTACTTAACTATAATGACAATTTTTTGGGGGAGAATTAAAGGCACTTATATAGGTATTATATCTGTACTGTTTCACATCTTATACTAATAAAACAGTTCTTTTAGTATGAACCTGAAGTTCAAAAATCTTGTCTAAGTGTCCTTCCGTTCCTTCCGTTACCGTGGAATTGCCCACCTGTGTTTCAAATTAATATCACTTGTTTACCAGTAGTCCCCATAATATTACACTTTAGGACTTTGGATGATGTTACAGTTCAAATTTCAAAGCAAAGCAAACATCAAGCAAAGCTTCTCTCTAATTGCCTTTAAAATGAATACACTGCACTCTGCCTTGTCTAGTTGATCCCTATTTGGCAGAGTTTAGGCAGCATCAAACAAAAATAATCTCTGTAATGATCTTTATGAATTCATGATATACCAATGTCAACATGGCAATATTGCAGCATGCAGGCAGCTAACTTATTGTACATTTTATTATCTTTTTGATGTAAATGTAAGATAATAAGTAATTGATTTTTTTCTTTTTAAGTATTAAAATATATTTTTGTTAATGCTTTAAACACAATTTCCATTCCATCAGTTACAAATTGCAATCATATTTTGTATTTGCAGATTCTTGGAGGAAGAGGAAACAATCTTCATGAAGCCCAGACATCTGAAGGAGATAAATTCCTTATCAGTATGCCTACCAGGTTTAGGAAGAATGTCTGGATCAAAAGGGGTAAGATTTGGATGATTGGTATTAGCTCTGTTACTAGCAGGAATTACAGTTAAGGTTCAGTTCAATGGAAGCAGAAGAACCAAACTCCAAATTCCAAAATAACATGTACATGTACTTTTGTACTTTTGGTAATACTGGCAACAATATGATGATTTACAAATGTTTATATTTGTCTACATTCTATTGAAGTTTGGAAAAATGTACATTTTCTTAAAAACTGCTACTGGCTTTCTTTTTGTTTGTTTGTGAAACTAGGGCACCAATCCCAAGTACGAGGTGGCAACTAAATGTACATGCAAATATGAACAACTACTGTCACAAAAATTGTATCTTTTCTCAGAATTATAAGTTTATGTTCTATTACAAAGATGTTTACAATTCTAATGCAATGTCTGTATTTTGTTTGATATGTCAGGTGACTTTGTGCTAGCTGATCCTATAGCAGAAGGTGACAAGGTGAAGGCAGAGATTGTTGCTATCCTTTATCCTAAGCAGATTAAATACATCAAGCAAGAACGACTATGGTAGGTACACTCACATCAGGGAAATTCACTCTATATTGTTTCCCCCATTAAAAAAAAAGATTTATAAAAAGTTGCTTTATAACGTGATATACATGAATCAGGATAGAATGGATCTTTCTAAAGTATACTAGATTGTTAATGAGAAGGTTGGCAAAAGATCTTTAGTTTTAAAGTGAAGGTAAGCTATCCTTAGTGAAAATTAACTCATTATGATGTGATTTGTGTGTAAAAATACAATGTAGGTATTTTAAAGATCACAGTTTGTCGGTAAAAAAGGATATACTAACTTAATTTTGTGGATTTGTTTGTCTTTGTAGGCCTCAAGGTTTTGACACAAGAGCCAATGAGAGCAGGCATCAGAATCCTGAAGACACTGAAGCCAATGTGGATGTCCTGACCAACCAACTCAACGATGCCTCCCTTACTGATGTCCAGGTAGAATGCAAGGATAACAAGACCATGAAGGAACAAGAGGAAGAGGAGGATGAGGAGGATTATAGCAGTGAAGACAATGATGAGGACCTATTCGTCAACACAAACAGACCGACCGTCACATTTTATTACTCGGACAGTTCAGAAGAAGAGGAGGAAGAGGAGGAGGAGCACAATCAAGATGGCACAGATGATGATCATAGTGCTGACCGATGAAGAATGCCAGTGATTGGTATAGATCTGTGAAATGATTTACACAGAAGAAGAACTGACTGTTCTCTCGAGAATGGACTATTGAAAACTACGATGTAGAGGTCTTGCATCATTCCCTCAGTTTGTACTTATGTAGTTTACGCATGTACTTGCCTATGAATCACAAGCAAAGTACAGAATCCTTCCAAGAAAATTTGGAATAAGGTAGCAAAATTCATGCTTTACATTTGCACAGTGTGCTCTCATAAGTTTCATTTCATGATTTTGTCGATGACTCTTTTCATTTTCAAGTGCATTTGCTGGCCTAGGGTAAACATTTATTTTAAGTCCATGTTTAGCAGGAATGAGGTTGGAAAAACATGCTTGTTTCTGAGCTGACAGGCAATATTGGGGATGTGTTAGGCACCCCACCCATTTCTGTTTTCAATTCCTTCACAAGTTACAGTTTGTAAAATATGGACATTGCACAGCACAGCTGCCCCCACCCCCTCCCCCTACCTCTTTCAAACTTGTAGATCCATTACTGATACAAAGAGTGTACCTACATGTATTAAGAACAAAAGCTAGGAGTCTTTTCCCCTCTTAAGCAATGCCTTTACTTGACTATTTATTTCAACAATTTCTTCAATTTAGATGGCATATCTATCGTTACATATCATGTTTTCTGCTAGGTGAAAGTGATTATTCATATATTTATGAAAAAGATTTGTCTAATTTTGACATGCTGGTATGTGATCAAAGTATGTGAACAATGCAAATAAATGATACAAAGAAAAGATGAGCTCAATACATTTTCAGATTTTCTTTATACAGTTTGTCTGTGTTATATTATTACATGTAAATTATATTCATGTACGTACAGAGGTTTAAAGGAGAACTAACCCTAAAGAATAAGTGTAGGTATTCTGAAAAACAAGATGAATTCCTGCCTTTTAATGTACAATAAATCTTACGAATGTGTACAGGAGATATGTAAATGAAGATTTCTTGGCATGATGTAATGCCTTTTAGCATGACATGGGAGCAGCCATTTTCTTGAATTTTGTGACGTACCAGGCAGAGTTGTACATGTGTCAACAGTCATGCACCAGGCTTTAATTGGAAAGACTTTTTCATTCAATAACAAACCTTTACTTTTCAATGATGGAAAATCATAGCCGAGAAGGTAAAAATTACATTTGGTGAAAAATATAAATAAATAAATACTAAAATATAGCAGTTGAAAAATCTACCGGTATTTCATTTATGCAAAACCTTCACCCCAGAACAGCACCTAGTTATTTATGCAATTTGTGTTCTGTCAATTGCGAGTACATGTACATTGCAGGTTAATGAAATGCTTCAATGCCCCAAACACCTGGGAAGGATACATCCATAAATTTGACTACATTTAGTTGATAAAACGACTCTGCATAATACGTCAAGCAATTAAGAAAATGGGGATGCCCATGTCTTGCTGAGAAATTGTTCTTTATTCTTGCTTTATGCCTTTCTCATACACTTTGGTGGGGAATCTTGTAAATTGATGGGCAAGAATGCAATAAATCTCTCAGAACAACTTAAGTTAGTCCTTCTTTAAGGCTACACTGTTTTACTTCAATGCATACATGCTATGGGTGTCTGCCTTTGTAATAGTTTTATTAGTATGAAAGCAGAATGATAAGAAAAAAGAATGGCAATAGCTTGAAATTTGTGTTCAAATTTTCACCAGTCTATTTCTCTGATTTAAGTTATAGTAGTTTAGTACTAAGGAAGGATTTTCTATTGATTACTTATCAAGATATTTCTTCAATTAGTAGAGAGCTTCCTGAGGCTTGCCTGATATAGCATTGATCAGGTTATTCAGTATTTAATACCCCCTTATCTCTCTCTCTCTCTCTCTCTCTCTCTCTACCTTTTATAATTTTAATCATATTTATAGCTCCTTGCCTATTTCTCCTCCCCTTCCCAATTCTATGCACCTCTTGCTCTTCTCTCAACATTGATCTTTCATCTCAAACAAATTTCACAAATCAGTCAGCAAAATCTGCAGAAATAACAAACTCTTCACTATCTGGATATGATTTGTACAGATGTGGTGCAACAACTGTTTTATTTCTTTTCTTTTCTCATAAAACTACAATACATATACAACAAATGCAAGGACTTTGACAGAGTTCTTTATTAATCTCTTTGCTATTTATGGTAATCTTTAAAAAGAAATCTTGTCTCGTTTTCTCAAGTAGTTTCTACACTGTTTAGGATATGAACATCATTTTGTTATAGATCTAGTCACCAGCACACAAGGTTTCTAACTGCATATGAATCATAGAAACATATCGTCCACTAAGGCAAAATAGGTCACAAGTCCGAAGTCTGTAAATTTTAAAACAAAAGCGGTATGCTAGTGCCAAGCACCTTGTGGCAATAGCAAAACCTTTTCTTGCTTGTCCACATTGCATAATAGAACAAATTATAGATGATCTTGACCATTTTACAAACCAAAATTCACAAAAGAATGGAAAAAATAGAAGAGTTTACAATTATGTTCGTGTACTACACTTGCTTGATAAAGCCCGCAGCCCATCCATCTTCAAAACTGATTAACAAAGGTACTACTCAATGATATTAATAGATTTTCAACATCAATTAGGGAAATTATCCTCATTCAAATCAACATTAATAAGTTTATTTGAACACTTGATATTGAATTAAGCTAGACAATACACAATCATTTTCTTGAAAAGTTATGTTGTATGTACATGTATCTCTATTTTTCTCATAATTTATAGCACAAACACTAAAAACACATTGAATTCATGATTTCTCACATAACAATCTCAGCTCCAGTATTTCTCATTCAGCATGTTCAAAATCTACTTCATTGGCCTTCAATCACTATTCTAAGAGCTAAAATATATCTACTTCGTCGGCTGAATGACAACCAATTAAATACACAAACCTACATGTACATCTTTTGGCATATATCTAATCACTATCTTCAAAACTACCACAACCTGTTTCTCCTTTTAAGTAATCCGTATTGTAACATTTGACATTGCTGTATGAACATCATTGTACATATCTTACCCAAGAAAGACCAGTATTGTACACTTTTTTTTTAACCTTCGAACAAACAGTAGTGCATTTTGCAAATGCACAAGTTATTGATCAGAAATTGATGTTTAACAACCCACCCCAATCCTTTATATGAAATAAACAGAACATCTCTCCCATAATGATGAAACGTCACTGAAGAGAAATCATGGAGTTGGAATTCTTTCTTAAAAACCAACTTTTCTGTACATAGAAATAGATGACAAGCAAGCAGTGCTACATACATGTAACTTTTCCCAGCACTACATAGAAAATATGTCTTGTTCAGTCTCTCTTCAAATAAGCTTTACAAAACCTACAAAGTATGGTTTCCTACGATTTTAGTACAAATATTTATACAATATGTAATGACTTTAATACTCTAAAACTGTTTCAGTCATATTCTTGATTGCACACATTTTTATATTCTTTTTTTTCTTCATACATTTGCGTTAATTGTTGCAGCCTCTTAAAAGTGGTTTGAAAAGAAGAAAGAAAGAAGAAGATAAGAATATTACATGGCACACAGACAAAAAAACTACCCTGGAACATACATGTCTATGATTATCCGCTTAACAAAGAACTAAGAATATTTTATTACATTTGTCCTCTTATATCAATTTTTAGGAATCGATGGCTTTTTTTCTTCAATTAAGAACCAACACTACACGTACATACACTTTATATCCTAATATTGAGACAAAATACTGGAAATAAACTAAATAAAAATTAAATCAAATGAAAATGAAACAGATTCATTCAGGTGGTCAGTGGGGAAATTTCATTGAATGAAGGCAAGAAATTAAGATTGTCATAATCGAGATTCAAAATAAATAACATTTGCAGTATAATCATTCTACAAGTTCTACAAGTTTTACTGAATAGAGACATCCCAAACCATCATAAAATCATTCACCAACCCCCGTTATCTATGTACCATTCAATATCTGGTAGTTAGCAGGTTAGAATCATTCAAATCAAACTGCTTATTTAATGTACAGACAATGTGCCCTATGTTAATAAACATGCCTGCTATTTTTCGGCAAAGTAATGTACCCATCCTATTGTGGTCAAATTGCAACTGCTTATGGCTGAAGAATACTTGCATAACGCAGCAGGTATTGGCAGGCACATTTCAAAACATAGGTCATACAGTCTATTGGACCCTCAATCATATTAAGGTTATTAAAAAAAAAGAAGAAGATAAATAAAAAGCTTGTATGAAAAGAGTTGAGATGCCCTCATGATCGAGGTTCAATCACTGACTGCTACATTCTCCCATTCACATAGTTCTTATACAGAAGCAAACCACTCCTGTATGCCATGTATGCTATCTGATCATGTATAGGCGATAATTCAGCAAGGGAAATTAAGTCATCTAAGCTGTGGTACTGGAGTAAGAGAGTTAAAGCTGAAAAAGAGCATGGAACACTGTCTCATGGGGCATGCAGATGATCGTCTTACAGACACAGAATTTCAAAAAAATTCTATGGAGTTGAAATCCATCTTTAAATATTGACTTATGATGTCACATAATAACAGAGAGTGGTTCTATATGTTTAAAAAAAATTAAAATAAATTAAAGGGCAATTCCAAAACAATGTTGTATTAAGATTTAAGAAACCGCATTTCTTATCATTTAATGAGACATAAATTCAAGAGGAAAAGAAAAACCATTCTTACTATAAGTGACAAAATATATAAAATACCAAAACACACTTTCAAGGTTCTTTTAATTTTTCAAACAAAATTCTTCTGAAACTCATTCGCTGGGATTGCATTGGAAAGTTTACAGTAATAACAGAGAAGTTAAATAAACACAAACACAATGAATGATACATTTTCTCTAGCTCACCAAACTTATATGCAGCAAAAATGAAACAAAGTAAAAAAAAAAGTTAAAATGCTTTTGTTTTTGTTGCAACAAATAACTGTAAGGTATGGAGAAAGATTCAAGAAAATAAGAGCAAAGATACAATAAAAGCAGAAAGACAATTTCCCTGGGTCTTACCACCATCCTTGTGTGTTTCCCACTCTCCAATCTTTTGCACCAATTGATTTGATTTGTATCACTTACTTACATAACAATTGCACCAAAGGGCAGTAAATACAGTATTTGTCTTCATTTGCTGTCATATTTATTTACAATTTACAAAGTCGAAACAACAGAACAAAAATAGCACAATATATAAAAAAAAAAAAAAAATGTTTTGAAAAAGAGCAACTCTATATATCTACCCACAAAGAAAATAGCATAAAGGTGATTTGGTTTGCAACTCCAGAGATTTGACTGAACTAGGTTATGTACAGGTTTATCCTAAGGAAGGAAATGAAGTGAACAGATTGAAAAGTGTGACGCAAAGTTTCAAAGGCAGGTAGGGGGCAAGGATAGATGCCGGGTAGACGGTATGCGCAAGCCATTTCAGAATGAACATGATTCATTAAAGTGAACTGTGTTTTCTTTTACTCCTCGGTTTTCTTTTTCAAATTACTACAAACAGGTAGCAGGCAATCTAAATTTCAGCCAATTTTCAAATGAAGATTTGATGGTAATAAGGTCTTTAATATGAGACATATTACAAGATTTCCCCCAAAATAGACAAACGAAAAAAAGGAATATAAAATAGAAATAAATCCTTCTTCATCAACTTAATTTTTTTCAATCAATTGGGATACTAAATAAGAGGGAATTAATTCAATCAGTGATTTCAATCTTTATTAGACAATATTTGCATTCTTTCCTGTTCATAACAATGTACTTCATTTTGGCATCAACTCAAACTACACGATAAGTACATCGGGTGAACTATCTGAACATTTAAGGGACGTTTTTCATGTCAATCAACCCCGGGAGATTAATGTAACTGAAATTTTGGATAGTGGTATACAGAAAGCTAATATTATTTTCAGCAAGACATACATGTGCATAATAAATAACATGAGAATAAAGTAGGGCTAAAAAATGAGTTTGTGCAGTTGAGTCACAAAAACCTACTCACAAGATCATATCTCTATTCATCATTTGGGATGAGTATTAGATGATTCATTTCAAATTGAGTGTTAATTAAATGATTGTCATTTAAAACATTCAGATTTACAGATTCAAATTGAAGAAATTTATGACTATAAACATTGTGGCAAGTATGAAAAACGTATCAGCAAACTTGGGCTATAAAAGTTATCAAGACTAAAATATCGGTAATGGGTTTGTAATTTAAGTGGCATTGTTGCATGTCTAATGAAAGCATGCCTTGTTCAGTCACTGTGGACATAAACAGAACAATCTAAATCACTGATGGAGACTTACACTCATTTCGAATGGGCAGGAAAATTCTTTAAAATGTTTCCAGTTTCTTTACTTCGTGCTGATGACATAACATTATCATTGATAAGAAATCCTGAAATCGTTTGATACAAGGGTTTAAAAAAAGATTGAATATACATGCATCACAAAAACTCACTGTGGTTCAATAAAAACTACACAGAAAAATTATAATCACTCTATTAGACAGATAAGGTTCAATATAAATATAAAAGCAAAGGTGCCAGGAATATTCTCATGCACACATCTAAACACGTATAAGCATATGGCAAAGCAAGGTCATATGACATAATTTTAAAATAGGATTACCATTTAAATAGGACACACTGTAAATCTTGGATTGGTGCATTGTGTTTTTCAATATTCATCTGACCTGAGTTCTTTGATTACTTGTGTATTTAAAAAAAAAAAAAAATCAGTTTATAAGAAAACTGAAAAGGCAGGCAGTGCAGAATAACATAAGCAACCATACTTGATAGCCATTCTTCCAAAAAATGCTTGTTGGTATACATTCAATGTAATAAGAAATAACCACTACGTACATGATTGATGCATTCCAGGTTCTTTAAGCATATTACCGGTAATCAATCAAATCTATCATTTCTCTATGGGAAACATAGTAAATTCTAAACCACTTTCATGATTTCATAGTTTTGGAACCATGTACAAACGAGCAGATATTCCTATCATTTATAAGAATAACATTCCGAGGGAAGTCCTAACTGATATGAATAAGAACTACTGGTACGTTTTGGGTTTGTAATTTGGGCACATTTGGGCTCTATTTGAGTTGGAAATACCCTCATAATTCCAATTTTATGATTGTGCTATCAAAGCAACACAAGCTTTCAACACACCCTTATTCTTTATGCAATTCCATTTTACCAGCGTATCTCCACTATCAAAGATTGTTAGTTGTTTTACATATCATATTGCAATGCACGTTCCTGTCGTAGGTCAGTTACAAGTACATGTATTTACACAAAACATAAAATACATCAACACAAATTGAAGTCGTTATGGCAAGAGTAACAGAAAGTCTTATTATTTCGAGAAACAGAGAGGAAATACAGAAAATGCATTGCTAAAAGTCCTCCTAATCCCCAATAAATAATCCACATTCAATACAAAGACATCTTTTTTTCTTCCCTTTTCTTCCACCACTATTCTGATCGAAATAATATATTCATATTTATAGATTTATATATATATATATATATATATATATAATATATATATATATATATATATATATATATATATATATATATAATATATATATATATATTATAATGCTATATACACATTGGCATACTTATTATGTAGTCACATATCTGCCTCCTCCAGATATATATGTACAAACACTATACACAACATTTTCAAATTGTGTCCGGCCTCAGCAGTATGTGTGAACTGTAGTAACTTGTCGGTCAGTTGTTTTGCCATGTCAAAGACTCCTACAAGTTCTGGTGACAGTATGGTTTCAAAGGAGACAAACAAAATACCTCCAGATATCGTTCAGGTTGTTATGGTAATGAAAGAAAACACGGTTATTGGTCATAGAAAGGAAAGAATGATGAACACATCTTAGTTATACGGTTTATGTTTACAGTTGCACAAGAAGGAATTTTTGAGAGATCGGTACTTCATGAGGTCTAGATCATACAACGCATCGGCAAAAACTTCATTACTGTGAGCTGAATTCGGAAAAAGGCTGTAATTTTCGTCAAAACTGACTTAAGCTTCAATACTTGTAACTTTGAATGGATTATAATAATCAGCCTGAAGGGAGTCAAATCCAAATGAAACATATCCTCTAACATCGTTATAAAAAAAACACCCATATTATCCCTGGTTAGTTTGTGTCTTTTTCCCAATTGTCAAGGTTCAAAGCAATAAAAAGGTGAAAAGAGTTCTATGAGTAACACTGTAAGTAAAAAAAGAAATGGTAAGTGTATAGGGGAAGAGGACTGGCATAATAAGGTGACCAAAAGGTACAATCTTCAAATCAATCTAACATGGTGCAACATGGAAATAGGTTTGTATCTTATGAGTGGACTCTTAATCATAAAATACTTTTTAATCTCAAGAATATTTTTTATTGAAGGAAGGTCTGATGCTGATGTGGTAGACAAATCTTGCACAAGCTTCTTTCAATGGTGATCTCCATATTTTTTGGCCAATTACAGTTTGTACTTCAAGGTAATTTAGGACTTGTAATGATTTTCATTTGTATTAAAATGACTGCTGTTTTGATTGTCTACCTTTCCAATGTGTGCTTAACTATAAGGTCTGGGTTAAAATGCCCTATTGTCTACCTTATTGTAACAGTAACACAATGTTTACTGGTCATCTGGAAGTACTAAGCAAAATGCACATATGTACTGATTGTCAGTTTAAGTTTCCATTGAATGTCTTCAATAGAGCAAAATTGCACTTTTACACAAGTCATTATTCACACCTTTAACTCTTTTGGCCCCTTATGTTATTTCAAACACTTGAAGAGCTGTATCTTTTTTTAAACTGTCATTGCAGTAAAAAGGGGAAATATTTTATTCCTTTTAACAAACATTAGTGTAGTCTAAATCCTTTTTATATGGGCTTAAAGCTACTAATCAGTCACCTCTCAAAAAAGACAAAAAAGAAAATTGCACTGGGAAGATCTGTTTGACAGAAATCTATAGCCCCCTGTAAATAAGTGTTTAACAATGGTCAAATTCCTTCTGTGAGTATAAAGGAGCAGGCTTGGTATATCTACATTTTAAAAATTACTTTCAGCCAAAATCAGAAGTAGTTTGTGTTTTATGTGTTTCATTGCACTTGTCTACTTGCAGTAGTTCATACTACTAGTACAATAGATTTAAGAATGTCCAAACTACAAATACATTTAATCCTTTTTAGGAAATAATGTTAGGGTTGTTAATCAACTCTTTGACAAGAGGAAAAAGATATGGTATACTGCACTTGTTATATCTACTCTCATTTGACATGGATAAAGTTGACAAAATTACCAATTTTCTTCTTCTTTTAGAAAGACGCATCATTTGTATTAATTTCACATCACATATCATACATGGCCTATCATTGGAATATCATTACCAATACTCGAAGCACGACTGAAGCGACACGGAGATGGACCTGGGGTCAAAGGTCGACCCCATCAAGATACCAATCTGCAGCTAATTCAAGGCTGCCAGGCTTCCATCGAAAAGTCATCTCATAGCAGCACACACATTTCCTGCTCGATGAAAGTTTGAACATTTTTTTTTCATACACTTTTAAAAACACTTGCTTCGGTGAGGATTGTCGATATCCCTCTCTTGGTTCCAATCGTAGCGCTTGATGAACACTAAATTAGCCCGCGTGCTCATCGCTCTGCTCCAAAACATCCACACAAGCAAGTCTTCACTGTTTTCATTCATTGCACCACCTTACAGAGTTGGTGTAGACTTCAAGTTTCTCATGGCAACCCACAAATCATTTGCATTGCATTTACAAGGTGCCAGCTTCCTTAGACCAAGACATCCCAAGTCTTCATCCATTTCCACCTCCTCCTCCTCAAGTCTATTGCATATAATCCCACTGGTAGAAAAGGTAGCTCCTCCTCCTCCTGCTTGCCTCTTAGTCGATGTCTGTGGTGGTGGCCTGGGTCTCCTCCTCCGTTGGCCGGGTGTAAGTGAAGCCACTGAACTCGTTCTGGTTGATGGACTCTACGATCTTGGTGGTGATGGGCGTCAGCTTGGGTTCCTCCCGGGTGAAGTCTGTGTCGAAGTTGTTCCAGTCTTTCTTAGTTTTCTGCAGGGATACACAAATTTTGACAAATTTCAGATAAGATCTTTCTTGCCTATCAAAACAATGACACATTACATTTATCTCGATTAGCCAATATCTTTATCCTCGATACACGGAACAGTTAGTACATGCTTTGTTACTTCTCACCTTCATAATTGTAATTCATTACTCTTTAGATTACCCGACAGCCAAATTAACCGATTGCAAAAAGTTTAAAATGCTGCTGCCCGTCTTGTGACAAACTCAAGATCATCTCGTAACACTCCCATCCTGAAATCTCTTCACCGGCTCCCCGTTCAATTACATACAATCTGATTTGACAATGATACCACAGACTGATTATATGAAGTCGACACTCAAGTTGACTGGTAATATATACAGGAAGACTGTTGCACCACATCACTGCACATCAGACTACACTATACTTAGACAACAACAAAGCCTAATTAGAATATGGATTTAATTGCTGAGACTCGAGATGCTCTTTCAATAGACTGGTTCACGGTAAGCATATGTCCCAAATGACCTCGAATATCCACAGATCTTCAAAACATGAAGTGGTCCCACTTTGTACATTTTGAAATAATCACTCCTACAGCGATGGAGGTGCTACATAAATAGCCTTTGTTTCCCCTATTCAAAGAATCCTTCCACCTGTGTATCATGGAGTGCTGCGCTCGTGCATAAATGAATAATGATTACATAACTTTCATGAGCACGTATCCAGTATTTTGTCTTCGTGTATTTTCAAATTTGGTCTGCAATGACCTTTATCTGCCCATGCTCAGACTGCAACTATGAACTGGCATATTGCTAATTAACAAGCATATTGTCAAAGCATAAGTTGTCAAACCTGAAAACTAACTCATAGGTAAGGTATTAAAGTGAAGATAGAGAGAAAGTTACTTACAATCTTAGGTTTGAATGGAGGCTCTACTTTGAGCTCTTCTAGCTCTTGCCAATGGATCTCTCTGAAGAAGGAGTGTGATAATATAGCTCTCTCTCCGCCCTGCGCCTCCATGCAGCCTAGACGCTTGCTTGGGTTCTTTGTCATGAACTGCATCAGGAAATAAAAGTATCACAATTAAATCAAATCACAGGCAATATACTCAGATGTTTGAGAACGGTCACATCAGTGCCTAATTATTCACTTGTCTATTGTTTGATTCCCAATTTTGCAAGGTGTATTCCTATGAGGGCATGTGTCTCATCAGGGTTCTTACACTTTCATATCTATTAAAATATTTTTTGATTTCCAAGATAAATAATACTTACATGTATTTTCCAATATTCCCATGTATTCTGCATAAAAAGTATACACTTAAATCAACCTTGCTACTATTTCGCTTTTATATTGCAAGGGTTAAAATTCTTTTTTTTTAGAACTTTGGATTTTGGATTTGTGGAACTTTCTGGATTTAGCATGTTTTGGAAATAAACTCTTCATATATAGGTTGCCGTTCTGAAGTAGCATGTACTTGAATTCCCTGACGTTTTACTTTTTGATAGATGACTACCAATTCCCCAGGCTTTCCAGACACCCCCCCCCCTCACACAAACCCCCCACTTCCTATCATACGGTACTCACAGCTTTGAGGATGGACGTTGCTTCTTTGCTGAGCCACACAGGATAGAGGACATCATCATGGAGGATGGAATCAAACAGATCATCTTCGTTATCTGCTTCAAACGGTGGTTGACCAGCCATCATCTCATACATGAGCACTCCAAGAGCCCACCAGTCTACCGATGGACCGTAGTCTAGCTCTTGTAGAATCTGATATTAATGATAATAAATAAGATCATCAGTTTTCTTTTGATTTGTAAGTAATCACTATATTTAACCACTGTTATTTTTTTTTTATTCCACATACTAAGAATCTTGCTCTATGATTGGTCAAAAGTAAATCACGGGATGAAAGATAGTTCGCCCATCATTGATGGGAGAAGAAAAGTTTGTTGCACTGCGTAGATAGTAGTACTATCTACACAGTGCAACGCACTTTAGTTGTATGCGTTGCGCTATTACTCTCCTCTTTAAGCGCTTTTAGTGTTCGTACGAAAACTTTGGTCACGCACGAACCATGGTCACACAACCTTGCGAGCTATTAATTGATGACTTGTTGCTCTAAAACGATGGAAGAAGTCAAATGTTTCTGATGTGAAATATAACGCAAATAATCACCTTTTGGTTTCAAGCGATGGCAAACTATCACTTCCTCAGCGATCTGAATGTATACGCTATCTTTCCTCAGCTTCGCTTCAGAAAGATAGCTAATATCAAGATTGCCTCGAAAGTGATAGTTTGTCCCATCGCCTTCACCAACGGTAATTATTTTCCTACTATAGTCACTGGACTCATATACAGCTAGCAGTTTGTGTATAATTATCTGCTTTCTTAGGAGATTTCTTTACATCATGTATCACTTGCATGAATAAAACTTCTAAAATCTTTCAAAGCCACCTTCACATCCTTAAAAATTTATCCTAATGATTGACATTCTGGTGGCTATTACTTAAGTGCTACATACAACTGAAAAGAATTCCTCAATCTCTCTGGCCATCTTACAAGGTTTGAATTCAAAGCAAACATTCCAATTTGGGCAGGAAAAGTTTCTGTTTAGATAAAAGCTACAGACACACTAATCTGGTTTTATACACAAATTATACCCAAATTTTAGAGCTCACATGTTGTCCTTCACATGTGACGGTGCTGGCACATTTAATGAAATGAAATGAAATCAATTATCAAAACACAAATCCTTGCATTCAGCCTGCCAGGTTTTGCACATTACAACAGCGTATGCACTGATGCACAATTAGATGCTGTATGCAAATACTCCTTGCGTAAACACAACTGAAAATTAAATTATTTTTCTGATGTACTACCTACATGATATGTGGCAAGTACTTTACTATATTTTTCAATGCTTAAAAGCTTTGCTGATACCCTTGGACGGTACTCACCTCAGGAGCAATGTAGTCTGGAGTTCCACAGAATGTTGCAGTGGTACGGCCATCTAGGATACCCTCCTTACACATACCAAAATCAGCCAGCTTACAGTGGCCGTCCATATCTAGTAGAATGTTGTCTAACTTGAGATCCCTGGGTGGGGCACAAAAAAAAAACATGATATGTAATGAAATGAGATCATGATGATTATTATCTCAATTACCCAATGTAAAAGGATCAGTAGCATATTTCTGACAAATTTCTATATTCGTTTAGCTAACAATGTCTAATATAATGTATCACTTCAGATTCCTGTATGGTGCACATGAATGATGTTTGAGTCATACTTTGAATTGAAATGAAGTCATATTTATATCATTCACATGCTCTATTGCACATCTACTATAAATCCTAAACATAAATATATTGATCAAAATTTTCTATAAAGGCCTACAATATGGAGAGTAGCATTCTAAGCAGGTTGTGCTGCACATGTTTCTTTCTCGAAACAATTATTACATGGAGCGATAGCATTAAACTAAAACAGGTTTGATTGTATATATATGTAGTTATTTCACACAAAATAGAATTTTCATTTGAACGTATACTTGAGAAAATTATAAAATTGGTGTACAATTTAGGCAATGTTTGGGAAACATAAAATAGATTTTAAAGTATGTCGGCCGTAATGGAGAGACCTGAAAAATAAGATATTTATATAGAGCAGAGGAACTGGAGGGAGTCATTACCTGTATATTACCCCATGCCGATGTAGAAACATTAGCGCTAACGTGACTTCGGCAGCATAGAATCTGGCACGTGGCTCGTTAAACTTGCGGGCTCTCTGGATCTGGAACATTAGATCCCCTCCATTGACGTACTCCATAACAAAAAATAATCGGTCCTGCACATTTGTAATATAGAGAGAGAGAGGGAGAGTGAGAGTGAGAGTAAGTAAGAGGGAGGAAGAGAGGGTAAACGACAGACAGGGAGAGATTCAGAGAGAGGGGGAGATGAAGAGAGATGGGGAGGGAGAGGGGAGAGAAAAAGAGTGAGAGGGAGAAAGGAAGAGAAGAGAAGAGAGGGAGAGGGAAGAGGGAGAGGGAGAGTAAAAGGGGAAAGACAGAGAAAGAGAGGGAGAGACAGACAGAGAGACAGACAGGAAAAAGTGGAGAAGAGAGGGAGTGGGAGAAAGGGAGATAAGATGAGGAATGGGAGTGTAAGACAGAGACAGAGGCAGAGACAGAGAAAGACAAAACATCTTGCAAGACTGCAGTGAAGAAGTCCCAAGCCAAGTGAGGCTCACCATATGGTTATGATGCAAACCTGCTGAGGGTATTCATCTGGGTCTTTCATTTCTATATTACTGAAGATCAAATTTCAATTTACCTCCTCCTTTGCTTAAAAAGGGTAGGTCTAGTCCACCATACTGTAATGAAGCTTCGTTCATGCACGTGCATTGTTCTGATACAACCAGACAGGGTTTAAAAGTAATAATCTGTACACAAAGTCTGTAATTGCCTAGACATGAACATGATTTCCTTGAAACAATAAGGAAACATTGGCCATCTAATTCAAGTTCAAATTTTCATACTGCATTGGCCAAACATTCTTTCCTTTCATATGCTTAAAAAATAAATACAACATTCAACTGAAAATGAAATACAGTAAGTCATTCTAATTTAAAATGAACCAGATATAAATTGCCCCAATTTGAACATGAGTTCATGCGGCTCAGACAAGAACATCATACATGTTCTAATTCATGGTACAGAAGGTAGGAGGCAGGACATGGTGTATACATTCCTGATTAGTCACTGATACATGAAGAAGCTACCCCGCAAAATTAGGACTTGTGGAATTAGTCTAGATTCCAAGATCTGTCTGGCGAACCCAATTCCCCTGAGATGGAGGTAATGAGAAATCCTTGTCCCACGTATCTGTGTGCTAATACCACCACTCGATGCAAAATGAGGGCACACCATTGTTTCCTTACCCTCTCTAATGGCTGCTCTACTTTCAGGGAAGGAGGAGTGCGTTTTCACTGCTTGCTTTCCCCTTTTCCCTAATAATAATACCAGAGTTATATCGGAAATCTCAATTGAACTTCTCAAACTCACCATTTGAGTACTCACTTCTAAGACAAGAGTTGAAGAAAACTCCAACAAATGAACAAGAACCCAACCACCCCCACCCCCCCCCCCACCCCCAGATCACAAGGAAACAAAGGAAGATGGATGTAGTTATATACATAAAATACTTCAACATGGCAAAACAATTTAACAAAGTAAATTGAATTGAATTGAATTGAATCAAATTGAATATCTGCTAAATTCTTTCACAGGTGTCATTCTGAAGCTTATCCTTCCCTCCAATTCATTCCACTTTATTTACTAAGATCGTACCAAGAGTATAATAATTACAAACTAACAGCCTCTTTTATTTTTTACGAGTCACAAAAGACATTATTGTTGCTCTTTGTTCATATTGTTCATACAGGAATGCTTCAACAAAATTGAAATTAAATTCTTATTAGCTTGTTCTACTCCCAACAATAAAATTAAAATGCAGAAATGGACAATTACATGTAGCAGTAATATAATCACTGGGATTAAGTAGTACATAATTATACTGGCTACCTCTGCATAAAGGGTGAAATAAGCATTATGATGAAATTAGATTATCAGGTCTAGCGCATCTTCGTTACAAAATCATCCTTAATTTGACTCTTTCCTACTGCTTCACTAAGCAGAATCCCTTATATTCTATCAGGAATCCTGTGCCTTCACGCCAAACAGCTTGTAACACAAAACTGCTATTCCATAAAATATATGAAATAATCAAACTAGCATGGATGTAAACACCCCTTCAATCAACATTACTGCGAAACATGTGTTGGATGCTTTACACTTTATCCCGTTTACACAGTTGTTTTGGAAACCAAGTCAGAATCTCAGAGGAGTTGCTAATTCAAATGTCAAATGCTTGCCCTACTTGAGGCCAGGAACATTCTTATAACAGAAATTGCAGAGTAAAGATGGGAAATACATTGGGGCATGTCTTTTGCAAATATTTCACTGAAAAAAATCTTCTGTAAAATGGATCAGAAAACTTTGGAAGACATGGTAGTAGAGGTTCTAATGTTTGTTAAGACCTCATGGATTGGAATCAATGTATTTTACATTATATATCTTCAGAATCTAAGACAATTACATATTTATTTGGCATAAAAGGAGGAGGCGACTTAACTTAGGGCAGAATATAGTTACGGAGGGGGGGGGGATCCATATTCTTCTTCCACAAATGCTAATAGATGTATCATTACTAAATTCAATCTGCAACCAGTCAGTGGTTCACAATACCCTTAAATTTGAATACTGGTATTACAATTTAAGATCTAAGTCAGGAAGAATTTACATCTTTGAAGTTACATATCTAAACTAATTTCAGTGTATTTCAAAATGGAATCATAGTCTGAACATATGGTGTAGGGTGGCCATAAGCCATACAGGCATAGGCATAGTTCTTTATTTCGAGCTATATGTTTTAATTTGGTGATCCGACAATTGCCCGGGTGACAATTACTCCAGGCTTTGAATCATTAAAGATATGGGGTTAGGGAGGCAACTGGTTTTCAGGTTAGGTGTCTGGTTAGGGTAAGGCATAGGGCATGGTCCAGGCTTAAAAAGTTAGGAATTCAGTTTGTGTAGGAAATTGACTGTGGAGCATTTGTCATCGAAGCAATGGTCACCAGAACATGTGTCGTAAATCAAAAAATGTTTGGTTTACATCGTTTATCGTTTTCAAACAGATAATTTAAAGATTTCTCAATAATCCTACCTTGGTCTGGAAGCAGGAATGTAGCGATGTGAGGAAAGGATGACGATTGGCCAGCACCAGGACTCTTTTCTCTGTCATGGTGCACTCCACATCATCATCTTGGATAATGGCATGCTTCTTGAGAACCTTGATGGCATACACCTCATCAGTTCCCTTGCGCTCTGCCAGCATGACCTGTCAAAATACAACACACATTTATACATGGATTCCCCATTTTAAATCTCATGCCAATCATCAAATTTGGCAAAGCTACCAAATGAATTTTAGCAAGGGGGTTGATGATATTGACTGAATACTATATAGTTTCTAATTTGTAACACTGCTTGTAGTGAAAATTACAGAAGTTACATATTTCGGCAGGAGATGCCCAAATACGAGATTACTTTGCAATCTCCCCAGCCAAATGTGAAGATATTCGGGCACCTCTCTACCCAAATTTGAGGTGGTGGATGCCTAATATGGGAACTTTAATAATACCAAGTGGGAATGCAGCCCCCCCCCTCACCCTTGTGTACCTAAGATTTAGATGAAATTATCTTCCGAAGAGTCAACAGGTAGTAAACCTTTATAGTTACTGTATACACATCACTTATTTATGTCTATTAAAGGGATCCGGTAACTTTGTCTCAGATTCTGAAACAAAATTCTAGATTTAGCTCATGATGCAGTGATAATTATAAACCTTTAGGTCAGTCAGGAACCCCATGACTTTTACAAGCCGATCACCCATCTGATTATCAAGATATTTATGATTGGAATTACAAATTTTGAAAACCGTTCACCTGACGGTTTTCATAACACTACAGTCTATTGGGGAAAACGAGTATGGTAAAACCGGTCACTCAAAGATTTTTACTTTTTTGAGGCACTTCTTGATCATTTTGAAGCGCAATTTTTTTAGGGCTTCAATATTACACCATATCACAGACACTGATAACACGTAGGGCCGTGTATCTCAGATTTAACATTGTTAAACGATCCCTTTAAAGAAGAACGACTCTGTTCGACCCAACTTGATTTGACAGAAGAAAAAACCCCATTCCATGTTGGAAAGGGGTTCCAACATCACAAAAGTAGGCGGGTAATATTTGGTGAAAGTCCTATGTTCAAAGACACCTGTCTTGCACTCTTCAGAGTCTCCTTTATCCATTCGGAACCATCCATTTAACATGAAAAAGCTTCAAACCAGGAATTATCAAAACCTGCAACCGTCAAAGGCAAATATACATACAAAGTGTTCATTTGATACCCACTGTACAGTGGTTGATATTGCTGCTAATGCGTAATTGATTGATTGTTCTTTGAAATCCTAGGGAAGGAAGGAAGCATGTTGGGTTTCACTTTCTATAGAGGCAAGTAATTAGTTTGGTGTATGAGTAGTGTGGCATGGCATGTGATTCCATGTAATTCCACTTTATTATCAAGAAAAATATTACACATAACAGGTACATAGAGACTCGGAGTGTCCTTGAATTGAAGACCAATTTATCACTTCATGGTATATAATTTAGATACTTAGATATTACACTTTATTAAACACTTAATTGAAATAGAGTATACTGAACTGCACTATACACAAACAATTGGTAAGCCCTCAAAGAATCTAGCACTGTAACTGGCATCAGAATTCACAAATAATACAACAAATTAAAACAAAAATCTTGTCTAATAAACTTGGAACAATGCTTGTAAGAATACGACAACATTCTCAACCTAAAACTTAAAGAATCCTATAAAACAACATTACGTACCTCCTGAAAAAAAAACAATCATGCATCCAACTTGTCTGGATGTAGGTAATAAAGCAATTTACTAAAGCCCTATTCTTTCAGGAGGGCAGCCAAATCATGTCCAAATAAACCAGTTAAAGATGTATATGATGATCTTTCAAGGGCTATAGCACAGTCTTCATTATGGATAAGTGGAAATTCAGAAGAGGCTTTAGAATTTATGACTACCTATAAATCAGCTCTCAGGGAAAGTACATGTGACCTTATACCGGGGACATGTCTAGTAGGTCCATGCTTATACTATAGGTATCTATTATACACATATCATGCAAGGCTTGAAACTACCAATGACCCAGTGTTCCAGGGTAACCAAACTCCTAAAAACTAAAAAGTCCATGTCTGGCAACCTAAAATTGTTTGTTGAGTGTATATGATTTAAGAGAAAGTCTTACTCTATTAGTCAAATTTCAGGAAGGCAGTGAAAACTGATTAACGGAGGTAGGGTACAGGAAGAAAAGATAGATGCAACGAGTGTGATAGGAAGACAAAGTGAGACTGAGAGACAGAGATAGAGGGAGAGAGAGAGAAAGGGAGAATACAAGGTAGAGAGAAAGAATAGCTGTTTAAGAAGGTATCAGTAGAACAATCACATGAATGATTACCAGATTCTACAGCACAAATACACAAGACAAATTTAAATCTTTGTATTTCATTGTTCATCTGGCCTTCAAAAACTTGAGACTGGTCCATCAAAAATCTAAATCAAACCTGGTAGCCCCAAAGTGACAAACAACTCATTTTTTATTAGTGGTGAACCAATAAGGCACATATCTAGACTACACTCTTCACATACCTGCCAACATTTGAAAATGAGAATTAAGAATTTTTAGCACGGTATGTCTTCGAAAATAAGAAATCTGTACCCTTAACAGGCGTTTGCACATGCAGCGGCAAGTGTAACTGGCAATACGCGGTAAATCTGTGCAAAAAAGCGAATACAAATTCGCTACTCAATCATGCAGCCCTTCAACGCACGCAATACATGAACTCTCACAAATCGCAGCATATGATAAAACAAAGTTTTGAAAATCCGGAATATTCCGGATTTTGGGGTCCTAAAAATCCAGAAAAACAGAATATTCTGGATTATTCGGAAAGGGTTGGCAGGTATGTCTTCATGACCAGTCCTCAAGCAGCAAAACTTACCTTGCCAAAACTTCCTTTGCCAAGGACTTTGAGGAACGTAAAGTTATCCAGGTTGTAGCGTTTGCTTGGTTTTCTCTCGAGCTCCTCCTGTAGTGACTGTGTTCTCATGCCTGAACCTCCATGGCCCTTAGAGTCTCCTAGCGTGAGCTTGTCGGCACACTCAGACATCTCTTCAATCTTACTGGTACCTATAGTGCCCAACCCAGGAGACGCACAGACAGAGGTATGGAGGAGAGATGAGTTAGTTATAGGGTAATAATGGTTATGGGGAGAAGAGTTGGGGGTGAAGCAGATGGGCAGGAAGAGATGAGGAGGAGGAGGAGGAGGAGGAGGAGGAGGAGGAGGAGGAGGAGGAGGAGGAGGAGGAGGAGGAGGAGGAGGGGGAGGGGGAGGGGGAGGAGGAGGGGAGGGGGAGGGCGGAGGCGGAGGAGGAGGAGGAGGAGGAGGAGGAGGAGGAGGAGGAGGACAAGGGGGAGGAGGAGCAGGAGGAGGAGGAGGAGGACAAGGGGGAGGAGGAGGAGGAGCAGAAGGAGGAGAAGAGGAAGAAGAAGAAGGAGAAGAAGGAGGAGGAGGAGGAGGAGGAGGAGAAGATTAATAGAGAGGAGTAACAACAACAACAAATGAAAAGAATTAGATATGCATAGAAGTGAAGATAAGAAAAGCAAAGATGGAAAAATAAAAAGAAAGAAAAAGTGATGAAGAAAAAAGGGGGAAATGAGATGAAGATGAATGTCATCATCAAAAGGAGTTGAGATGGCACATTCATGGTATATCAAAGGTTGGAGAGTATGGATTAGGTTAAAATGGATAAAGAAGTATTGTGGTCATTGGAACAGAAATGATATAAAATTGGAAGGGAATTAGATAAAACAAGTAGAGTTTGAATACATGTGATAACATAACAACATGAGTAGGTTAGATTCATTAGAATAGAGACAGAATATAGGAGTAGCAGGAGGGAGGGAGGGCATCACGAGGAGAGTTGAATACATTTTTATTATTAAAAGTAGCCAATCATGAGTGAGGTAATAGGGAAAAATCAATGATCACTTATCAGGTAAAGGTTGTAAATGGAATCAGTAAATGGAATGGACATAAAATGTTGGGGAAACAGAGGGTAATGGTGATGGGAAAATACAGGATGAAATAAAGGAGAAAACATGAAAGATAGAAAGATTATGCATTGATGCAATTCAGTATTTTTTTTTAAAAGGTAGAAAGCACAGAAATGCATGGATAGAAAATACCACATAAATCATGAGTAAACATTAGTTGTAAAAGGGGGGAAATGGGATTGATGAAGACAAATGAATGACAGTTAGTGGTTTGAGGTATAATGATTGAATCATGATCAGGAAAATAGGGACGGTATGAGAAGGTGACAGAATGAACATATTTAAAATATGGCATAAAATGATATTTTGGGAAGTGTTGTCAGAAAAAAGTACAACATGCGACATGAAATGTGATGATGCAAAATGGATTATCACAAATGTAAAATTACAATAAAACAAAAAGGAAAGACAATTTTAAAAAAGATGTACAGATAAATAGAGCAAAGTAGAAGAATAAGCATGATTAGAAAGTGGAAAATTGGATATGGGATGTTCAGAAAATGACAAGAAAAGATAGTGATCCACAAGTATAAGTGGGGTGGGGGGAGGGGGGGGGGGGGGTAAGGAGAAAACAATGAGAAACAATGCCTTAGAAAATTGGTCAAAACTCTGATTGGTACAAAGGCATAGTTAGTATGGGTCCAATGCCATACACTTTCATATTAGTTTTAAAACATATCACAGTAAACAACAAAAACATCAGGCAACAAATGCATCAAAATGTATATTGTGACTAGCTCTTGTCTGCTTATGCTTCTGCAATGCTATGTGTATGATCTTTATATTCTGATCTAAATTTATCATTAAATAATTATCCTGTAGGTGACCATTACATATCTGAAAAACATCTGAATTGATAAATGACAGAAAATTTTCAAAATTTCTGTATACATAATTGAGGTCACAGATAACTTTCAGTTATGTACTTTGAAAAGTAACATAACAAATAATAATATAAAGTTTTCATGCTCAAACAAAAGTTCATGGTTCTTTCACATGAAGTCCAAAATCAAATTTTCATATTTATTTTACCTCGTCAAAGTTATACAACATAATATTCACAATAATACAATCATAAATGTTGCCTCTCTGAATTAACCCCCTTTTCCAAACAAGACCAACATTAACTTGCAATAAACACAATAGCAACTACTTTTGAAAAATCTAACGCAATTTCTATATCCTTGTGTGTCACCTATTGAACCGTGCAATCATGACAATGACGTATTATGGAATGCCAACATGATTTCTATGGGATATACAACAGGGAATTGAAATTGCCGTTGAGTTGATTTTTCAAAAATAATTGCGATCATGTTTTATATAACATGTCATGCGTAAGACATTTACACGGAAGGGTACATCAAAACAAAACATTTATTATAAAGGGCACCACATAAATTCATGCAAACACTTAACCTAATTACATATAAAAAGCAAATTACTTTGTTGCTTGTTATTTTTGTTCATTTCTGATTCACGATATGAAACTAATTCCTTAATGTGACTGTCATAATATGCTTTACACAGATATTTTCTTTTGTAATATTATGGCTTTCAAATTAATGAGCCATGATAAGGGTCGTTTGAAGTCATTGATTCTTTTATTAATCTGAAACAATTAAGTGCCAACTGTCAACCAATATCCTGAGTCCATAAAATCTTTATTATATTATAAATTGGCTAACTTGTAAGATAGCATAACTGCCTTCACTTTTAAATAGAAAATTCTATTGCAAATGTGGCTCATTTCTCTTTCATTTCAAGGCTTTTGACAGTTATCTTCATAAAAAATGCAAAATTTCTATTCAAGAATTCTATTTTTAATTTGCTGCTAGAGTTTCGGAATAGAAAGACTACAGTTTATGAGTACATTTAGCAAAAGTTAATTGAACCAAAAATACATGAATATTTTGGCTTTCTTTATACTTCTATTTTTACGTCTTTCTTTTAATAGCTATCATTTATAATTTATAGGATGCTTCAAAAGCATATAAAATTAAGAGACCAACCTTATTTGTGTATCACAGTTGCAATTATTTTGTATGTAAGTTGTTTTAGAGCATGTCTCAATTCATTTTGTTTAGCTGCATAGTTTAATAATTTTTTCAGCATGATTTAAATTTGTTCTTGTGCCCATTTCGTATAGTACTTATCATTCTTGTTTGTTTTACTTGAGTATCTTGTGTTGTTGATTACGTACTCTGGTAGTGGTGCATGCTATAGGGTTGGTGACATGCAAATGCCGAATGCCGATTGGAGGTACCTTCCAGCTCCTGCAAGAGGGGCGCCGACGAGAGCGACAGAGATCTAGAGTTGTTGAGGGGAGGGTGGTGCTTGCGAATTTCGAAAGAAGACTAATGGTGGCGAAAAAAAGGTGGAGGAAAGTTTGGGTCACGTAAAGAGAGGAGGGGAGTGAGAGGGCATCATGGAGGGGGTATGTTGGGCAGAGAAGCATCCATATGGAATTTATTTTCAACAAAAGTGTTCATCAGGAATGGTGTTTGCATTCAAGGGTAGCATATGTCATGACATTCACATTTACATTATATCAGTTTAAGAAGATATCATTTGCAACATCGATTATGCCAAAATTAAGCAAGGAGAAAAAGGGGTATGTGCAGGTTGGGGAGGGTAATAATTAGCAATTTGATTTAAGACAAATGGTATGGGATATCACAGTAGGTGATTGTAATGGCCGATAAAAAGGGTAAATTTACACATTGAATATTGGGTGAAATTATTTTGAGTTGTGGGTAACATACAATGGTTGAACAAATTTTTGATCAATATGAATGTAAATTTCAGCAATTTGGAACAGATATGGTGGCATGATTGGGGAGGGGGTAAACCATGTTAAAGCAGGTGGGTGGTTGGAGGGTTTTAAAAGGAGAAGGTGGATGAAGGAGGGGAATGGTTTCAATTCATTAAACATGGGAGTTAAGGGTTTGAGGTTTAATCAAATGTGATATAGAGGAGATTGGAATGATAGGGGGGAGGGGGGAACAAAGGATACAAAAAAGAGACACAACATGACAAATTGATTACCACCATGTCTGAAGTATTCAGGTATTATCGTGAACAAGAAAACAGTGATCTAAAATACTGCACTAAAAAAAGGAAAATAATAAAAGATGAGTGTCAACATACTGCGAGCAAACGACAAAGGTAAAAAAAAAAAGAGCTACGCTACCCAGTCACCTGCCATATCTATTCTAAAAACAAAGGGCTAGAAACCCACAGGGGTGAAAATAACATGAAACTTTAGGCTCACATGACATATGGCTGTGCACATTAAATGTATTTGTGATAAAGATATAGTCATATATAGTCATATATATATCTGGTGCAGGAATGCAGGAATGATTAACATGGATGTACCTTCTCCAGAACTGGCTGAACTTTCAGTTATTGTTGACATTGTGCAGGTGCTCCCAGAATCTTTGACAACAGCCTAGGAATAGATTCCCCTCGGTAATGTCAATGTAATACTCAAAATCACATCAAAGTTACATGAATGATAATTTAGCGATAAAAACTATATCTATTATGTGCACAGAATCTATCCCGTGGGATGCTAAGTGCCTCGCACATGATACAAATATTTACTCTGTTTTATTAACTTGAGAATGAATTTTTTGAAGGTAGTAAAATATGTTTTTTATATTACTACAAGAAAAACACAACATTCTTGATGGCAATTAACAAATACAAACAATTATAATCAAATAAGGGATCAAAGCCAACATGTTGTTTTCAATATTTGGTAAATTAACATTTTAAAAATAATATTTACACTGCATGATACAAATAATTTCATATACCTAAATTTCAAAAAATATAGTCATGTACGATTTTCACTGGAACAAAAGAGTGGTAAAAACACAGCTTGAAATGTTCGGTAGGATTTCAATTTATAATTTGAATTTGATGCCACATTTCAATAATTTGGATGCTAAATTATTAAGCACTTTTTAGCTTTCAACTGTATTTTTACACATGTGGTAGCTGAAATATTGATCGCAATAATTTGTTTAATTCTTTATAGAAATTTATCAGTCCATCCATAAATCTATCCTTTGGTTTACATCAATATGAATCTAAATGGATGGATGAAGAAGACAACATACTTCTCTATCAATCATCTTCATTAAATCTTTAGCACCATACAGATCGGACTGGCACAGTTGGGTCATAAACACAGAATTTCTGTCTAATCTAGTTTATTTTCTGATAAATTGATTTTGCAATCTTATTCAGTGCAAATATTGGTTTGTGACCTCACCTTTTTCCTCTTTATTGAAAGCTTGTCTCCTGTTACACCCATCTCTCTAAGAATGTCTGCCATTTCTTTGTTATTCACACCGCAGTTGTTGGCAACATTTCTACTACATCTTTTATGGACGTTCATTTTACACACTACAAGATAAACAAGAAAAGAGAATATGAAAATATTAGCAACCTCAGTTCATGAATTAATGGATTTGGAGAGAATAAAACTTTTATATTTTAATTACACTTGATTCATGAAAAACCATATGGCATCTGTGTAGAGTAATAATGGTGTCAATTCTGTCTCTCTGTCTAAATTGATCCAAGTTATCACCCTTATCTGGCTTGGTAATAATAATAATAATAATAATAATAATAATAATAATAATGTAATATTATGGTCAGTGTAACGGCAAATATTATGCAAGCGACTCTTACATATATCAAATAATGAAATTTGCCACATTCACAACCATACGTACAAGTACCCTCATTGCATGTACAGTACAACAGGTGTTTCAAGGACAATCAACGCAACTTAAGTCTTTGTCATTGTCATGATAACGAGAAATGAAAGCTATGTGTACTCCTCTCCAAATAGCATAATCAAATTGAACAGTAAGTGGGTATTATTTATAAGCAGGTGATACTTCATTAATTGCCTCTGAAACACTAGGCCTGAAGGAGGAAAAAAGAAAAAGAGGAGTGTTCAGATCAATCAATACTGCTTGTACCTTGCTCGCATAAACATGTAGCTCTATTTTGGGAAGGACATTCTTTTAGAACAATGGACCTGTGGAATGATATGTAAGCACCTCTGGTTTTCTATTGAAAGTATACTTGACAAAAAATTGTTGATTTTCTCCTTGTATCCTTTAGTGAAAAAAAGAAAATGAGGTTGTTCAGCATAACCTAGCCACTGATTTCTTTCATTCTTTCATGAGCATCTGAACTCCTGTTAGTCTTTATATTCCTTCTCTCTCTTTCTATCCCTCCCCCTCTCTCTAACTCTCTCCCTTTCTCTTTCTCTCCCTCTTCTCTCTTTCCCCTCTCTATTAATCATCATCCCATATTTGTAGTCGTCCTCATCTCTTCCTCTCCCCTCTCTCTTTCTCTCCGTCTTCTTTCTCTTCCCCCTCTCCCTCTCTATTATTCTCTCACCGATATGAGTAGTCTTTCTCGTCTTCCTCCTCTCCTCCTCTCCTCCTCTCCTCCTCTCCCCCTCTCTCTTTCTCTCTCCCTCTCCCTCCTCCTCTCATTTTGTCCAGCTCCTAGTATCCAGGGATCTCCTATGGTACACTCACCTTCAAGGTGTAACACGTCACAACAGAATAGTAACCATGGCAACACCAATTTGCAGTACAAAAATAGTTCATGTTTCAGTTTATCTTTGCATAAGACTGCACGCAGCCCAGCATTTAGAATCACAGCGGTTTAGAGGAAAAATCGAGGCAGAGAAACAAGAAGAAGTAAAGCAAGGTGTTTTTTTCCACCCGATGTCCTTGGGTTTGTTATGGCTAAACCTCCCTTATTTTGAGATGAGTTTTAACAGCATTTTAAGAGCTTCATTCCTTACACATAACAAACCAATTGAATAAAGCATATCATCACATTCAACTCACAGCTATTGAAAAACCAGTATCTTTGTACCAATCAGCAGTAACCTATATTTTCATTTTAATATATTATTGCATTTTTGACTATTGCTCCAGATTTGAGGTTCTCTATTGTATGAGGGGAATAATGAAAGAATGCCCTAATTTTTCTCCTCATTCAGGAAAGAATATGAAAAGCAATTTCAGCTGAGTTAAGAGAGGAATATGAAGATGAGAGAAACAAAAGAGCAATGTCATTTACATATATATCTCCCTTGCTGAACCCATTTATTGATCAAAGTACTACTGGCAAATATCAAATCCCAGTAAAAATTAGATTTGAATGAATAGTGTGAAAATCATAATAAACAAGACCACTCTTTATTCCAACATGAAGAGCTTACTTAAGTCACCTTTTCAGGGATTTTGTTTGTATTAGAACGCATCTTTATTAATGGTGGCTCTCTTTCATTTACAGTGGCTTTTGAAAGAGTTTTGGGGCAAATCACTTTCAAATGCCTGCATCTGCTTTTTTGTTGTCCACTGGCACTTTCAATTGCTGTAAAAGGTTACAATGTGGATGAAGGTGCTATTAACACCTCAGGTCAATAGTCTGATTGTATAAGATGTGTACTGACTACGCCTCTACTGATTGCGTCAAAATATTGATTTCTAGAAAATAGTGGATTTTTCTCTGGCAACATGTCTACATCTTCCTAAGATTTTGATATCATACTCTACATGTCAAAGTCAATTGCTTGAAGGTCAATGTCAATGTAATGCAAAACTATCCTACAATAAAACAAAAGTAACTCTTGAAGATTGTGCTTTCAGTTGTGCCGCTCCAAAGCTTAGGAATAGTCTAACACCTGACATAAAAAAGCACCATCTTCACAGTCTTGTTGAAGACTCAATCACAAACAAAAATTCTTCACCAATGCACAAAAGAGTTTATATTCATATACATTATAGTAGCTGCAAAGGGGCTGATCCTGCATGTTTAACCTTTCATTTGCTACCAAATTTGCATACATCTGTTATGAATGAAACCATGTTTTAATTTATGATGTCTTTTTTTCTTCACAGTTTTCATTTGATATAAACAAAATTTCAACATATGAACTTTGTAATTTTCATGATCATAGAAGCTAACCTTTATAAACAGTACAATATTCATTTTCAATGTTGGGGTAGTTTTACACCACCTACATAACTGAGAGGGTTAGATGAATCCTGACTAAATAGATTTATACATGAAGAATGTGTACATAGGATCCACTGGTCAACTAACCTTCACATTGCACGCCTTGTTTGAAGAGACCATAGAGTAGGGACCCACAATGATCGCAGAATGTTGGTCTTCGGAAATTGTGGAGGGAAAAGCGATGGGGGATGTTAATGTTGAATCTCTGTGATCCGACCTGCTGGAGACAAGAAAAAGAACAAACAGTGGTGTCAGTGTCGTTCGACGTCGCAGACATTGTACAATTGTATGGAACTCTAAGAAATGATTTGAAAGGGGGAAAGTTGATACAGTGACACAAAAGAGGGGGAAACCTGAGGACATGTAAGCCAACATAGACTTTATGTACATACAGGTGAAGAAACAAAAAATGCTGATAGTCATGTCAGGACTTTGAAAAATAGAGCACTTTCTTCCAGGGCATGTATATGACGCATACTCTATTAAACCAAAAGAGCAATTTACTTGGCAAAGATAATGCAGGTAAAGATATGCCATAAATGACCCACATTATCTAAAACAAATTAATTGCTCACGTTTCCATAAATCAAGAATACTGTATATATTGTAAAAGGATCATGAACAGTAACTGTGCTTTCCATCCAGTGTATGTTGCAACTTTATAATTTTGTCAAATTAGATTCTGGGGTGGTACTTGACAGAAGTATTTATATCTCAATTTAAGTGAGAGATCTTTTTATTGCTACAAATGCTCCTTAACCAATCCCTATTTACTTATAAATACTGCTACTCTTGATTTGAGTTTGATATAAATTACCCAATTCATACCAAGAGGTAGATGTGATAGAAAATTAATGAACTACACCACCAATTATCCCAAACGATGCAAGCATGTAATCCAATATTGTGGTCATCAGGTGAGCAACAATGGTAAGCATTCAATCTCCATGGTCATCACATTGTTATTCATTGTTTGGCTTTCCTATCTAAACCTCGTTAAGATTCTCCAACTGTTCATTTGCTATTTATATCTCCCCGCACGGGCCGCTACTCCCAGGGTTTTGTACAAACTCACTCCAGACAGGCTCATACACACACTTTTTACATTCTAGCTCTTCTAGTTTTATCCTTACAGAATCAAGTAAAAAAAAAAAAAAAAATACATATCATTTAAAACCCAAATATACCAACATTTCATTACTGTCTGATACCACTGTATGATCTTTTTGGATAAATCAAAATAAAAGCTGTGATATTGAAATATAAATGTGAAATCTAAATCAAATTTAGTAAAGAAAATCAATTTAAATCACCAACCTTTTTTGTAAAGGATGTAAATCAATATTTCAAAATGGAATTATTTTTCTTTGCCAAATCTGGTCTGGCATCACTATCAATACTGTATTATTACTTTTGCTTCTTAGAAAGGCTCAGTTGACCATAACACCATTACTCCAATTAACAAAGCATGGCCACAATATGGACTTCACACACAGCTCACAATTTACCAAATGCATTTGCAACTTTGAAGGTGACATATTAATCAAAATCTGCACATATTCCAATATCATCACTTTTTGGGGTCGTCTCCGTGTGAAAACCTTGTTAACATGTGCCACAGGAAACCACTGCGGTAAACCATCAAAGCAAAATGACAGTAATGTGCTTCATATTGCCGTATCTTATACAGCTAAGTAAGTACACCTAGTACCTAGTTTTGCATATTCACTTCAATGTAACCCTCTCTGCCAGGGAGAAAAAGTAATAACATATAAAAAAAGAGGAATTCTGCGGTAAAACAGTACATTTATTTAAACTGTCATGTGTGAACAAGATTTGATTGTGTTCACACACAAAATTAATGCTGTAGAAAGCACATCGTACAAATATATCTTCAGATCATTCAATATGTTAAGTGTCACTTCGTGAATTTCACAATAATCACTGCCAAAGAGATAGAAGTGCTTCATGAATACACTTTGCTTGCCCCTTAAAAAAGAATACCGGTACCTGCACCTGTGCATCATAGAATGTACTCTTGGGTGTATAAATGAATAATGATTATATAACTTTTGTGTGAACACACACTTTCCAGTATTCGTCTAGATGGATTTTACAGGTTTGTACAAATAACCTCTATCTGCCCATGCACACATAGTATCTACCAACTGGCTAATTCACAGAGGAAAGGTTCTCTATACGGTCAAGTACTAACACTCTTCATTGCAGTGTAAGAAGGCAATAGAAGATGTAAGTAAATAGGAGGTCAGTATCCGTGGGTGGGTGATACATCTTCTCTACATCACCTCACTTCCTCATTTCATCATAAGATTTGTCATTGAGGTTGTCATTGAGGTTTTCATTAAGATTGTCATTGAGAATGTCATTGAGAATATTTTGTGAATAAAACAAATGTATAGAGGGTAAATAATCAAAGTAAGTAGGCGCACGTTTCAAAGCAAATATACTAAGGGGGAATCTATGTGTCAGCATAATGACAGGCAATTAAGAAAATTAAACATTGTCCACATAGATAATAAAAAGGTCTTTCCTGAACAGCCATGTAAAAAAACACAAGAAAGTTTGTCTGTTTGGAGCCAGAAGGGCATTGACCTTGCGTTTCGGTATCTGAGAGAGCACCCTTCTGGCTCCAAACTGATAATATTGTGATGTCATAATGAGTTCAGATTTCTCCAGGGTGTTCAGTGTAATAGACCGGTTTACTAACATATTAAAATTTATGGATGTTACTTTCCTGGGAACCTAGTCATAATGAGGTAATCCGTTAACTTGTTATGAATGAATGAGCTATAATACTTGGAATACAGTCTGCACACATTAATTTTCGCTATGTCAGGCAAGCCTTGGGCAATTCTTCAGGTTGTTAAGAAAAATCTTTGCTTAAAAAATATGCATAAAATTTGAATATGTTAGTAAACTTAGTCTATTGCAAATAGATGGAAGGTAGAGTAGGAAGCAAAGATGAAAGTTCTTACATCGTTGACTCCTTCATCTTTATGTCCTGGACAGCGAGTGATGATCTGCTCATGACATCTTTTGTGGACAACAACTGTACAGACTGGAGTGAAAAGAAAGAAAATACAACAAATAAAGCTATGATCAGTAATTGGTAGTCATAATGATTGAAATTAATATGGTTTTCTGAGAAATATTCAAAGAAGCAGCCATAAGCTGATGCATGTTGATTTTTTTATTTTTATTTTCATTTTTAACAAAAACATCTAAATTAGATGGGAAATTGGAATGATGTTTTTTTTTAATGAAGATCCACCATAGACTACAAACTGGACTACCACTATTTACTAGGATAAAACAACAGTTATTAAATATTTCTTCAAGTTTAAAATAAATCAAGTCAGATAGACATTGTAAGGTTTGTTCTGTCAAGACAAGCATACACCTTTAAAAGGTTGCTGGACTATAGCAGACCGATTGAATGATATTCATGTAATCATGGATATTTTTATATGAACACAATCTTTCTACACAAATTCCCTTTAAAACAGCTTCCCAACTGTAGACAATTACGGGAATAAAAAATATATGTGGTATACCAAGAGTCCATAATGGAGAAAGTAAATATGCCACAATACAAACTGAATTAATGAGGCCATCAGTCTTCAAATTGTTCATGGTAAATATAATCAGTAATTACAGATACTCATGATATGCAAGTTTGTCCTACCCCATAACTCTAAAAAAAAAAAAAAAAAAAAAAGGAGAGAGACAGAGAGACAGACAGAGAGGGAGAGATAGAGATAGAGATAGAGATAAAGATAAAGAAAGAGAGAGAGAGAGAGAGAGAGAGAGAGAGAGAGAGAGAGAGAGAGAGTCACCAAAAGTGAGATGAAGAAGAGAGAGAGACATTTGAAATAAAAAAGAGGTGGGTGAGATCTTGGTGAGATGTGAACTTATTTTTGTAACGTAACACAGATTAAGAAGAGTACTTACCTTGGCATTGGTAACCTTGGCGATACAGACCCCTAGAGAGAGAGAGAGAAACAACAAATCAGCCATTAGCAATCACAGATTTTCTTTTCAGTGAAATAAGTCATATTCAACGACGAGTTTGTTTCATCTCCTTCATTTCCAATGATCAAGCCTCACAATAAATATAATATCAATAGATATATCTATGAACAATAACAATGAAAATCTGCATATGGAATGTTCTTTTATACTCCATATCACCTTTTATGGTACTCAACTTTTGTTATCATTATAATGAACCAATGAATCCGTACATGGATAAATATTGGTTCGTCGGTTCATAAAACTGCCGACAAGTTGTTTTTTACAAAAAGTCTTGAACATCCTGTGTTACAATTATTTATCAAAAAAATACATCGATTGCAAATAAGAAAGATCAGCCTTTGACCAAATAAAAAGAAGAAAAGGAAATGTGAAAGAATAATTCAGATTTCTGAGTGGTTTTATATTTTGATAAATTCTTTTACATTTGCTGAAGCCTTGCATACCAGTATTTACTAGTGCATGAGAGAAATTTGTTTTTATGCATATATCTCTATGTTGTATAATATATATGGATGTGTCTTTACCCCAAACACAAGTGGCTCTCCATGAAAAAATGCATTACGATACAATGCTCTATATCTAATTCCCACCAATTAGCAGACAAAAGCAAAGACTGCTTGAAGCATGTGGTGAATAATAATAACAGTGGAGATACACACTCACACATACAATTCCCTGAGCAAATGGATATATTGCATTATCTGATTGTCCTTCTTCGGTATTAGCAGCATCTATTTGCATCTCACAAGCAACAACAAAAATGAGGACAGCTTATTCTTTTTAGAAAGAAGAAGAAATACTTGTATGCTTTTGTCAAATTTATACAGAGCTCTCTCTACGAGGCAACTCTATACGCCGTACAGACTTCATGTCTAAACATAGACCACTCCTCCCACACACTAGTGCCTCTGGAGACAAAATAAGAAGGCAGATTTGGGTAGATGTGGGCAGAGCTAGCACGCAGACAAAAAATGATAATGAATAGAGGTTCTTACAGGGTAGATTGTAAACAATCATGAAATCAAATTTGCTAAGCATTCAATCTGAGGCAGTTTAGTATCTATCCAGTCCCCCCCCCCCCTCCCCCCACCCAACACAATCGATTTTCCCCCTTCCTTTATGTCTATCATTTTTAGATTTCTCAGTGTGTGACAAGATTGTAAGAAGTTCCAATGTGAATATCAATGTGAATATCGAACGATCAATCAGTAAGAATACCTGTTCTGGTATTTCATTTTGTTTTAATTCTTCCTTTTTTGTTTTTCTTTCAAAAGTTTTATAAGTATTCATCGTGCTCAACATTCATCTCACTTTATAGGGAATGCAACACCTGTTAGATTGTCTGTGCATGTAGTTATATAAGAAGAGTGTAATGTTTGTTTGGCGTCATAGGGCATTAAATCTGTGTAAAATGATGAAATATATGTGTAAAAGATTTTTTTTTTAAACCATGTGCTATATTGTAAGTACATGTAGTTCAGATGGTTTGAACTTAACTTTCTGTTGCTTTCACAAATATTTTCTTTTCTTGTCACATGCAAATCCTCTTTTGAAAAAACTGTCCGAATGCCAGCTGTGGCAATAAAAATGTCTTCTGGCAACTCATTGAATTGACATTGCTACTCAGCCTCCACAAATCAAATGAGAATACACTTAAAGGTAAACCGGACATCCAGTCTTGATCAGAAGCAGTAAAAACAATGTCACTGAACATTTAGAAGTGTCAGAAATTATGGGCAAAATGACTTTTAACAAAATAAACTCTTACATAGTAGCTAAACAATTAGTGAAACAAACATAACAGCCCATGGGTTGCCCTGACTATGACTCAGCCACCAATATTAATACGTTGGCCAACTGCTAGGCCTTACAAATGTTCTTACATGTACATGTATGTATGCGATATATGCATACAGGTAAGCAAGCATCATGCAGTTTTAAGCAATCTGCATATTGCTGACGAGTGTTTCAAAAAAGTACTAAAATGTATACAAGTATTCGTATTCACTACATGATAACAATTCAAAATCATTTATATCTCTCACAAACTAAATCTTCACAGAACAGGAAGGTTTCTTTTAAAAGAGATTTTGTGCATTAAAACCAACTGAAAAAACAAAATTAAACGGAGGCTCTTTTTCAGGTAGAGTGGCATGTTTTTAGAGCAAAGAAACGAGTCGCCATCGACCTCAGTGTATCATTTACTGTAAATGCAAGTATTCAAGAGTAGCTGTAATGATTCAAACCATCTTTCCAATTCAAAGAAAAAGTTGAAATGAATGGAGAATTCTAGAAAATAAAGATCAAAACTAGCTTCTCTTCACCCGGAGTTATCATCAATAAGGCCAGGGATCACATCTTATTGATTCAAAACATTAAAGCAAGGTCATCTATATTTCATCTACAGCGTCCAATAACTTGCATGCCTCAATCATTGGTCACTAATCAACTTAATGGAATGTTGAGGTTGACGATGATTCCGCATGTATCACTACTCAGATTTTCCCTTCCCGTATCATAATAACAATCGAGAGCTCTCGATTGCGTCTGGAGTACTTGATGTTTGTCTAGCAAAAAAAATCAACATCATCACCATGGATGTGGAAATTCATTCTTTTATCCTTTCCATTAATATTTTGGGACGGGGAAAGTCGGGAGAAAGTCGGGAGGAAAAAAAAAAGAAAAAAAATGAGACCTGTATGCTTAATTGCACAGCAGCTGGTAATTTGATAACTAACGTTCAATTGGTAGCTCCCTATTATTAGAGTCGATTCAAAGGCATTCGGGCTAAAACATTGCGGTAAAATACAAAAGACTCCTTCAATCCTCCTATAGAACAGCATGTGTGATAAGAAGGCTGAAATAATAATATTTCATCAAAGCTTCTCATTTGTTAAAAACAGCGATACATGCTGTATGCTGACTTTTTCCAAATTTTAAATACATGTCAGTAAAATTGGGAGAATCATGCCTTATTAAGCATTGTTAAGCGCTAGCATTACTGCAGCCAGAGCCTTGCATCTATTTAGCCACCTAGGTATATCAGAATGAAAAAAGGAAGAAAAAACCCATCAACTAAACTTATGTCCATTCTGACAGTCTTCCCAGGATAAATTGCTTCATTTAAGATCCATACCTTGACATCAATATCTTTTTCTGACATGTACAAAGTATACTAGTAAAGCGAAAAGGGAGCTTTTAGCCCCGATCCTGACTTCCAAAGGTAATCTATCTTCAGCAAAAGAGACAGAAATTGATGGGCTTTTGGCATTGCCTAGTGAAAAGAGGATAAAAGGCAAAGGAGAAACAAAAGCAGGAGAATACTCTGAGGCAGGAGGCCCATCACAGAGCCTCATGGCGAAGTACGTGAGAGGCCGATGCAAACAAGGTGCACGTTTTGCATCCCAGTCCACTGTGTGTCGTGTACGAGCCTCTCGCCATGAATTATTACCCGATATATATATGTCAATGTTGAGTCCCACTAATGGATTAGGAATTATCTTGATGAATGCTAACATTTAATCATGCCAGTAGTTCCCTGGAAGCACTGCGATGGTTTCCTCTCAAATTCCTCTCCTGAATTCCCATGACCATCTCATGCTCATCACAACTGAGAGCCAATCAAAAATACCATAATAATCCATGCATAAATAGATCTTTAGTTATCTTTCTCTTCATATTAACAATAGTGAGCTAGACAATAATGGACCATATTCCTAGACAATTACCATTATCTCTAATAATGGTTCATTTTACCAGGTACCGTTTCATTTTCTAGCCACAGATACTCCAAAAAATTGTTAAATGCATTAAGAATTCATAGATCCACCATAGAGGCCTCGTGATCTGGACCATTACATTATTGCTTTCTACAATATTAATGGCCACATTATTAAGAGCCACAACATAAATTAGGGAGCAGTCGTGTTCATTTTTTGTGTGTATAGACGATACAAAGCGTACATGTATTTCTCAAAAGCCATTTCATGAACATCCATTTAATGTACAATATTGACAAGAAATTTGAACCCCCCAAAAAGGGGAAAAGGGCATAGTTCTACATAACCCACTTTGCTCAAATATCAAATCAAATCACAGAACTCTGACAAATTGATGATGTACTTGTCAATACCACACAAAGGCTCAGAACAGAGGAAGTTTTAATATTTTACTACGGGTCTAAAGGATACATTCCTTCACATTTATTTCAGAATCCTATTTGTCTAAAATTCACAAAGTAATTATTGATAAATATGATATCCTTGGTAAAAAAAGTAAATTCAATTACAATCGTTACTCAATCAGTGATCAACGATGAAAACGCTGAATGGTATTGTAGAGCACTGTTTTAGAAGAAGACACTTACCAGATGAAGTCTTGACAATGAGAACAGAATGTGGGTTGGCGCAGAAAGGTGGACATGAATTTGTGACCGTTGACCTGGTGGACTCGTCTTCTGACAGCTCCTCGTCTTTTGTGCACTGCATTTTCACGCACTCGAAATACTTTCTCCTTCGGTGGCTCTGCTGATGTCAAAGAGAGAAAAAAAAGGAACAGTATGAAATTATTTATTCATAAAGATGTATTAACCGCACCTTTTTGCCGCTGAAAAAAATTCAAAGTCGGGGGTGCGGTTTATACACGGTACACAAAAAAAAAAAAAAAAAAAAAATTATTTTAAAGTTTCGATATATGCCCTTCCACCTGGCGCTATGCCTGGCAATGTCTCCCAGCTCAGTAATCGGTGTGTTGACTCACCACTGGGAAACTAGAACAACACTCAAATCTGTCTGTCATCTTGGTTTGAAAGTAATCTTTCTGATAGATTTCAATATGTAGTTTATAATAATAATTCCTCCAATTTTTCTTCTATTACACGGCGTACCACAAGGTTCTATTCTAGGTCCTCTACTGCTTTTAAAGGTATTACAAAGTTTCGGTATGGGGTCATGAATTCGGTTCAAATTAAAATATTGGAAGCATATGCGTTCCTACAATATTCATTGATCGTTGTCGCGGTTGAAATCGAGTCTGAAGTTATGAAATTATAAATAATAAACTCTTTATGTTGTATAGCTCCCTCTCAAGGTCAAGATATTAATTTAGCTATGAAACAATGTTTCTTGACTAAAGTCGACCGATTAGCTATTCCCGTTTGGAAATTATATATCACAACTACATATTCTGAGATTTTCATGGTCGCAACTACCATTGTACGGCCATAGGCGCTATTTGAAATTTACCGGGAGCACCGGTAAATTTTTATATTCAATTTTTCTCGAAAACAGCAGTGTTTTAGGGGCTATTTTTTTTAGTGCTTATAATACATCCACAGGGGCATCCAAATATATCAAAATTGTAAAGATTCACTATCCACCCAATTTTCAAAATTTCCCAAAACTTTGTATTACCTTTAAGTCAGCAATTTTTTTAATTTATTTTTTTTAATTTTTTTTATTTTTTTTTTAGGGCGAAAAAGAGGGGTGCGGTTAATACATGTGATGGCGGTTTATACACCGTTCATTACGGTAGACATGTACCATAAGTGATAAACCATAAGTTAGCATTTGATTCACATGCCTTGTAAAAGCAAACATTTCAAATTTTTGGTCAAGATTCACAAAAATCACAAAAATGAAAAACACCTATGTAATTACTGAAGCTTAAAGGGTAAAGAAATCAAGACTGTCAATAAAGGGTCAAATACACATCATCCTCCACTCTGATAAGCAGGGTTGTCAATTTCCCCGGAAATACTGGGAAATAATCATATGCGTACTGATGATATTGTATGATAGGAAATAGTGATCGTGGCACTGATGGCAATTTCTTTCACCTTACTAAATTCCAGCTTTCATAATGCCTCCTCCTCCTTATTATCATTCATAATTATAATTATGATTATTAATATTATTATTATCATCATTACTATTTCTATGATGCTAATTATTATCATTATCATTATTATAATAGTTTCAGAGGAAATAATGTATGCAACACACTTTTCATTAGATTTTATAACAGGTAGCCATTTGACTCACATCCATCGATGCAAGGATTCTTTCAGGGATGTTTCATTCACAATTTTCATACAAATTTCTGTTATGGAAGTTGACATTGTGAGCTAAGCTAGTGTGTAACAGAGGACCCTAGCAACACAGTTTGCCTAGCTATATTGAAACAGAGCCTAATGTTTGCAGCATACACACTGCATATGTGTACTTTCAGGAGAGTAATTTGAAGGAACAAGGTGAATGTTGACAAGACCCTGGGATATGACTAGAAAAACTAGGTGCAGAAGTTTTTTTAATTTCATAATCATCGTGAAGCATTTCTGGCTTGATGATGTTCTACTGAGAGGCAGGCATGAGGGCAGCACTCAATTCTAACACAGGGTAAAAATGGACCCAAAACGTAATAACTGTGGACCCTCCCATAATGTCAAAGTATTAACAGGTGGGCAGGTGTTTTTTAGTCACTAACAGTCACATAATAAGACTATCTAGAACTAAATTGAATACAAATTGAAACAAAACTTTTAATAAGTTCTGGGAAAAGATGAAGCAAATTAAGAACACCTAACAATAATATAAGTGGCAGCTTTAGGCTCGCATTTGAATCTAAGATGATTACTATGAATTCAGGATAAAACGTAGTCAACAAATTACATATCAATCATTTATATGATCATCTAGATCCCCGATTTAGATTCTACACTGCTTTCAGTCAAACAAACAGGTGCTTTCAGGAGACTAAGACAAATGGCAAATTGGGTAAAGAAAATATAGATACAAAGTTTGTTTTTAACGTATGAATAGTGATTTCCTCCTGTCAAATAACATGTTGATCAAGATGCATTATATGATAATACATCATGGCATGATTGATCTTATGCATCTTTTTAGTTTCAACCTCCAACTTAAAGGTCAACATAATAATAATAATAATATAGATTTATATAGTGTCCTTTCTGACAAAATAAGTCACTCAAAACCATGATCGATCAGCACTCTACTCTTAAAAAAACTATGGTTTGAGAATCAAATTTACTCCAGTCTTAACATGGTGATTCTAATAAGCTGTTGGTTTGTTGTTGTTTTTTTTGTTTGTTTTTTGTTCAGGTGAATATTTCTTAATGCAATTGTCTTTACCCTGCTTCAGCTACAATTAAGACATAGAAAATGTTACCCACTCCAATTTGCTATTTTGGTTTATGTATTTTGTCATGGTCAAATTTGTTTACCTATTAAAATTGTACCTTTGTTTTCACTATGAAATTCAATTCAATTCAAATGAACATTTATTTTCTTCCAAACATTACAATTTATAAGTAGGAACATAAATATAATTAAAGAACTTGTATTACAAGGAAGAAGGCGCGAAACCCGAAAAGCATAGCTTGTAGTGGGTACGCCCGAATACATAAATACAATTATACATTATAAATGGGGGAAAGGAAGAAAGAAAGTATGCAGAGGAAGACATGATTGTAGTACTACATTTTTTTATATGGCTTTATCTTTAAAACCTAACTGAAGAGCTAGACAATAATTCATCACGGAAAAGAAAATCTAAATTGATTTTACCACCTGATCACCTTGGCACCTGAAATATATAGTTCTACATAATATTTTCACAGTCACACAAAATATATAGGGTTACTGTGAATGATGTCTCACTAAGTATTTCTTGAATAAAGATAACCTATTCAAACCCATTCCAGGCAGACACAGAAGTATGATGTGCAGTAACTCTGCAGTACGGACTGCACAAGAATACAGGGGGGGGGGGAATGCTGCACAACATGATGAAAGAAAGGGAGAACGAGAATGACAGTGAGAATGAGATTTTGAGAAATTATATCCAAGACACAAATGTGATAGTCCCAGAGAATGTGAAAGAAGAAACAACTGATGCGTTTTTATGCTACAAAAGCATTCAATCTCTCCTCATGAGATGTTCTATGTTGCTTTGGAATATCATGAGCGTATTAAATCTAACATTGAAACACACAACCATGGCCCGCCACTTGAAATCTGAGCAGCACATACACATACACTGCTACCTCCCCACACACTTAGACTATAGCACATAACAAGACGACACACTCAGCCACGACAGACATGGAGGCTGGAGAGTAGCGCATGTTTCATGCTTCAGAATCGAAGCAAATGTATGTGAATTAATAAATCTCTGGCAAGCTGATGGAGATGCCTGCCCTTTGGGAGAGCTTTAATATTCATTGGTCTCGTCTGTGTCCATAATGAAATTTATGATTAGCTCCCGCTCCCGGTAGCTAGGAAGATCTTTGCTTATAAACCAATGAAAGAGTTGGAGGTGAAAGATAAGAAGAAAGTTTGAAAGCATTATGGAAATCGATATAGCAAGAGGTTAGATTGCATGGAGGGAAGGTGGGAGGGGGAGGAAAGGTGGGAGGGGGAAGGGGAAAGAAAGAGGAGTGATAGACAAACATGTCAAGGGTGAGGCCAAGAGAGTGAGATAGTGGGATAGTGTTAAAAAAAGAGACAACAGAAAGACAAACAGAAAGATAGATAGAAATACAGAGAGAGAGAGAGAGAGAGAGAGAGAGAGAGAGAGAGAGAGAGAGAGAGAGAGAGAAATGCATACAGTTACAAGTAAAAAGTTAGTATAGCAATGGATCATAGAAAAGTATATGAAAAGAAAATACCAGACAACATAGGTTAAGACCATGTCTACTTCAGAACAGGGATAAAAGAATTTCAGTAAGAGAGATAGAAATTGAACAAATAGGAGAGAGAGAGAGAGAGAGAGAGAGAGAGGAGCAAGTCGGTGACGGAAACTCAATTATCTTACAGAGAGCAAAAATCTAAAACTTGGAAGTGGAAGTAAAACACATATATTGGAACAAATACATATCTTGTAATGCAGATATAAATTTTTAATACAAATGCATAAATGAAAATACTGGGAATTCCTAATGTAATTCACAGGACCTGATGCATCTTCTATACTGATTCTGAAGTACATTATACCTCAGGCCAGCTAGAGCATGTACATTAGCTGACAATGTATCTCATCATTGACAAAGTGCAGGATAGGAAATGCGGCATTGGTCGAAAAATTACCAAATAAATTTCACAAGGAAAATTTGGTCGTGCCTCGTATAAATGAGCATCACCATGGTTCAACACTGCTTCTTGTGCAAAGGTGGATACTCAGCTCAGTGATGGGATTTTTTTTATCAATGGTAGTTGTTTTTGTTTTTTTTTTCCTTTTGATGAAAGGGATAACAGCTCTATCGTTCATATGCTTTATATTCCCAATATTATTTCTTCAATAATAATAATAATAATCTTTATCATCATCATAATTAGCATTTTCCCTCTCAGGAGGGGGCACTGAGTTTCGTGCCATGATGACACTCCCTCCCTCCCAATTCTCCTTGTCTTGAGCATCCTCCTCATTTAGACCCACTATACTGCTTTCTTCACAATATCTTCCACAAAATATAATAATAGTTATAATCATCATCAACATCATCATC